TTATAAGACCTAGATATGTTTTAAAATGCAATTTAAAGCATTTTTGGTTTTGATCATAGTAGGCTTTTTTCAAAAAATATCGATTTTTTATCTCTATTAGCAATCTTTATCATTCATAATACCTAGATATGTTTTAAAATGCAATTTAAAGCATTTTTGGTTTTGATCATAGTAGGCTATTTTCAAAAAAATATCGATTTTATATCTATATAAACATTCTTTATCATTTATAAGACCTAGATATGTTTTAAAATGCAATTTAAAGCATTTTTGGTTTTGATCATAGTAGGCTATTTTCAAAAAAATATCGATTTTATATCTCTATAAACATTCTTTATCATTTATAAGACCTAGATATGTTTTAAAATGCAATTTAAAGCATTTTTGGTTTTGATCATAGTAGGCTATTTTCAAAAAAATATCGATTTTATATCTATATGAACATTCTTTATCATTTATAAGACCTAGATATGTTTTAAAATGCAATTTAAAGCATTTTTGGTTTTGATCATAGTAGGCTATTTTCAAAAAAATATCGATTTTATATCTATATGAACATTCTTTATCATTTATAAGACCTAGATATGTTTTAAAATGCAATTTAAAGCATTTTTGGTTTTGATCATAGTAGGCTATTTTCAAAAAAATATCGATTTTATATCTATATAAACATTCTTTATCATTTATAAGACCTAGATATGTTTTAAAATGCAATTTAAAGCATTTTTGGTTTTGATCATAGTAGGCTATTTTCAAAAAAATATCGATTTTATATCTATATAAACATTCTTTATCATTTATAAGACCTAGATATGTTTTAAAATGCAATTTAAAGCATTTTTGGTTTTGATCATAGTAGGCTATTTTCAAAAAAATATCGATTTTATATCTATATAAACATTCTTTATCATTTATAAGACCTAGATATGTTTTAAAATGCAATTTAAAGCATTTTTGGTTTTGATCATAGTAGGCTATTTTCAAAAAAATATCGATTTTATATCTATATAAACATTCTTTATCATTTATAAGACCTAGATATGTTTTAAAATGCAATTTAAAGCATTTTTGGTTTTGATCATAGTAGGCTTTTTTCAAAAAAAAACGATTTTTTATCTCTATTAGCAATCTTTATCATTTATAATACCTAGATATGTTTTAAAATGCAATTTAAAGCATTTTTGGTTTTGATCATAGCAGGCCATTTTCAAAAAAATATCGATTTTATATCTCTATTAGCAATCTTTATCATTCATAAGACCTAGATATGTTTTAAAATGCAATTTAAAGCATTTTTGGTTTTGATCATAGTAGGCTATTTTCAAAAAAATATCGATTTTATATCTATATAAACATTCTTTATCATTTATAAGACCTAGATATGTTTTAAAATGCAATTTAAAGCATTTTTGGTTTTGATCATAGTAGGCTATTTTCAAAAAATATCGATTTTTTATCTCTATTAGCAATCTTTATCATTTATAATACCTAGATATGTTTTAAAATGCAATTTAAAGCATTTTTGGTTTTGATCATAGCAGGCCATTTTCAAAAAAATATCGATTTTATATCTCTATTAGCAATCTTTATCATTCATAATACCTAGATATGTTTTAAAATGCAATTTAAAGCATTTTTGGTTTTGATCATAGTAGGCTATTTTCAAAAAATATCGATTTTTTATCTCTATTAGCAATCTTTATCATTTATAATACCTAGATATGTTTTAAAATGCAATTTAAAGCATTTTTGGTTTTGATCATAGCAGGCCATTTTCAAAAAAATATCGATTTTATATCTCTATTAGCAATCTTTATCATTCATAATACCTAGATATGTTTTAAAATGCAATTTAAAGCATTTTTGGTTTTGATCATAGTAGGCTATTTTCAAAAAAAATATCGATTTTATATCTATATAAACATTCTTTATCATTTATAATACCTAGATATGTTTTAAAATGCAATTTAAAGCATTTTTGGTTTTGATCATAGTAGGCTATTTTCAAAAAAATATCGATTTTATATCTATATAAACATTCTTTATCATTTATAAGACCTAGATATGTTTTAAAATGCAATTTAAAGCATTTTTGGTTTTGATCATAGTAGGCTATTTTCAAAAAAATATCGATTTTATATCTATATAAACATTCTTTATCATTTATAAGACCTAGATATGTTTTAAAATGCAATTTAAAGCATTTTTGGTTTTGATCATAGTAGGCTATTTTCCAAAAAATATTGATTTTATATCTATATAAACATTCTTTATCATTTATAAGACCTAGATATGTTTTAAAATGCAATTTAAAGCATTTTTGGTTTTGATCATAGTAGGCTATTTTCAAAAAAATATCGATTTTATATCTCTATTAGCAATCTTTATCATTTATAATACCTAGATATGTTTTAAAATGCAATTTAAAGCATTTTTGGTTTTGATCATAGTAGGCTATTTTCAAAAAAATATCGATTTTATATCTATATAAACATTCTTTATCATTTATAAGACCTAGATATGTTTTAAAATGCAATTTAAAGCATTTTTGGTTTTGATCATAGTAGGCTATTTTCAAAAAAATATCGATTTTATATCTCTATTAGCAATCTTTATCATTCATAATACCTAGATATGTTTTAAAATGCAATTTAAAGCATTTTTGGTTTTGATCATAGTAGGCTATTTTCAAAAAAATATCGATTTTATATCTATATAAAAATTCTTCATCATTTATAAGACCTAGATATGTTTTAAAATGCAATTTAAAGCATTTTTGGTTTTGATCATAGTAGGCTATTTTCAAAAAAATATCGATTTTATATCTCTATTAGCAATCTTTATCATTTATAATACCTAGATATGTTTTAAAATGCAATTTAAAGCATTTTTGGTTTTGATCATAGTAGGCTATTTTCAAAAAAATATCGATTTTATATCTATATAAACATTCTTTATCATTTATAAGACCTAGATATGTTTTAAAATGCAATTTAAAGCATTTTTGGTTTTGATCATAGTAGGCTATTTTCAAAAAAATATCGATTTTATATCTCTATTAGCAATCTTTATCATTCATAATACCTAGATATGTTTTAAAATGCAATTTAAAGCATTTTTGGTTTTGATCATAGTAGGCTATTTTCAAAAAAATATCGATTTTATATCTCTATTAGTAATCTTTATCATTCATAATACCTAGATATGTTTTAAAATGCAATTTAAAGCATTTTTGGTTTTGATCATAGTAGGCTATTTTCAAAAAATATCGACTTTATATCAATATTACCATTCTTTATCATTTATAAGACCTAGATATGTTTTAAAATGCAATTTAAAGCATTTTTGGTTTTGATCATAGTAGGCTATTTTCAAAAAAATATCGATTTTATATCTATATAAACATTCTTTATCATTTATAAGACCTAGATATGTTTTAAAATGCAATTTAAAGCATTTTTGGTTTTGATCATAGCAGGCTATTTTCAAAAAAATATCGATTTTATATCTCTATTAGCAATCTTTATCATTTATAATACCTAGGTATGTTTTAAAATGCAATTTGAAGCATTTTTGGTTTTGATCATAAGCCAATAAAATGTATAAATATGAAATATCAACCGATAAGCATCCAAGAAATAGTGTAATACTTGTGAATTTTTGACCCAATAAAGACTACTAGGATCGTCCTTAAACAAGCTACCTGAGATAGCCAAAAGTTTGTAAAATACTTAATTTTGTTTCCAAGTGGTATTTCTAGAAATGACGTTTTTGGGATTTTTTCTAGTTTAAGGTCGCTCACAAACAAGCCTCATATTCATGACTTAAATCAAAGTTAACTATCAAGTTTTATACATCATTAGGCACTGATTTAAGCTACAATAAACTGAAAACAAAATTGAAAAATATTTTATTTTCTAAGAGCACTAGTGGTTTGAGTGATGAAAAAAACATACAAGTCGTCAGATATCAAAAGTACCCTATATATCGACAAATTTGTAAACTTTGATATACATTAAAATAAAGCTTTTATATAACACTTTTAGGAACTGAAAACGTTTTTTCAATATCTCTAACCATTGCGGAGATTTACCAGTTCTAACGTGACATGAAAAAACCAGATTTTTCACCCTTTTTCAACTTCAAACAGCCACAGATTCGCAAAAATAGCACCAAATGACCTGAAATTTTGCATGGAAGTCTATTTTCATGTTCTCTACAAGAAAAAAATCCACTTTAGAACGTAATTCGAAACATTGCCTTTTCCGAAGTGAAAGTCCCTTGTTTTTTCAATTTTGCCCCATAGTGGCGTCTCAAAGCTGTAAAATAAAGGTTTACTTTATTTTTTGTAAAAAATGCGCGTTAAATTTTATACAACAAAAGTGTTGCCATGCTTTGTGTAAGTTCTGTGTAATACGATTTTAAAAATTCATTAATATAAAGCTTTATGAACAATTATAAAATCTGCATTTATTTTTTGAAATAAATCATTTAAGAATTAAAAGTTGCAAAAAATAATCAGGAATCCAAAATTGTCAATTGACAAAAAATAATCAAGTCACCCTAAGCATCATGTTTGTGTAAAAAGCACAGAGTTCCAATAAATCGACTTATTTAATGTCAAAAAACTTCATATTTGTGCAATGCATTACATCACACGTTGATCCAATTAACATTGCCTCGAGCTTCTGCCTAAAATGTTAAACTTTTCATCATGTCAAAAAGTTTGTCAAAAAGTTTTAATAAACAAATTTAGTCAAATAAATACACAAACTGTGTAATTGTGTAAGTGCTTTAAGTCTGGAGAATTTAACCTCACATTATCTCATGTATAGAAGAAAAGCCATCATGTATAGACATAACTAGCTCATGTATAGACTTTTAATAATAAGCTTATTTCATGTATAGAATACATGTCAAAAATGCGCAAAACAACTCAATTATGAATGAAAAAAGCAAGGATTTTAGTTCTTAATAATGTAAATGTTTTATTATTGCTAAGATAATCATGATTAATAGTTAAATCCATTAAGAATATTATTCATCACTTGATAACTTTAAAATTAACTTTTCCTTCCTTTTCATGTATAGACTTCATTATTATTTCATGTATGTGCTCAAAATCAGCGGAAAATTACTTCATGTATAGATATTTCTTCAAAAGTTCACATGTAAATTCTGGATGTTACACAAAAATTATTTCATACATGCCATAGAGTTAGAGAATAAGGGAAACGATTGTGTACATTTTTTTAAACAATTATTCAGTTGTTTAAAAGTAAATTAGACTTTATTTTTGTTTATTTTCGGATTTTTTGCCGCTGAGCTTTCACCGTTACTATCTGTTTTGTCAAGGATTCGTTTTTTTGATGGCAGATAGACCTTTTTAGTCACTTCTTCTTGACCACTATTATTATCTTTTGGATCCTCCTCACCATCAGGCGTATAATCAGGATCTTCAAATGCCTCTTCCATTGTTGTATTATTCTCTGATTGACTTTCAGGCGCTTCCAAAATTTTCCCGTCTTTTGTTGGAAACTCAATATTAGGAATATCTACTTCAGCAAATCCATCACGTTTCATTAACGTCTTAATTAAATTGGCAACATCCTCGCGCTTTCTTGTTACAAGATCTTGATGGAACCATTTTGACAGCGTCTTAATTGGAATTCTAAAGTCCTTTAATGGATCTTTAAAGAATTGTTCAACATACTGTAAAAGGAAAAGTCCACAATCTGTAAAGTTTTGTTGCTGTGGAACTTTTACTAGACATCCTAACATATTCGGTTTTGTGTACGTTCTTGGTGGTGAATTTGGATATTTGGCCTTATATTCACATGTCAAGTAATCTCTCAACGTTGCCACAACTCGCGCTCGTGAAGTTCCACCAAGGGAATCGAAGATTAATATGCACGGTCTGCAATGTCATGAATAATTAAGAAAGTTTTAACGGATTTTCAAATTTTAACGAACATTTAGATATCAAATTTTTTAACGAAGCTTTTGAATTATTTTCGATCGTTAAAATAGTAAATATATAACTTACACTTTCACTGGTTGTCCTTTATCGATTACTTCCTCTTCCTCGCTATCTACATTACTTCCTAACTCACTATCATCACCTTCTGCTTCATCACGTTCACTCGCCTGATCATCATGAACTTCTATAGAATCATCCTTTTTACTTAAAGGAGTTATTGTGGTACTTCCAATTTGAACAGGCAGTTTCTTTTCTAAAATATCAAAAAAAAAAAAACAAGATTAATAAAAGTAAGAGATTATAAAATAAGTGTGTAGAACTTACTAGGCTTCTTCTGATTAAATGTGAGCTTTATGGGCTGATTAGTATCCATGGTATGAGGCTCTGTTAAATTAGGAAAACAAATGATGGCTAGGAACCAATGTGATTGTTCATTAATTGGAATTATAATGAAATCTTTTTCGAATAAATTAACATTTTTCGTCCACGATTGAACTCGCTGATGACGTTTTTGTGCAGCTGTCAATGTCCTCTGATCTTTTGTCATGGTAGTGAGCCTTTTGTAGAAGAATGTACTGAATATGTGAGTCTTGTGCTGCTGTTCTTTCGTGAGTAACTCCGTATGTGTATATTTTAAATAAAAATCGATGATCACATCATTCAAATAATTATCACTTCCAAGACACAAATAGTCATAGACTGTTATCGTAATTCCTCCACGACCTCGCGGATACGTTAGTATTTTCTGCAATTCTCCTACATCTTGTGTACTGTTGTTTCTGTTAATTAATTACATTAAGTTAAAAAATAAAAATTATCACAAATAAAACGGCTCGGCTCTTACGAGTTGGATTCAGCAATTGGATTTTGACTTGTCACAGTTAAAGGAATGCCAGTAGACCGAACGAGCATTTCATTTGCATCCCTATTGTTGATCTCTTCCATTCTACCTTCCTTAAATATAGCTTTAAGCGCATTCTTAGTATCTTCAGACACATTTTCTGTGAGGAATATGATTTTCTTTTGTGTCTCGTTTCTCGACAATGGCGCATAGTAAGGAGCTGTATTTAAATATATTAGAATAACTTTAATTGAATGGTTGAATTGAATGGAATTGTTGGGCCTTACATTTATCATTAACTTGAGTCATTTGTAATTGTTCAACAATGAATCGACCGCAAGATGGCTTCGTATAGACGATAATTATTGACAATTGCTTGCTGAAGTGGATTACAAGTTTGACAATCTCAGAGTTCTGGATGTTAAGCACTGTAATGTCATTTACATCTTTCACAGTCGGTGCAACTATTTTGATTCCTTTTGATGTGATTGCCACCTTAAAAGATTTAAATTTGCAATCATTAGCGGTCTGTAAAATCAGAAATCAGAACAATCAATAGTGACTTACCGGGTCTTTTGTTTCGAATTTGTAAGATCCAATTCTGATTGTCCTGCATGTCAATGAAGTTTCCAATTTATCCTCGCCTTCTTGAAATTCCGTCACATCCAGTCGTATAAAATCATCTAAAATGTGAATGAGACATAGAAATGGATATAATTAATAAATAAATACGTTTTATACCGCAAATTTTCTTCGTTGTTTCTCTTTGCACAACATTCAACAATCGTTCCTTTAAATTATCTATCAATTTAATCATTTTCTATTAAGCGAGGAGGAACTAAAGCTTGCTACTAATCATATCTTACCAAAATCATCCATTCTTGGATGTGTAAATCAGTTAAATTGTTTAAAATAATTAATTTCTAAAATCTTGAGTTTGAATAACGCACAGCTTTAAACACAATAAGCTCAGCTTTAAACGCAACATAACCTTAAAACTACGAACAAATTTGAATATTAAAAAAACGTTAATACTCACTTGGAATGACATCCTCTTCAATTACTGGTTCAAATACCTTTTTGGGTAAATCTTCTCCTTTTTTATCACCAGAACTGTGTGATTTAGTTCCGTCCGAATCGGTTTCATCGTCACTACTTAAAGTCACAATTTCATGATGTATTGGCTTTCTTGGAGCACGTCCACGTCCTCTTACTGCAATTAAACCAGGATTTCCAAGATTATGAATACCTCCTCGTCCACGACCACCCATTTGCTTCCTATGAGCTTCAGCTAATTGATGCTTCTTCTGAATTGCTTCCATCTGATCTTTTCGATCCTGATTTGCTTTAATTATGTTTAATTTTTGTTGTGGCGGTCCAGGAATGAGTGATATTTTTGTATTTGGTGCCAATTGTGATGGCATTCGAACAGTTTTAACGTCGTCTGTGAAAATTCGATGACATCGCTCACATTTAGCATGATCAGATCCAGAAAATCCACACGCACTGCATACAGCATAAAATCCATCCACATATTTCGGCGGAGGTAATTTGGTTGTTGGTTCTGGACTTTTTGGTGTTTCATTGATTTGTTGTTGCTGGACTGTTTTTTGTTGTGATGCAGTCATTTTTTGTTGTGCAGCTTGTTGCCTAATATGATTTTCAGCAGCTTTTGTCATTTCTGTCGTATCACGCGAACCAAAATTTCCAACTTTAACGATATAATCAATCTCAGAACCTGGATTTTCAATACACTCAATATTACTATCAGCTCCTATCTGAATTCCCACTTGATCCAAAAGCTCTTGTACGGTACATGTCTCACGTGGCAACGTAAATGTTATTAATCTTTGCTCACCATTGTCCAAAATGACCAACATTTTAGCACTTTCACGTTCATTAATGCCTAATTCATGCCTTATTCCATGCTGTTGCTGAAATTGTGGTCGTGGTGGAGTTCTTTGGCGTATTATTTGTAATGATGGACTTCTTTGGACTGGAAGACGATTTAATGCCATACCTTGATTAGTCATCATTGGACGAACAATTCCAACTCTTTGTGGTGTTTGTTGTTGAGGAACTGATTGTCGTCTAAAGTTTTCATTTGCCATGGAATTATTCATTTGATTAACAGGCTGTTCTGGACGAGTTCCTTTTGATATAGCTGTGGCAGTAATTGAATCTTCTAAATCATCACAATCGCCTTCTTCGCCTTCTTTTCTAATCAATGTAGATGTAGTTGGTGCCACTTGTTCTGTCTGACTTGAATTTTGTTCCTGACTTTCATTATTTTGCATTTGGAAGTTCTGATTTGCATTAACATTCGTCTGATTATTCTGTTGATGTGGCGAAGTCTCTATTTTCCTATTATTAATAATTGTTCTCACAAGTTGATTGGGAGATTCAGTGATTTGAGCTTGATTTTGACCCGAGTTCATTGGCTGACTGACGAGAAAATGCTGTCCTTCTTGTTGCACTAAAATAAACTGCTGTTGCTGACCATTATTATTTATATTCTGTGCCATTCGATTCGTTTGTATTAATCTTGCAGGTTGAGGACTATTTTGAGGAGTATTTTGTTGCTGTAAAGGACTTTGTGCAACAGGACGAATAAGTCTAGGTGTAGCCATTCTCGATTGAGCTCTTGGTCGTGGAGTTTGTTGCTGTTGCTGTGCCTGAACTTGCATTTGTGGTGAATTAATCGTTCTAGTAATACGCATTTGAGGGAAAGAGACTCGTGGACGAAACTTTGGCGACTGATCATTTTGAGCTTGCTGGATTTGCATAATTTGTCCTTGTTGATTTTGAATTTGTTGCATTTGTTGAGGAGGTTTTTGTTGTACAATGCTATACCTTAAAGGACTATTATTTTGCATTATAATCTTTGTTCCTTGCTGTACAATTGCATTTTGCGTTTGAATCGGCTGTAATTGTATATATTGTGGTTGTGGACTAATTAATTGTCCACTTTGTTGGGGATAAATAGTCTGTTTCATCTGATTTCCTTGTTGATGGATAATTATCTGATGATTCTGATCTACTTGATTTTGTTGAAAATTGTACTGCATAGTTTGCTGATTTTGTTGATCTACCAATTGAGTTAAATTCGGATTCATTTCCGGAGCTCGTTGAACGACGACTTTTTGTGGTGTCTGCAGAACAAGTTGCTACAAAACACCAAAAAAAAAAAAAACATATTTAATATTGTGAAGTCATCAATTTTATGTCATTTTACTTACCTTAGGCTGATTTTGCTGCTGCATGAGATTTGGATTGATGACTTGCTGGACAATTCGATTAGTATTTTGGTTCGCTGGCGAAAGATTCGTGTAAAAAACTTGTTGTGGACTGGATGTTTGTTGAATTAAATATTGATTTCCCATTGAATCATCCTGTGATATAAATTGAGCTGGATGTTGTTGTTGTTGCTGCATTTGAGGCATTTCATTAGTTTTAACTGGCGAATAAACGATATGTTGCTGATTATTGTCGTCTGCCATTATAAAATTCTGTTGTTGATCGTCTACAGTCTGATGAACTAATCTGATTGCACCAAATCCACTTTGAAACACTTGCTGATCCATTATGGAGAATCTTTTAAATCCAGCTTGATACTTTCGTAAGTTATATTTAATTCAATTAATATTTTTTTTCTTTTGTTGATGCTCCAATTTTTTTTTTTTCAAACAATGAAACTTGAACTTTTAATTCCAATAAACTAGGTTTAATCATTCAGTATCTTAAAAAACTAAGCTTTAAACTACTTATAATCCTTTTAAAAAGGACCTTCTAACACTATTAGTCGTCAAAATTCAGTAGAAGTCAATTTATTCTTCTATTTTCTCAAAATTTATATTTTTTGCTCTAAAAAATTCTCAAAAAAAGAAAATGTGTCCGTAGCTGTAAAGTGTCTGTATGTATTAGTGTTTTTTGAAATCGAGTCGGACTTTAAAGCTTTCAAAAAGTAGTACTACTCAATTAAAAATATGATAAGCTTTGAAAAGTCTTTAATTACAGCTCGTATGGATTACTGGATCTCTTTAGTTGCAACATAAATCTCTTAATTAGAGCATTATGCTGTATTATCCCTAGTCGTTAATGTTATGTCTGTTTTTATTGGATGTATTAACGAAACTTTATGAAAAATTACCGTTTAGAACAGACTTTTGTTTGCGTATCATGCTTGCCTGCTCTAAAGTTCGTCTTATTTGAACTGGAAAATTTCAAGGTCACTGACTTCTTAATACGCTGATAAAACATACATTTATGCTTTTATTTTGATTGCTTTTTAATGTCATTTTTATTTGATTCAAATCATGATTTTATTAATTTTATTGTCATAGCTTTCTTTGAAATATATTGGGTAGCACTTTATGATGAATCTGATTATTATTATTATTATTATTATTATTATTTATTATTATACTTTCTCTTGTTTTAAAGGAAAAAGCCCATAAATTGCACTACATATCAGTGACAATTGTACAGGCATAAAAAACCTTTACATAAATACATAAAGATAATGAGTTTCAATGATTTAAATAAAATCTTTAAAGAAACTCATAAAATAACGAACATTTTGAATTTAAAAACTTGATACAAAAATAACGGTCGTTCTTAATTCAAAATGTCTTAGTTCAAAAATTGATTGTTGTGTTTGTAAACAAAATACATAAAGTTTAAATTTGAAACATAATTTGTTAAAATCTGCACGATTTGGATGATGACAAGAATACACTATTGTGATGATGATACGACGGATACATCCCCGGATACAAAGTCATAGATCCAATGGAAAAGCTAAGTTGAAGTTTTAATTAAATAATTTTACTATTTTTGTCTTTAGCTAATATGATGACTTAATTTCTTCTCATTTTAGATGCCCAGAGAGTAATGAAGATAGTTTAGCAGAACTTTTTCAAGTATTCATTTGAGAAGCAGGTCATTATAAAGTTTTCATTACGCATGTGACACCGAAGTGCCCATTTGAAAGCTGCTGGATGTTTGAGTTCTTTGAGTTCCATAGGCAAGCTGTTAAAGACTTTGACGCCGAAAGAAGAAATTGATTTATGTCCATAGTGAGTATTTGATAATGTAGTTTCTATTTTTTTTTGCTGGCTTGATCTTCCTCGCCTGTTTTCCGTCTGTTTGAAGCGTATGTTTGAATGAATATATCGATGAATATTTTTGTAAATGTAGCTTGCATTCATGAGAAAATTTATTCCTCGTATAGGCAGGCAATTCTCGGTTTTATGCGTATACATTTCTACTCTACTAGTTTCTCTTTTTAAGTTAAATACACTTCTTAAAGCTCTGTTCTGGATGGACTGAAGGGGCTTTATCACATTATCACATGCAGCTCCCCATATTAAATTCATGTAAAGTAAATGCGATTCAAACAATGTGCTGTATATCTTCTTTTTAATGTATATTGGTAACTTATTTTTCAATTTCCAAAGCATTCCTGCGCAAGATGCGAGTTTAGATTCCAGATTTCTACAGTGATAATCAAATTTTAGATGTTCATCTAATACTAATCCGAGATACTTTGCTGTCTTCGTAATAAATCCAAAGATTTATTAAAACCTATTTTTAATCTTTAGATTATACACTTTCAACGTCTAAGACTTAACATTCACAGGAATCAAGAGTTTAATATTTGGATAAGAAGAAGTCATAGCCGTGAATTTACTTTAATCATATGAATGATATAGCACTTTGTTTTATGTTTTTCATGCTAAAGTGTTACTTTTTTGATTAGATTAGAAACTAGTTTGTAGACTTTAAATTGAGTATAACATGCTTGTAAGAAATAAAAGTTTTAAAGTTCGTTAATGAAACTTCTCTTTATTAATATTTTTCTTTAAAATATGACATGGACTAGAGTAAGGCACAATTTTCATCTACTGAGACTTTTTCTAAACCTTTGACATTCTCAGAATACGAAAAACATTATCCTTATCATCATAAATCCTATAGCATTGACTACATTTAGCAAGATCCAGTCCATGGAAGTTACAAGCACTGCATACAGCATAGTACCCATCAATGAATTTCGTTGGCAGCAAATGTTCTATCAATTTTGGAGACGTTAGCTCCTTAGTGGCTGTATCTATTATTTCCTGTTGATGGACATGATTTTCGGCACTTTCGACCAACTGTTTTGTGTTTGGTTCCTTGAAAATTCCAATTTTTACAATATAATCAATTTCAGAGCCAACATTTTCAAGGCATTCAACTTGAGTATCTTCATCGACCTTAATTCCAACTTGATCAAGAAGCTCCTGTACTGTTAACGCTTCTTTTGGTGATATAAAAGTAATTAATCGCTGTTCTCCACTATCTAAAATGACTAGCATTTTTGCAGTTTCGTTATCATTACATTTTAGGTTGTGCTTCAATCCACTTTGTAATTGAGGACGGATAGTATTCTTGGGTGGATTAGTTTCTGCAGTTGAATTTATCATTAATTGGGTCTTTTTGTTTGATTTTTGGTTCTGTAAAATAAGTTGTTCCTTAAACCTTTCATATGACATCGAATCATTCAAGTTTAATGAAGTGTCTGCAAGTTTAGTTGAAGTAGCCGGTGTATCTTTTCTCAAATTTTGTCCTGGATTGTCACTGTTCTGAATTATAGTGTTATTGTGTCGAATTTGTGCTGTATCAATCTTAATCTTTATATTTAAGTTTAAATATTCTCCTTCTTGTTGGACTTGGACAGAATGTACTTGATTGTTGCTTATTAAATTTTGACAAAAGCTGTTAACTTGCTGCTGATTCTGATGTTCCAAATTAACAGAATTAACACTTGGTTGAGTTTCCTGTATATCCATTTTGAGATAATTTATAAGTAGAGATTCCTGAATATAGCTTTTAACTCTTAGCTATTAATTCTATTTTGTGTAATTAAACTTTACACACGTTTTGCTTTTCGGTAAAATTAATCACTTGAAACTCTTATTCCCTGTAGCTTTTGTATTCTGCATTAAAATATTGCTGATTATTATCTAATTGCAGCTAATTGGACGTATCTTGTCACTTTAAAAGTATGGAAATCACTCAGTTTAATGCAATTATTATATATAATTTAAAATCTTGCAAAATATTATTGATAAAAGATCGACTCAATTTTGAATTTTTTAAAACCGGTAAATTTTAATCGACATGCAAGCTTTACTGGGGGTCCTTGATTTGAGTAGTTGTTTTGTTCCAAAAAATTTCTACTCAAATCGAATCTATTGAAATCGAGGCCAAGAATCCATACAAAATCTAATGTTTTGTTCCAGAGTACAAAAAAAGTATCAAAACAATGAAAATTTTGATACTGGGGGTCCTCGATTTGAACAGAAAATTTTTTACCCAACAAAATATTCGATTTGAGTAGATTTCTTCCTATTTTCTTCGATTTGAATTATATACAAAACAAATATTTTTGTATTCACACTGTTTTCACGTGTGAATCTATTGGTTTTGTTCAGATTGAAAAATCAGTTTTAAGAATTTTGTGAGGATATGGAGCAAGATACCTTAAAATGTTCAGAGATGAAAAGTTTGTGCCTTGAATTTCACTTGTTTTGCAAAAAACAGATTTCAAATTGGTTGGGGCATTGCTGAGAAAATCGCAAAATATGCTTTCTGTAAGCAAGCAAACAAGATAACAAGCAAGTTAATCAGCAAGAAATCTCAATAACGAGACATCGTAGAGACTTCTAGTTTTTTACATTTGATCCGTGCTGCTCTATAGAAGAGCTGTATTGTTTTTGGGCAAGGTAGGAACAGCCGTTGCTTCAGAAAAAGCAAAAAACTTTCCTTTCTTACGAATTTTTCAAATTAAAAGTTCACTGTGATTTTTTTAAATTAAACTTCGGATGAAAAAATTTTTTTTGAGCAAAGAACCAAGTAGGAAATTCTTTTTCAATTTTGGACTAGGGGCGACCCTAGTCAAAATCAATTTTGTCACTTTTTTCTTCGAGGGTTTATCCAAATGGATTGAAACTTTGCATAAATATTCTGGTGCTTAAAATAAATACAAATAAAACATCCAAAAATTTTTTTGAGCAAAGAACCAAGAAGAAAATACATTTTCAATTTTGGACTAGGGGCGACCCTAGTCAAAATCAATTTTGTCACTTTTTTCTTCGAGGGTTTATCCAAATGGATTGAAACTTTGCATAAATATTCTAGTGCTTAAAACAAATACAAATAAAACATCCTAAAATTTTTTTGAGCAAAGAACCAAGCAGGAAATACATTTTCAATTTTGGACTAGGGGCGACCCTAGTCAAAATCAATTTTGTCACTTTTTTCTTCGAGGGTTTATCCAAATGGATTAAAACTTTGCATAAATATTCTAGTGTTTAAAACAAATACAAATAAAACATCCTAAAATTTTTTTGAGCAAAGAACCAAGCAGGAAATACATTTTCAATTTTGGACTAGGGGCGACCCTAGTCAAAATCAATTTTGTCACTTTTTTCTTCGAGGGTTTATCCAAATGGATTGAAACTTTGCATAAATATTCTAGTGTTTAAAACAAATACAAATAAAACATCCTAAATTTTTTTTGAGCAAAGAACCAAGAAGGAAATACATTTTCAATTTTGGACTAGGGGCGACCCTAGTCAAAATCAATTTTGTCACTTTTTTCTTCGAGGGTTTATCCAAATGGATTGAAACTTTGCATAAATATTCTAGTGTTTAAAACAAATACAAATAAAACATCCTAAAATTTTTTTGAGCAAAGAACCAAGTAGGAAATACATTTTCAATTTTGGACTAGGGGCGACCCTAGTCAAAATCAATTTTGTCACTTTTTTCTTCGAGGGTTTATCCAAATGGATTGAAACTTTGCATAAATATTCTTGTGCTTAAAACAAATACAAATAAAACATCTTAAAATTTGTTTGAGCAAAGAACCAAGCAGGAAATACATTTTCAATTTTGGACTTGGGACAGGTCTAGTCAAAATCTAGTTTTTTACTTTTTTCTTCGAGGGTTTTTCCAAATGGATTGAAACTTTGCATAAATATTCTAGTGTTTAAAACAAATACAAATAAAACATCCTAAAATTTTTTTGAGCAAAGAACCAAGTAGGAAATACATTTTCAATTTTGGACTAGGGGCGACCCTAGTCAAAATCAATTTTGTCACTTTTTTCTTCGAGGGTTTATCCAAATGGATTGAAACTTTGCATAAATATTCTAGTGCTTAAAACAAATACAAATGAAACATCCTAAAATTTTTTTGAAAATTTGCAAACGAACCTTGCAAATGTTATTTCAAAGAACAATTTGTAAGGTTTTTGAATTTTAACTTTTTAAAACCGTTAATTTTATATCGATTTTGTAAGTTTTTACTGGTTTTTACTTGAATTTTGTAACTTTAGTATTGAAATTTTCTATCAATATGATAAGATCACGCTTATTGCAGTAATATTTATGTTTAAAAATATTTTCTGAAATGTTTTTATCAAAAATATTTGTGTTGTATATAATTCAAATCGAAGAAAATAGGGAGAAATCTACTCAAATCGGATATTTTGGTGGGTAAAAAAATTTCTGTTCAAATCGAGGACCCCCCAGTACTTTGTAAAACTTTTCCAAAGTCTCCAGTGTGAATAGAAAATATGCTGAAAAGGAACTAGCTTATAATGATGGGATATCGTGAATTTTTAAAAGAAATTATGTTGTTCCTCTTTATTTAAACTTCAGTGGAATACTGACTCAGATAGATTCAAAAAAGGTGTTTTACTTCGACATCGAAAGTTGCCTGCCTGAATAGCATTATGGGAGTGTACGAATTGATAGTGTTTAGAAAGATGTAAAATTTGAATCAAAAAATGCTTAGTTGACGGAGCCAAAATAATCCTTTGATCGAGTTGGATCTGGAACCATTGTTGCGCTGTTAGTCTTAGGATTCCAGTTAGCTGGACAAACTTCACCATGTTCATCGGTGAATTGGAATGCCTGCACTAAACGAAGTACCTCATCTACATTTCTTCCAACTGGTAAATCGTTCATAGTATACTGTCGAAGGTTAGATTTGCCATCAATGATGAAGAGACCTCTAAAAGGTATGCCTGACTCTTCATCCAATACACCATAGTCACGTGAAACTTTCATAGACTTGTCAGCTAGTAAGGGATATTGGATGTTTCCCAATCCACCTTGTTTACGAGGTGTATTGATCCAGGCCAAGTGAGTAAAATGAGAATCTATTACATATGAAAAACAAAAAAAAAATCCAAAATTTTAAGTATTAACTATTTTAAATAACTAGATATAGTATAAATGGTTTTGGGCCGTTCACTTATTACGATCGCATTTTAGGGGGGAGGGGGGTTTGAAAAATTGTAACAAAATGTAACATATGGGGGGGGGGGTTACAAATTCACACCAAAAACATTTTTTAAATTTTCCACCTTTTTAATGATAAAATTAATTATGAACGTTAAGTGGGGGGGGGGGGGAGTTGTAACATAATGTAACAAGGGGGGGGGGGAGTGAAAAAAGTCGTTTTTTTCGTAACGTAATAAGTGAACGGCCCTTTTTCAGACAAAATAATATTTTTCAAACCTAAGAAATTACTTACCAGTTGAGACTCCAACAATTTCGCAATTAATGGCACGGAATTCTTGGACGCGTTCAGAGAATGCAATGATTTCAGTTGGGCAGACAAAAGTGCTGTTATTACATAATAGATTAGAATATCTCCTTGCCTGTCTTATTTATATATTTTTTCTGTGCTCCTCATTTTATCAATCAACGGCTATTCTGTTTATTTGTCTTAGTTTCGTGTAGTAAGTCACGTCATAATTGAAATCGATAAGAAACTTCCATATCTAATTAATAAGATCGTAGACATTTCTTATCGCACGCACAAATTTAAAAAGATAAGCTTCTGCTCAGATTATTGATTCCGCGATATCTTAGTGACACAGAAAAAAGTAATTAAAGTACTTACAAGTCTAATGGATAGAAGAAAACGACGAGGTATTTTCCCTTAAAGTCAGACAATGAGATTTCCTTGAAACTTCCGTCAACAACGGCAGTTCCCTTAAATGCTGGTGCTGGTTTCTGAAGAGCTGGTGCCATTTTTCTCAAACCTTAGTAAGTTATTTATTCAAAATAAAGAAGAGAACTAGAATAAATAACACGCGAAGCTTAAGGCAACAACAAAATACAGAAAAAAATGTTCGCGAATGATCTTTTCTCTCTCACACGACAATGAATTGAGGCTCTATTAACAATTTCCGTCAATATTTCGAGTCTTTTTATGCTATTTCTTCTTCTTAATTTACTGTTATGTTATGTTCTGGACATACATGGAAAGAAGTACATACAGTCCAAATTCTCATAAAATATACTGGAAGCAAAACCTGTTTTCCAAAATGAATTTAATTAAATGTACAGGTATTTAGAATGTATAAAATGGCTTTTAAGTATCGATCTATTTTGTACTGCTGTATCTTGACAAAAGATCCAGTGACTAATGACAAAATCGAATGAAACAGCGAGTAATTGAAATTCAGAACAATTAAGTGATAAATAATGGAGATACAATTTGCGTAATATCTTTTAAAATGACCTTGAAATCCCGTAAATAGCTAAAATAATGCAAAATTTGAGCACGTCGACAAGATTATTATTTTTGACAGCTCGAGAAATGCCAAATTGATTAGGAATTTATGAAGATATGAAGCTTGAATACTTACAAATTAGATGCGTACTTGACGAAAGTTAATTTTAAACTGAAAGCTTCAATAAGTATAATAAATTTTATTTGTGAATATGCCGGTTGTTTATCCAGAGATGGATTACCCAATATAAAGCAACTCTGGATTTCCCACTTAGAACTTGATCTAAAATTTTGAATTTAATATGACAGTTGAAATCGAAGAACGCTTTTATAAAAGTTTTAAATTTTTTTAACATTTCTAAGCTTTCAGCAACATGTTTGAACTAAGTAAGGATCACCATACTATTCAATAGACCTGTATTAATTTAATCCTGTCCATCAGATTATGAGATATCATCAAAATTCAATGAAACTCTTTCAAATAGAAAAAGCAGTCAAGGAAATAATCGTCCAAAGCCGTTTCAAAGAAATTTTATTGCACTGAATCGCATTAGTAGATTCTCAGATCGCAGTTCCACTCAAGAATTCTTAGAAAATGAAGCATTCTATCAAATTGCATCATTAATTCCAGATGAAGTCCTTTTAAATTCAACAGATTATGAAATAAGGCAATTTGAAGCTACAGTTCTATTTGCTGACATCAGTGGATTTACTGAATTAAGTGAAAAGTATCAGAACCTCGAGGGTGGAGCATCAAAGCTTAGTGCTGTTTTAAATTTTTATCTTGGAATCATGGTTCAAGAGATTCTGTCACATGATGGCGATATCATTAAATATGCAGGAGATGCATTTATTGCCACGTTTCGTAAAGAAAATATTCAAAATAGCGTACATAATGCTATCGATACTGCCATTATAATTCAGAAAAACTGTCGAAATTATTTAACAGAAGTGAACGTTACACTGAATGGTAAGTAAGGCATAGAAGAGCTTTCCTTATACTCCTTAATCTCCATAACTCTTCTAACTTACAGTGAAAATAGCGATATCATGTGGAGAGGTGGATTTTCAATTGATAGGCGATGAATCTTCGTCACAATATGCAGTCATTGGAGATCCAGTATGGAAAGTAAAAGATTTACAAGAATTTATTAAGGCAGGCGAGATTCTGATAACATGGAAGGCATGGCATTATACACAAGAGTCATTCTATACATACGAAGTCATGAGAGAAAATCGTTGTTATAAAATAACGGGATTTAAGGAACTTATCGGGGTGGTACGAAGGCAATATGAAGCTACATTGAACTTTCAAGAAATGCACAAAAATTTAAACAAAAATATGGAAGCTCCATCAGTTTCAAATCTATTGATGGAACCTGGATATGACACAATACATTACAATACAAACCACAATGAGCTTTTTTCACGTAAGTTCCTTTCTCATGCTTTATTAACAGTCCTCAAAAGTCTTCATTTCCTATGTAATTATTTAGTCAGGCAGAAGATAAGCACAGTAACATCAATCGAAACGAGAAAAGATCTCCGGCGATTCATTATCACTCCTCTACTCAATGCTATTAACATGGGTGATAACATTGATGCTCTGACTGAAATGCGGAATGTTGTCATCGTATTTGCTAATTTCATTGTTCCATATAAGGGATCAAAAGAAATCTTATCAGTCACCAATAGAATTTATAAGAAGCTTTCCGAGTAAGTTCAATTCGTTGTTATCAGATTTCATAATTATTAAGGGGGATATGTCGATATTTTGTACATCCACTTATTATGATTCACACAATGCTCTTTTAATTAAGTCTCATTTTTTATACAAACCAGAATTGTCAAGGCATATGAAGGAGTTCTAAACAAAATTCTTCTTTTTGATAAAGACATGATGTTCCTTATCATTTTTGGATTACGAGGCATGCAGCATGAAAATGAGTCAGCAATAGGCCTAAAATGTGCACATGAACTGCATCAAACTTTCAAAACATGGGAAGAGATAATCAGTGTGTCAATTGGAGTGACGTCAGGAAAAAGCTATTGTGGAGTTGTTGGACATACACTCCGAAGGGAATATTCAGTGATTAGTGTTTCAGTCAATAGAGCAGCTAGGTTAATGATGGCATATCCAAATGTTGTTAGCTGTGACCAAGTGTCTTTAATTGAGAGTAAAATTAAGCTTAGATATTTTAAGCAACTTCCAAAGAGAAGCTTAAAAGGAATCAGTGAAGCTATTTCTGTTTATGAATTTGTGGATTTAGAAGGCTCGGACACAGATATTGTTGATGTGAATGATGAAATTTTGAATGGACGGGATGAATTGTTGGAAATAATCCAGAAACTTATAAGTAAAGCGATTAATCTTTTTAATCAATTCAGTAACAAGATAAGAGCTGAAAAATTATGTCTAGTAATTAAAGGAGAAAATGGCGAAGGAAGAACCAGAATTATAAATTATTTATATCGAAACTTTATGATGCAAGATATTAAATGCATCAAACTTGCCTTAAACACAAAGCATTCATCTACGCCGTTCTGGACTTTAAAGCATTGCATAACAAAATTTATCGAGACTGAGGACGAGCTCAAAAGCATAATCACGAAGAAGTTCCTTCATTTAAATATCCATAAATACCTATATTTATTTAATGAAATAATTGGAACAAATTTCGATAATAACACTGTTGAAACTGACTTGAATGAAGCACAAAGAACAGAAATTCAGAAACAATTGATTGCCATTCTATGCAAAAGTCTAAAGAACTTTTGGATAATTTTGATTGACGATGCGGATTATATTGATTTATATTCACTAAAATTTATAAATTCCATTATAATGTCGCAGACAGTCTTCGTGATACTTGCGATTGGAAAGAATCATAAAAAGTGGACTTTACAGCATGGAAAATTTATCAAAAATGAACATGTCACGCAATACAATCTTAAGCCTATTGATAAAACATTTCAAAAGGATATTGCATGTCAGAGCCTTAATGTTTCAGCAATTCCAATAGAATTTGAACGATTCATACATAAAAATAGCAATGGGAATGCGGGATGGATTGAAGCATGTTCTAAAACTTTATTATATTCCGGAAAATTAAAAATTAAAACCTTATTGTATTTACAAGCCATCAATGATGGAATGATTATGAGGAATAAATTAAATCATGACAAAAATGATTTCTTCGATATACCATCACCACTGAATGATTCACGTCAGGATAATATTGTAATAAATGTGGCTGTAATTGAAGGTGTGTTGTGTGAAAAAGATTATATTGTCGGATATAAAAATAACAAGTTGATGGTCTATGACACATTATCATCTTATGATCAAATGATTTGTAAGTGCGCTTCTGTAATTGGTCCAAAATTCTATAGGCAGCAGTTGGATTACTTAATAACCAAAATTGATTACCGGCATGTTGGAAAGACAATTCTAAAGCTTTTTCAACTCAATATTCTCTTTTGTGCATCACTTCCGAATGATGAAAAGGAAACAAACAATTGTGTATGTAAAAATGTTGAAATTTTTGAATCATGTCGGGATTTACCAAAATACTCAAACTGCGCATATTTGACATTCAATGATGAATCATTTCGGAACTATGTCTATGATACATTAACAGAGAAACAGCGAATTGAGTACCATAGAAAGTGCATACACTATCTATGTCGAAAAACTACTAAATGTGAATCCTGTAATCGCCAGCGGTTTGAAATTATTGATGAAATAAAGTTCAGCTTTTACGATGGAATTGTCAAAAAAGATTGCAAAAAGTCAGAAATGAGAGAAAAAGTTTTAAAATCCGTCCTTCCTTCAATAACAAATCGATGTAATGACATATCAAGGAGACAACAATCTATTGTTTTGAATTTTATGAACTACGAATATCGCAACTGTAAATGCAAGTTTTTGCTTCATCATGCTTTCAATGATGTTGTGAGGCATTGTCAAGGAAGAGATTTAATCACGAAGAAGATTTTCTCACAAATTGTGTCGGCTGATTTGAGCATCAAAACTGGAAACATTCCAAATGCGATGCATTCCTTGGATTTAACACTTGAATTATTGAATGTGAGCTTGTTATTTTTTCTTATGTAAGGCAGGCATATGTAACATTGTAACTGTAATTTATGTTTCATTTATTGGCAATTAGGACGAATCCATTTTCCATAAAGATAATTTCATGTTTACAACATATTTGCGAGGAAGGGCTTATGGTCTTAAAGGAAGGTGTTTAGAAAGCATTGGAGAAAATGAAAGAGCTATTGAATGGTATTGTCACGCTTGCAGTGTCTTTAAGATTTCATTTCCAAAGAAATTGTAAGTTTTCATCCAGCTTTAAAAAAACCTTAGTCATTAATAAATCCTCTACATTCTCAGCAATTTTATGGCTAAAATCAAGCAGTATCAACTTATTGAAAAAATCAAATACAAACTTAATCACAGTCATGAACCGAAATTGACAAGACTACAGCTAATGATTATCAACGAATGCTCACTTCTTCTACAAAATTTATTCAACTTCTTTACAAAAACAAAACAAACAAAGTTGGCGACTTTAGCAGCAGTTTGGGCACTAAAGGATGCTTTAAAAACGAAACACAAAATTGTATCATTAGTGACATGCTTCACAAATTTCCTGAATTGTAAAGCGAATGCCTGCATAAAATCATTTGACATGAAAATTTTCAGCGAACTTTTTGACTCAATTTTATGTCAGAATATCGATAAAGAATGTATCGAAAAAATTGTGGAACTTTACACGGCTGTTATGGAGCATCAGTATGTATTATGTTTTATGCATAAGCATCCTTAATATGCTAATAATATAATTTTCTTTAGGATTTATCGACGAAATATTAAATTTGCTATCAAAATTGGAAAATTTGCAAAGAAAATGTGCTACAATCTAGGCAATAACGAAGCTCTTTTGAAAGTTATTCCATCTTTATTTATATTGTATATGAAGTCATTTTGTATTGAAGATTGCTACAAACTACTGCAAGAACTGCATTATTCTATCAAATTCAATAGCAATGATGAAAATGCAAAAATTTGGTTCTATGCACTTTGTATGGATTTATATTTAGATACAAGACACGATTGTGTTGTTGACTATGACGAATGCAAAAATATTTATATCGAAGCCATATCAATTCAGTCTATCGAAATGAATATTGAAGCATATTTGAGATTTATTATAAACTTCAATTTGTGGAATGCTCGAAAAGGTTGGAAAGATGAATTACAGCTTTTAGTTATTCCAATAATAGAAAAATCCTTCGCACATGACAGCCTGAATTTCAATCAAATTTTCACTGGAATGCGGTTGTTGGAGTTATTACATATCCATATGAGTCAGAATGATGAAAATTTTATTAGGATTAAAGAATTATGTGAGGTTATTGAATTGCGGATGGAAAAGCTTAAAATCAGCTGGTGACATCGAGTTTAAATAAAATTCTGTAATTATTCAAAAGGATTATGTTCGTCCATTTATCACTAGACTTGATGTTGATCTGAAAAAGTTTTGACTTTATGCTACTTGAAATAATGCTGAAGCTAGTGCTGCACCTATTTTTTTAGCGCATTTTTGAAACTTGTTTCTAAAAGGTAGCTTAATATCTCACTTTGTCTGTTCGTTCGGGCGCAGAAAAACTTTTTAACTAGACATCGTAGAGAGTTCTAGTTTGCTTTATTAGCTCAGGTCCGTTGTTTTATTTTCGGGAAACGCATTTAAAAGTCTTGAAACAGTGTTTTTGTACTATAATTAATGATTTTTATATTTCATATGAAAAAACACGTAATGAGAGCGTTTAGAAATTCGAATTTATTTCTACCGTTGAAAAATTTTGAATCTCATCTATAATTAATGCTTTCACTGTAATTTTTGGCAAGATACTTTCAAATGCATACGACCGTACAAAATTTGAACTTCAGAAAACCGTTAAATGATAAACAATTTTTATAGGAGAATGAAAGATATTAAATTGATAAATATACTATAATTAATGATTTTTTGTATATCTTTTGGCGAGAAGCTTTCAAAAACTTACTGACCGTTAGAAAATTTGAATTTCAAATAATCGTTAAATGATAAACAGTTTTTGCATGATAATTGAGTATATCAAATTGATAATTATGCCATAGCTAATAATTTTTAAAGCAACTTTTGGTATAAAATTATCAAATATTCAGTGGACGTTATAAAATTTGAATTTTAGAAAATCGTTGAATGACAAAACCCTTTTTAGTGAATAAATATTGTGCTGTATTTTACTACTGAATCCATGTTAATTAGCCAATCAAATACTGATCGCTGCGTCAAAAATGCGCTGAAGTCCCTCGATCAATAAAACGAGGACTTTTGTAATTTTTTATTCAAATAAAATGAAAAAAGTTGTGTCTAAAACTTAACTACCAAAGATTCCAAGATCTTATCGATTATGAACTACATGTCAACTACCGAAAAGTATGAAAAATGTAAAGCAAATGTTAAATAATGTATAACATGTCAATAACAAGACATAGATAAGAGATACTTAATTTTCTTCAACAGTATTTCTTTATTATTCTTCTTTTTTTTTTAAGTAACAAATCTCATTTTGATAATTGAAAAAAATCTACTCATGTCTTTCAGACCTAAGTTCTGGCGCTAATGAAATGCAATGAAGACAATAAAAATATAGATATTTAAATAATTATTCACTTTAAGGCCTGACGAAGCAGTATTTAAATTCATTTTAAGCATATAAACATTTTTAACTCATTAATTTATTACTTTACAAGGAAAAAGAATCACAAATTTTTATTTAATGTCCAGCAACTAAATTGTCACAAACAAAACAAAGCCTTTTGCAAGCTGTTCTGGTTGCTGGTTTTTTCAAAAGAAATAAATTTATATGATGGATGACAGTAACTCTTATATACTATAATTAAAATCTTTCTACTTCACATATTATAATTCTTTTTTTTACGTTGATTCACGTTTACTACTCGTTTTTTTTTAAAGATTCTTTTTTGTTCTTTGAGTAATGCTTTTAGATATGTCAAATTTTCAAGAAACAAATAATTCTTCCATTTTTATACTTATGACAATAAATTTACAACCAATCAAGAGTATTTTAATAATTAATTAAATATTGCAACGAAATAATTGAAATTTGTTTCAAAAGTTTATCATAGCTTTTATTTGTCATTTTCATCGTTATTTAATAACTTTAAGAGAAGAAATGAAATTTGGCATTTTCATTATACTTTTAAAAGTTGGGAACCGGTTGAATAATAAAAACTCCTATAATCTAATGGAAATGCTTCATCATTATTCTTATTTTTTTAAAAGTCTACGGATTTCTCTTGATCATTCTACCTCTATATTTTTTTTTTTAATTGCAGAAATTTCCATTTCAAATTATTGCTGTTGGTTTAAAAGTCATTTTTTGCCAACGATATGAGATACTTTTTTTTTTCATCAAATACATATTGCGGACGGTAATAATTACTAATTGTTTTTAAATTAATTAACGCATATTTTGTATTGATTTTTCAAAAGGAAGACGTTAAAATACTTATACATAGTTAGAACATTTTATTGGTAATAATCAAGATGAGCTAGTTTTCGGGGAATTTTTGATGCAATTTCTTGTTTTATAATTTTTGCTTTGTCATTAGTTTCGTTGACATATATTCGCTTCACATTTGTCTTTTAAAGATGAAATGCCTTTTAAAATTTTTTGTTGACATTAAAGAAGTTTTTTGGAAACACCAAAACTCCACTCCTAACCATCCAAAATAAGCATCATCTTGTCAATAATAAAGTTTCGTTTAAAAAAAATGCTCAATCATTGAACCAAATAAAATGTTGGCTGGCTTTTGTGTTTGATAATGAACTTACTACAAACCTATGTAGCAAAAAGAACAATAATAGAATAAGTTTATGCAATTGCTGTTTTGGCTTCTATTTTCTCACGTTTTCTCTCCTCTTTTAATCTTAATTTGGCTAATTTTTCTTCCTCTTTTGCTAAACGTTTCTCTTCCTAATCGATATTTTGGCAAAATAAAGAACAATAACAATCGGACATACTTCAAAATGAATTATTGAGCATAATCTTATTTACCTTTTTAGCAGCTTTCTCGGCTTTCTGTTTAAGTTTCTCTTCTTTCTTTAAATCCTTTTTCTTATCATCCTTACTTGTAGCCTTAGATGCATTCGCGGAAGTAGAAGACTTTGAATTTGTCGAGGAGGCTATTGTGTACGGTTTAAAATGGAATCCAGATGTGGAAGGCGTTATACTAGCAGACTGTGTCACGTTAGTTTTATTAATAAGTGTAGCTTTCGATATGATTGGTGCGACTTTTGAATTATTTATGCTTAATTTCTTCGAACTAATTGATGACAGTGGTGGTGATGATGTATCGGCTAAAAGTGGTTCAAGTTCTGATGATGATTTTGATGACTTTGAGGGTAATGTGTATGTTCTGTAAGGATGTTTGGATGTTTGATATTTAGACAGTAAATATATTGGCAAAGATTGATTAGATAACTCACTTAAAACGAACGGAATTGACCGGAGAAGGTGTTCGATGTCTCGAAGGACTTCTTACAGCATATTCCTTAATTGGTGGCAAGCGATTTGGCAGATCAGGAATTCTACCCTATAATAAAATAAATCTTTTAATGCTTTAAATGTATGCAAAATATATTTCTATCCAAATCCCTTACTCTAAATGAGTGGCTTTTATGACCTCGAAAATTTGAATGTGAATTTCTTGGAATTGCTCCTAAACAGCCATTAGTGCTACAATTGTGATTATGATTATGCAATTTATTTTCTACCGACGAGTGGGAAGACATTGTAGATGCACGTGACGTTGCTGAGCCACTCGAATAACCCGAAGCACAAGATGACGTTCCTGAGCTCATTGAGTACAATGACGCAGATTGTGGCACCTTTTCGCCCATTGTATATGAAGCTGCTCCTACGCTGTAACTACTCGCTGATCCTCTCACCTAAATGTAATTATTATTATTTTTATATAAATGAAGGGAATCATAACGTGTCGTGTAACTTACACTCCAACTTTTACTTCCTACAGAATAGCTGCTTGCTGACTCTTGCAATCTAAACGTTCCAGAACTTGACGTTAATTTATTTATACGAGCTCTACATATAACACATCTTAATGGTAACAGTCGTTGAACGACAGCACTTTGAATTGTCTTTACAAAACATCGCCGGCAAACGACTTGATGGCCGCAAGGCTGTGTCTTCATCGTTGCTTTACTAGTGATACATATGACACATTCATCTTGTTCGGATGTTGATGCCTCCAGTTCAGTTTGCTCTAGTTTAACTAGTAATTTTTCCTAACATAAAAATAAAGGTGGGTGGAATAAGAAGGAAAGTTTAGCCTCTTAAAAATCACACATTCAAGGTTAGAGGAGGTATCAAAAATTATGTATTGGATTAGTATACAAAACGCGCTTTACTTCATTAGCATATCCTTTATTTCACTCACGACGAGGAAAAACCTTAATAACATAAATATAATTCTATGTAAGTTAAAATGGTAAGAAGGGAATGGGAGATCTAAGGAATATTGATTTAACATAATCAAAGTTTCAATTGTATTAGTCTCTCTCTCTGTCTCTCTTTAAATATATATAAATACTTTATATCAACAGCATGATACTATCATCTTATTGATTATACGTTCCAAAATAATATATTTCATTGAGCTCCCGAGTTCCTAACAAGCCATGTTTTCAACTTTCATTCATTTGGTCGCAGGAAGTAAGTAAATTTTCTTGACTGTATAGTTTTGGTCATTTGTCTTTGTTCTCATTTTATTTAAACTTCCGCGACAGGAATTACGCTTTTAGAAGATGTGAATTATTTTATCAAGGAAGTAATATTATAAAAGCTTGATAAAGGTTGTTCTCTACTGAGCTGAGAGGCCGTTCACTTATTACGTTCGCATTTTAGGGGGGGGAAAGTTCACGAAAAAAATTTATTTACAAATTCACACCAAAAATATTTTTTTAAATTTTCCACCTTTTTAATGATAAAGTTATGAAGGTTAAGGGGGGGGGGGGGGGGGTTGTGAGTTGTAACATATTGTAACAAGGGGGGGAGGGGGGGGGGGGTTGGTGAAAAAAAATCGTTTTTTTGCGTAACGTAATAAGTGAACGGCCCCTAAGGTGATCTGAGATTAAATTTTGGTAAAAGTTGGGTTAAAAATGGATCTTGAGTTTGAAATAAATCTTTATGTTCAGTAAAGTTGAAGAATGAATTCTTAAAACCAAATTTCAAGTTAATTTCAAATTCTCTAGCTTTATAAAAACAAGTATCATGAAATTTGATACCATTGTCAAGTAAATGTCATCAGATTAAGAAATGCTTTGTCATGCGAGCAGCCGACTAGTTCATATTAGGTATGTAAAAAGGTATAAAGAAAAGTAGATTTCTTTATTATTCGTAAAAATAAAGTTGGTTTATATAGATAATTATATTTCCCTTTTCTATTTTCCTCGCAAATTTATCGAACAAAAATATGTTTATATTCTTGCCAAATATATTTCAATCTAGTCGATCGCTGAAAGAGAAAATGCTTGACGTCAAAAAAGAATTTTTTTTTTATGTTTTTGGGGTTCACAATAGCGTAGCGAAAATGAGTTAGACACAGATATATGTAGATTGGTGCAAAACGGAAATATCGTCAAGTAGATATGCCAAAAAAAAATTTCCCCTTTAATTTATTAAGTACGGTATCGATTTGATCAATAGTCGCTGGGTACTTTCGGGCGTGTGAGGTCGTCTTGATCTAAAAAAAATTTCACGTGAGTTATTCAAGGTTTCTGAGGGAATTTTTCTGAACTATGTGCTAACAACTTGATAATTTGTTGATTGTCTGTTTCCGTGTTAAAACTAAGGTTCAACTTTTATGAGGAAAAGATGGTCTTTATGGTTTGAATTTTTATGATTTAAATATTACAGAATAATTTAATTTATTGATCCCTGCCACCCACATTAAGCTCTCATAATTCTCTCAAATGAAAGCTTTTTTTTTCCACAGAATTGGTTTAAGATGTACACGAATGGTAAATATTCATAACATATTCGTGATTTTTTTTTTGGCAATGCTCATTTTTTTCCGTTTTTATATCTTTAGGGTCATAAAAATGTTATTTGGGAATATAGAAAAATGACAAAATATAGCATTGAATAAATACACAAAAAATGATAATTTCCCTCAGTATGGGTTGTTTTCTGCTTCCGTTCAAGTGGTTGATATGGTGAATTATTATATTTTTAACAAAAATGAACGAATATAGCCCATAGAAATGTTTTATTCTGTTTATGAAATCGCATAAAATCGATTAATAAGGTAAACAATAGAAAACTTATTTGTCTAAATTTCAGAGATAATTTCAGCTAGGGACCGATTTAAATAATTAAATAGTGAGAAAATTATGACTATGCTGTTGAAAATTTATTGTCAATAACATGTTCAATTAGTGCAAATTGAATTTCTTTTTCTTCTCAGCCATTCAGCATTCCATTCTCTTTCTCTCTGTAGCTCGCCAGAATGTCAAATAAATTTCACCAGACGATTTTTTTTTCGGGCATTCACAAAATTTTGTTGGCATCGAATTGAAGTTTTGTGACTTGAATTCTTTCGTAGGCATCGGTGAAATGGAATCGATGTTATTTATAGACCTGGATTATGGTCAAAAACTTGTTCGGTAATAACAACAGTTACAGCAAAAATGTCAAGGAACAAGAAAATGTTTTCATTTTGCAAGTAAATTAAAAGAGAGAAATTTCTTAATAAAGTCCGAGTCAGGGGAATTATTTCATTAAAATATTCATGGATTTTATTTCAACATTATGCTGATTAAGAGACCAAAAATAAAGCTGCATTATTCTTTAAGAAAAAAAAAAATCCAAACTTCTGTTTAAGCATTACAATTGTAATTCATTGTTAACTCTAAGTATGAATTTTGCTTTCCTTCATATTCTAGGCATTAATTATGAAAAATACCATAGCAAAAAGTTTGTTAACAAATTTGCAAATATAATTTTTACACTGTTATGTTGTTATATTGTTAAGAAACTAGAGCATTAAGTCGTTTAAACTAATGTCTGCGAATCACAGAAGCTATATATTGGATATCAATCATAATTCAAGAAAGTCTAATTTAAAACATTGAACCTTTAAGTTTAAGAATTTAGTAAAATTTGAAGTTAAAAGTCAAAAGGTGAAATTTAAGGATTATTAATAACTAAATCAGGGCGATAAACAAACAAAGAATGAGAATTATTCTAAAAAAATTTGCTTTTCTTTTTCTTCATTTCCTTTCTACTTCATTTATGAATATATATTGAGGAAAGAATAACTTTTATTCTATTGTTAAAAGGTATAATTATCCATTTGTTATATTCTGTAATGCATAATCTTTAACAAAAGTTTAAAAGCTGTCTAGTGTATTATGATAATCTGTTATAGAGTTGATAGTTGTATAGCAAGAAAGATTTACAATCATAATAGCTCATTCAACCATAATAAACTAATAATAAACAAGTCATGCTGCTGGATAGTATGTCTATCATGTCAATAATCCTATCATATCCTTAACATGTCTATAATCTATAATCAATTTTTTCGCACGTATACATAATTTAAAATCCTCAGTTAAATGAGAAAATAAAATAGTAGACCCACACACATATACAGACATATAGAACAATTTTTGACACATTGGGTGTGATTTTATTTCCAAAAAGCTTATATTCGTGCTTCACGAAATCACATTTTCATTAATTCATTTAACTTATATGAATAAATTATTTACTAAAACAACTAAAATGAAATGTTTTTAATCATTTTGAGGTGTACGAAATCCCTGTTCTGTATTTGCACTCCTTATAATGCATTTAAATTGGTCAGCATTTCCAAAGTATGATGCTATTTTGGTAATAGACGATACTTATGTAAATTTTTATAACGAATCACAAAATACTCATTAGCGTAACTTTTTATTTTATTTTTTCGTGTATATACAATGTGTTTTATATCGTGATTCAAGAATAAAGAAGAAAACATTTTGTACTTACAATTTTATGATGTAGTGCAGTTAGTTCTTTTTCCGTAACTTTTCGACTTTGTGCTTCTCGTCTTCTCTGTTTTACATTTGAATTAAATCGATTGGAATTGGGTTTTGAGAATCTTTTCCCTTGATTGCGTTTTTCAGGCTGATTTGACTCAACTAGATGTTCTTTTCTAGTTCTATCAAATATTGCTGATAAGATCCAATGGTCAGCAATATTATCCATGATTCTAGTTGAGGTGAAATCAGCCGAAAATCACACTTTTTTTAAACAAACTTACTTGTTTGAACTGATTATACTTTGAGGCTATTGCTTCAAACGGAGATTTGCTTTCGAAAATATGAAAAGCCATTTTCTGACTAATTTATTTTCTTCTTTATCTTGACGTTCTTTTTTCCTCACAATTTAATGTTAAAAATTACACAAATTCATTATGTTTTCAGTTCATAATTCAACATTATTCCTTTCAATTTAAACTTTTATTAATCTTAATCATTATTCACTATTTTTAAATGAGATGATAAATTGGGAAGAAAATAGACCTAATAAATTTTTAAATTACAGTCATTGCGTCAATTTTTTTTCACATAATTTGACATCCGATTAAAACTATTTGGGTCGTTTTTAAAATCATGAATACTGTAATTTAATTAAATTCACTATAATTTTGTTGATTGCTATTAGTTTAAACCTGAATTTTCTTCACAAAATGGATTTGAAAATTTTCTTCAAATAAAATCAAATTGCATCAAACTTTTTATTTTCATATTTCATTTTATTCTACTGATTATATTTTGTATCCTTTTATTTTGCCACTCAAAAACAGTACAATTCATGATGAAATTCTTTTTAAAAATGGAAGAGATGAGGTTTATGAAAAAATAAAATCACACAAAAAAAAAGTTTTACAGCAGTTCAGTGGAAAAAATGAAATTTTACTAAATAGAATTTTCCTTAAAAAAGAGAATCATAAACAAAGAGAGCTTGAAAGAGAGTAGAGAACTTTGAAAGCTTTGGAGCATGCGTAACATTTTAAGAAGCATGTTGTGCTTTGTAGTATTTTCTGTCCGGAAATTAAATAAAAATGAAATGCTTTTAAGTTGTTGAATTATGACCGAAGCGCATTTATTTTTTTGATGATATCGATTTAATAAAAAAAAGATTAATAAGAAGTTCTCATGCGCTTGCTAACGTATTGTTATTAGTTGTTTGCCTCAAGATTAATGATTAATTTTCACTAGTTGATCTTTCAATCAAAAGCTTAACGTCGTTTATTGTTTGACTCAGACTTGCGTCATTTCGTATGTTGGCATTTATGTAAAATTTTGAAAAATTCAAAATTTATTTTCCGTTAAAGCATAAAACAAAATTTTGCTTTAATTAAGCTAAAGATTATGAAGCTTTTCGATCAGTATCACTAATTATGTGATCAGTAAGTTGTTAATCATTGTTTCAAGCAGTTTCAAGTAAGAAAATTCCTAAATTAAGAAAATTCAGTTGAAATTGAAAAATGTCAACAAAAAAATGTAAGTGTATTAGTGTGAAAATTTCTTGAAAATATTTCTGCAAAAAACTCTTTTGTTTCCTGATATTCATGATTTTAAAGCTTATCAATGTTCATAAAAAATAACAAGCTTTGATTCTAAGCGAGTTGACAGTAGTTATCATAGCTAAAATGCTAAAAATTCAGCATAGAATTTTTTAAAGTTTTACCGGTTGAATTGAGTTTAAATTTTCGAAATAAATTTCGAATTTTTTGAAGCCAATTTCGAATTTCTTCGAAATGAAATGACGCAAGTCTGGTTTGACTTGTCAGAGTTTGAAAGTCTGCTTTTCTGATGTTTACTTTATGATAACTTCACTTGTTTAAAGATAAATGTTTATTTTGTTTTATTGGTGCTAAATGTGTTTCTTATAAAGTGATTTAATATTGTTTTCTAAGAATTCTAGATTCTCCGAAACCAAATAAAAATCTTCTATGCCTGTTGTCAATATATCCAAACTGAAATTGGATGATTCTTAGCAGTTTTGTCGTAAGTCAGTTGACGACATTGAATGAACTATAGCCAATTTATGGTCCAAATTAAGTATGACAAAGTATATATTGCTGGAAAGGCCTCTATTTCAGCTATACGATTCCACCATTTTTGGAATTTTTGAAACGGTTTTATCGGTTTTGTATTGGTTCAAAGTCAATGTAAAATGAACTGCTAATAACTTTTGATCAGAATGGTAGAAATTAAAAATTCTTTTTGGTATTAAGAGCCTGTAAAAATCAACTGAGCTTTTAAGGGTTTTCAATTTTTTCTCATGAGTGTTTTATCATTTTTGAAGGGTTTGAAATGAAAAACTAGATTTTGACTAGGGTCGTCCCAAGTTCATAATTGAAAATGTATTTCCTTCTTGGTTCTTTGCTCAAAAAAATTTTAAGAATGTTTTATTTGTATTTGTTTTAAGCACTAGAATATTTATGCAAAGTTTCAATCCATTTGGATAAACCCTCGAAGAAAAAAGTGACAAAATTGATTTTGACTAGGGTCGCCGCTAGTCCAAAATTGAAAATGTATTTCCTTCTTGGTTCTTTGCTCAAAAAACTTTTAGGATGTTTTATTTGTATTTGTTTTAAGCATTAGAATATTTATGCAAAGTTTCAATCCATTTGTATAAACCCTCGAAGAAAAAAGTGACAAAATTGATTTTGACTAGGGTCGCCCCTAGTCCAAAATTGAAAATGTATTTCCTACTTGGTTCTTTGCTCAAAAAAATTTTAGGATGTTTCATTTGTATTTGTTTTAAGCACTAAAATATTTATGCAAAGTTTCAATCCATTTGTATAAACCCTCGAAGAAAAAAGTGACAAAATTGATTTTGACTAGGGTCGCCCCTAGTCCAAAATTGAAAATGTATTTCTAACTTGGTTCTTTGCTCAAAAAAATTTTAGGATGTTTTATTTGTATTTGTTTTAAACACTAAAATATTTATGCAAAGTTTCAATCCATTTGTATAAACCCTCGAAGAAAAAAGTGACAAAATTGATTTTGACTAGGGTCGCCCCTAGTCCAAAATTGAAAATGTATTTCCTACTTGGTTCTTTTCTCAAAAAAATTTTTTTCATCCAAAGTTTAATTTAAAAAAATCACAGTGAACTTTTAATTTGAAAAATTCGTAAGAAAGGAAAGTTTTTTGCTTTTTCTGAAGCAACGGCTGTTCCTACCTTGCCCAAAAACAATACAGCTCTTCTATAGAGCAGTACGGATCAAATGTAACAAACTAGAAGTCTCTACGATGTCTCGTTATTGAGATTTCTTGCTGATTAACTTGCTTGTTTGCTTTTTTGCTTGCTTACAGAAAACATATTTTGCTATTTTCTCAGCAATGCCGCAACCAATTTGAAATCTGTTTTTTTTTGCAAAAGATGTGAAATTCAAGGCACAAACTTTTCATGCCTGAACATTTTAAGCTATCTTGCTCCATATCCTCACAAAATTCTAAAAACTGATTTTTTGAAAGATTTTGAAAATTCCAAAACAGATTTAAATAGTATTTTTTAAGACCTTTTCAACGACATATAGTTTGTATGCCTTTATTTGCATTGTTTTTGAGAAAAATAATGATTACCGTTTCAAGCTTGTTGTTGTTGTAAAAAAATTGAAATCTTACTTTCAGCTTTTCTCAAAAACAATGCAAGTAAAGGCATACAAACTATATATCGTTGAAAAGGTATTAAAAAATACTATTTAAATCTGTTTTGGAATTTTCAAAATCTTTCAAAAAAGTTGTCAAAAATGTCAAAAATTATTTTTTGACCTAATTTTCGTACAGACCCCAAACATGTGATACATCATTATAAAGTTATTTTAATGCTGATTATGATTGCATTAAAAGATTTATTTTAAAGTTTCAAATTATTATAGAAAAAGTGAAAGAATTTCTCAAAATTTAATGTTTTGACTGTTGAGACAATAGTTATGAAGCGACCCCAAATTCAGTTTCTGTTAATTAAACTACATAAAAAGTGAATCAATCAGCAAAAGTTTCATATTCATAGCTTTTTTAGTTCTTGATTTATTAACGTTTGAATTTTGAAGTTTGGGCCCTTCAAAAATGATATAACACTCATGGGAAAAAATTGAAAACCCTAAAAAGCTCAGTTGATTTTTACAGGCTCTTAATACCAAAAAGAATTTTTAATTTCTACCATTCTGATCAAAAGTTATTAGCAGTTCATTTTACATTGACTTTGAACCAATACAAAACCGATAGAACCGTTTCAAAAATTCCAAAAATGGTGGAATCGTATAGCTGAAATAGAGGCCTTTCCAGCAATATATACTTTGTCATACTTAATTTAGACCATAAATTGGCTATAGTTCATTCAATGTCGTCAACTGACTTACGACAAAACTGCTAAGAATCATCCAATTGATAACAAAATCAAACAAGGTTTCAAATCAATTCATCGACAGCTATAAAAGTCAACTGACATGAATTGTTCAAAACCAATCCTTTTAATCATCAATAATCCACATTACATGACTTTTCGCATCAATAAATCATATCTACCCTAGTTCATAGTTATTAATCACAATAGCACATCATTAATGTAAAAGGCGTAAAGCAAGTCAATATGCGAATTATTTCATTGAATTCCAGTTTCTCAATTCAAATTTTTAATGACATAATCTTGACCGAGTCCATCGCAGACTTTTTTATTGTAAGTCATTCATTCGTAAAATTTTATGCAAATTAAATCTTTATCGTAAGTAAACCGTTAGACTCAAAATTAGCTTTGCTCTACGGAAGCATTCGTTATTTGAGCACGAGACTTGCTTGGATCTTGTTCCCAAAAAAAAAACTATCAACAGACACTCTTATCTGCAATGTTTGCACACAATATGTGACACAGCAGAATGAAATGTTTTATTTAAAATTATGAACCTTTTCTAGAGGGCTGACTATGGATGACGTCAAGACTCACTTCCTCATCCGCAACAAAATTTTAAGCAATTCGTCACGTGCTTGCACTGACCTCTCTTCCTCAAATATTTGACGTCATAAGGGGCTGTTCACTTATTACGTAACGCGAAAAAATGACTTCTTAGACCCCCCCCCCTCGTAACAAAATTTGTATGAAAAAAAATTTCCTTGTTTGAACCGTAACAAAATCTTAGACCCCCTCCCCCTAAAAGCGTTACGTAATAAGTGAATGGCCCCTAAGTGGACGACTACTTATCGTATGTTTATTTTCTCTGAAATTCCTAGTCAATGCTTTCAAACGAGAGAAGAGAATGTCATGAAAATGTCATGTGAAAAATGAGTCGTGAGAGAATCTAAGGAGATTTCTTTATTCCTTCAATATTTAAACTTAATACTACGCATTCATTATTCAGGAATTGACAATAACTCAACATTGAGTTCCTTGCGTAGATCGTCCATATCTTGATCCCATCTCTTTTCCCAGTAAACATTCATCAAGTGTTTTGCATCGCTTCCATTTTTAATGGCCCAAGGTAGATAGTATTGACTATAGAGTTTTCTATGTTTAGTTTTAAGCCTCATTGCCCCAAATACAGCTCCTGTGTACAGAAGTAATGATTTGAATATGTATAGAATAATAAGAAGATAATTTTCTTACCGCCGTAGCACATTGGTAATCCAGTATTCGTAGCCTCAACCCATTTTATTGCCACTTCCCCTAACATTGTTGTGGGCATATCTAATAATGTATGTACAAGATCATGAGTTTCTCGATATCGGGTCATGATGTATGCCAACTGTGGATATATGTATAAGAACAAATAAACACATTATTTAATTAAGATAATGTCTATGCATTACCATTGGATCATCTATAAAACGAACATCTAGTCTTGTATCGGGCGTTACATGCTGTTGAAAAAGTCATAAAGTTAATTTAAATTAATGGCAGCTAAGCAAGTTTAATTCTAATTAATATACATTATCCTCAAGGAATTTCCAATAATTATATCCCAATGTATTCACAGGCAAAGATTTGAGCTTATCAAAACAGACAGTCTTTGTGTTGATGCGAGGTTTTTCCCATAAAAGTTCTCTACCTTCATCGGATTTAGACATTTTCTCATAAATTTTCTTTAAAGCCTCAACTCCCGTCGTTTCCCCTAGACAAGCTATAGAGTCATGACGATGTGGATCCAATATAGCCGTTATGGAAGCTCCTATTGCGAGTAAAGCTCTTTGAAATTCACTGATTTCAATTTTTCTCTCATTAAATTCTTTTGTGAATTTATCGATGAATTCTGCATCGTCTATGCTCTCGTCGAGGACACTAGATTGATTATTTACATTATTAAATCCAGTAACTGCATGTTGTATTAATCTTATGCTGTTCGGTGCTGCTCGTCTTCTTTGTGCTAACTTTGATAAATTTCGTAGTGCTTGCATTTTTTTATATTTGTTATTTCAATGAGTTAGTGCTGTAAAGTAGTCAAAACAAGGTTCTTTATATTAGCACACAATCTTCAAAAAAACACATTAAGAAATTTCTGCAGAAAAAAGAGTGAGTAATAAAGTTCTGTAGATAGTTTAATGATCCTACAATTTTTTTTTTATTTATTTATTTAAAGGTATGCTTCTCATTTTTTTTACATCGTCATCATTCATCATCAGTCAACTTAGAAATTAAAATACATAATAATGCTTGAATCATTTTAAAAAATGTAAGTTTTCTGCAAGTGTGATTCCTTTGGTATGGCATGTTATTTTGAAATACGTAATAATTATTAAAATATGATACGTACAGTAATAAAGTTAACGAACATAGACACGATAAAATAATTTTGTAATAATTTCAAAAATTGCTTAAAGTCCCTATCTATAATTTAATTGAATATGAAGTCATATACCTAAGTATATACTGTTAATTCGTGTCGAGCACAGTTTTGCATGACGAGCGTTCCATCAATTATATTTTGATTCTCAAATCAACCACTTCATAACTGCGCTTCAGTCACCCGCATTTGAAACCTTTTTCCTTGAATATATATTTTTTTAAACATTACAAAATAATATTATTATCATTCAGTTTTGCTTAAAGCAATAAAAAAATAATTTTACACGTTTTTTAACTTTAAACTTTACGGAAACTACTCTGACGTGGAGATTTTTTTTTGTGTTTATCCAAGGTCGCATGATACAATGGTTCTTCAATCAACAATTATGTATAGATGCTCAATAAGAGAGAGCAAAAAAACTATATAATAAAATCTTAAAGTGCCTGTGAAATAATTTACGATCACATTAAAACTTCCTCTTTTTTTTGTTTTACTTGAAATTCTTTCCATTGTGCGTAATTGCATACGCCGGTAGCATATATGCTTGTGTACCGAGTACCGAAAAGTTGATAATAATTTTTTTGTATGTAGATAATAAAAAAAATCGGAATGGCACTTTCAGCATGCATTATTTATGTATAAAATAATGGTAAAGAATTGAATTTATGTCTTATACATTCATCATACATTATCAACCTTTGATAAGAGCTTCTCACGATCCTGTTGGTCGCCACGATGTTGAGGTTTATGCTTCTTACGAAATGTGACATAAGTGTAAACCAGACTAGCCATTACGCTTATATTAATTCCAATACAATTGAGCCATGAAAATATATAATCACCACCGATGAACATTCCAATGTATGTGATGCTAACGTTTTTAAGACAGCCGACAATTGTTGTTGTAAGTGCAGAATTATATTGTGTACATAACACGGTACTGTAGTTAAGCACAAATCCCATTATGCATGATAATAAAAATTGAACAACAAATAATGGATTTGACCATTGATCATATTCTAAGGCTAATTTTATATCACCAACAATATATGTTATCATTAATGCAGGAAGCAACATAAATAATGAGTTGTAGTACATTAATCCGTATGTTCCAAGGTCAGATCCCACGAGCTTCTTTTTAATAAAAACTCCATTTGCTGCCGTCAAGGCATTAGTAATCATTATAAAAGTATAGCCTTCGAGATTGAAGGACAAATCATCAGTGGCGGCAAGTAAAGCTCCTCCAACCATTGAAAAAACACTCAATTGAACTGCCGCACTAGGACGTACTTTGAGTACGTAATATTCCAAAAACATCGTCATGAGTATCGAAAATCTTCTTAATGCAGCAAACATCGGAAGACTTAATGCTTGCGTACCGCCTAATCCAAATACTGCATTTCCAAGATATATTAATGGTAAAGGAAATATATTTCTTATCAGATCTCTTGATGTTGAGGGTATTGATACTATTTTAAGCTTATTTCCTGTAAACAGTACTATTATACTAGCTATTAATTGTCCTAAAGTCAGTACAAGAAATGATGGGAATTTGTATGTCGTTAGCACTCGCTTATTCACTACAGTTATCAAAAATGATGACAGACCTGTTTAGAAAAGTAAATATCAAGTGTTTTATAAAGTTTCTGAATAAGTTTGCTTAATCTTCTTTTCGCGATATTTAAACTAGTGACTCAAAAAAATTGTATTAAATCTTGTCCTGGATATTTACCATAGAATACAGCGGTGCTTATTTTCATGAATTGAGTCGAACCATCATCTTTGTTATTATTTTCTTCCTCCTTAGACATTTTATTTGCACCTCTTACTATCTTAATTAATAATTTTCTTTTAAAATTATTCACACTATGTATTGTTCATGTCTCACGAATAAAGTTGGTAGCTTCCTATAAGACACACTTGGGCTACAATGTCACTTTGGATGGCTGACTACTGTCAAGACTGATTCTTTTTAATTTTGTTAAACTTTCACTCTTTTCACTTTGAAAACTTTCGTTGAATCTTCGTTAAGTTTTCTTTGTTTACAAAAACAAATCATAAAATTAAAAAACAAATCATTTTGTGATCATAAAATTCAAATTTTAAAAACTTGCTTTTAAATTTCAATTTTTAAGATTTTAAGCTCGATCAATGGTTTTAAACACTTAATTAATGTTAAATTGATTGAAAAACATTATGATGCGCTTAATAACCTTGCAACTTAACTTTATTACTGGTTTTAGTAGATCAAAAATCAGTAGAATTATTATTTGTTTTGTTTTGATTAGAAATATTTGTTCTAATGCCGATCAAACACACTTGATTAACTTACTTCATTTGATTCATAAATGCACTACTTAAATAAAGTATGATTACTTTGTAAATCTAACGTAATCCGGATTTATTAAGTAAATTTGTGACATCATTTAATTCTTTGATTTACAGTTGACGATCAATATCATCGCAATCAACATTCTTAATTACCTTACGAATTGTTATAACTTCTAGGCTGTCACGTCTTTAATTATTATAGAAATCTCACTTTTAAATTAAATGTTTAAATAACAAAAAAAATGATCCAGCGTCAATTGAATTAATCGTTGGATAATGATAATATGTCTAAGATTATTATTAATTAAACTAATCGTTGTTAAAAGTTGTAATTCTTGCAGTTTGCTAATCAAAGCTATTCTAAAAGGAACTGATCATCAGAAGCTTTTATTTATGCGTATTTAGGGAATAAATAAGATCAACTGGATCATTTTTCAACGGAATTATTTAACGAAGGAACAGTATAAATCTAGTTGATGATATTTTGAGAACCATTCAATAGTTAATTGAAAAAATTAAATTATTAAATTAATAAAACACCTTTAAAATAGCATTAAAGCATGTAAAAAGTAAGTGAATTAGTTAAGGCATCAATTATTGACATCCAGCACATCGAATAATCCTTAAAAATAGCAAGAATATCGATTGTTTACGAAAAAAGTTTTAAATGCGAATATTTTTAATAAAATTATTTTTTCTTCCTTCATTCAGTGTCTAATAATCTGCAATTAAATCTGACTTTAACGCCTGGATCTATGAGAAAGCGTCCTACACCACAACTTCCAATACCAACATTACAACAGAGACCTCAAAGAAATTTTGAACATGAAAAAAGACTTAGAGCTTTAAGGACTACATCTCTAAAGATTAATGGAATTCATTATGAGACAAATATTCAAGACTTGGAGTACATTAGTGAATTAGGAAATGGAACGAGTGGACATGTAGTGAAAATGAGACATAAGCCAAGTGGCGCAATTATTGCAGTTAAGCAAATGAGACGAACTGGAAATGACGAGGAAACTAAAAGAATAACTATGGATCTTGAGTAAGTTCACTGTCTTTATCCACAACAACAACAACAATAACTTACTATTGACCTATTACTCGATTTTATCAATTACAGCGTAGTACTTAAGTCACACGATTGTCCTTATATTGTACAATGCTTAGGATGTTTCATTACGGAAGCTGATGTGTGGATTTGTATGGAATTAATGTCAACTTGCTTCGACAAACTCCAAAAGCGTCTACAAATGCCAATTCCTGAAACGATACTTCGACATGTAACTGAAGCTGTAAGTTCCTTAAACTTCTATAATTAATTTCATGGCTCATTTAATACGTCATACTTCCATTTTTGCAGACTGTAAAGGCACTTTATTACTTGAAAAATAAGCACGGTGTGATACATAGGTAATCATCATTTTCTTTGTTTCATATAAAAGTATTATCATTAATCATGTCAATTGATTTATTTAGGGATGTAAAGCCTAGCAACATTTTAATAGATGAACAAGGACATATAAAATTATGCGATTTTGGAATTAGTGGACGATTAGTTGATTCGAAAGCAAAAACTCGTTCTGCTGGATGCGCAGCCTATATGGCACCAGAACGAATAGATCCAAAAAAGCCAGAATACGACATTAGGGCTGGTATGTACATGATATTAATTTATATCTAATATGTTGTTGATTTTTTGCCTTTTTAAGACGTCTGGTCATTAGGAATTACTCTAGTTGAGCTTGCCACGGGAGCTTATCCTTACAAAGACTGTAAAACAGATTTTGAGGTATTTGAACTTATTTCATTTTCTTTTTGGACTCAATAATGTGTAAAATGATTCATTTTAGGTACTCACAAAGGTCCTAGACTCAGATCCTCCATGCCTTCCAGATGACCAAGGATTTACCGAAGATTTTAAAGATTTTGTGAAACGATGCCTAACAAAGGATTACAAGCAACGACCTAAATATAACCAATTGCTCGAACATCCATTTCTAAATAGTCCCCTTATACTAAGTTTAGTTGGCGTTTCTGACTGGTTTCATTCGCTTACTCAAGAGATTGGAATTATTTTACCTACTCAAGACCTTCCACCTTTCACAACTATGCATTTAAATAGGTGAGTGGCGATAAGTTTTACTGGAAAACAATGCATGCATTTAAGTTAATTTAAATCCGTACTTTTTGATGACTACTTTTTCATTAATTTTAATTCTAAGCGCATTTTCCCTACATTGCTGTCCGTTCCTGTGTTCGCATTTCTGTCCTTAAAATTTTACGTAGAACTTTACTTACGTTTACGTAAAACTTTCGTTGAGTATTTCAAAAAAATTCTTACTGTTTTATTTCAAACTTTTTAAACCGTTAATCTTCAATTTAGTTTTTTGACTAATTCAGTAATTCTTGTAGGGTAGATGCGCTAAAATAGGCCTTGTTTGGCAGTCACGTCTGAACTAGTTTTGTTTTTATTGATAACTTTTAATCTTATCACGTGTTGTATAGGAGGTAGATAAACAAGTCAATTAGAAAAGATCATTTTCTTCTTCCTTTACCTTAATTAAAATTAAAAAGTATTGTTATTCTTGATCATAACTCAATTCTTTTTATCATTTCGTTTTTTTTTTTGGCTTTTGCATGACTAACGAGTATTCTTTAATTGAATGCATTGTTTTACATTTAACTAGTTTTTGGTAGGGGCTATGATGTGGTTTTTTGAACATTTCTTTTTTGTAGGTAATTTGAACATAAAACATTAATACACAAATCCATTTAAAATATATAAAAATCATGTTACGATTTCTTATGCGTAAGTATGACTTCTTGCACTCACAATATCATTTGAAAAAAAATTGTGCTTGATAAATCTCGTAGGAGTTCAGAAGTAGAAGATTAGCATGTATAATCGTGAAGAAAAAAACTAATTAATGAAACACATTTTTGCCTGTTTTATAGAGCATCCTCATCAACGTCAATACAGCAACCAATATTACAATATTCACAACAGCAACCAATTCAGTTATTTAAGGAATCTAGTGTAACTGATGGTTCAATTTATATTCCCTCAAATCCTTTTTCACCGCCAATATCAACGGCAATTCCATCATCATCATCTCATGGACTTCCATTTGAGACAATGAAAATGTATTCACATATGGAAATGATTGAGAGAACAAGAGATGGCTCAATGACAACATTTGATCAGCAAATGTCAATTAATAAGCAATATGATCCAATGTCGAGTGAAATGGATATTAAGGGAAATGGGAATGGTTACCAAAAACTAGTATCAAATAAATATAATGATGGCACCAATATTGATTATGAACTGCTATCAAAGTTTAATCGTATGCATACACAATCGCCACAACTGCCTCGTAAGAATTATACGAATATAAGAAATGTAAATTCGCCAGCATATGTTCAGCAGCAGCAGCAAGGCTCACAATCGCCATTAATGCAGCATAAAATAATAAAACAACCAGAGGAGAATTATTCGTACAAGCCGAATCCTTCAATTGGAGGGACTTATTCACCGGTTGTAAAGAAACGTTATGGAACTGACGGTGTTATGGTAGCTGAAGACTTAGAATTTAGAATATTACATGGAAATACGAGTCCAATAGTCTTACAACGATTCTATCATCAACAGAATCAATTACGTGATCAGAAAATGGAAGAGCAATTACGTGCAATGAAGACATCATCGTCTACGTTAAGTACAAATCCTTTTGATCATCCACATCATCAAGCTCCTTATGCTCAAAGTAATATTCCAATAGCAAATAATTCATATTTAAAATATACATCATCACCGACACCTCAACGTAACATGAATTTCTATGAATCAAATTATAATAATCATGCTAGTCCGCAGCATCATCAGAATGCTTATCCCAATGTACCCAATGTACCCAATGCACCACAATATCCGAGAAATACGAATGGAAACTGTATGATTCCAACTTATCGATATCAATCAGATGTTCAGAAACATGAAAATTTAATAAATCGCCCACCAATTCCCAGTTCGCCGCAACTTGATCGATTGAGAGTAAATTTAGAGAAGCAAAATTTCTACGAACGACATCAATTGCCACTGGAAGTTCAATTAAAGGAGAGTCATGTGACATCGTCCTCAAATACATCAAATGACAATAAAAATGGAAAAGGTGAGGCTTTATGCTTTTTTTTTTATCTCGAATACCTCATCAAATCATAAACTATTGTTATCGTTTAAGCCAAATTACACACATTTAAATTATTTTTCCTATATTTTTGAATGCTTTTAATGCTATTTTTATTTTATGCTTCTTTCTTACCCATCCTGCATCAACTGCTTTTATGTACATATATTATGGTTTAACTAATTTATATATTCAAACTATCACCACATCTACACAAAAAAAAACATTGATATCATCTTGAATCTTGAAAAAATCACACCAAAAAGGATGGATAAATTCTCTTTCAGGCATGGTCAAAACGTACATTAAAGCACGTCTCAATCTCGATCAGAGTAACAAGGAGGGCGAGAAATCAAAGTCTTTAGCTACAATTTCACCAATTCGGTCTGCGACAAATCCTTTTGCAGCTCATTCGCCCAACAAAACGACAACACCAAATTTACTTTCATCCTCTTATGAACGACATCGTAGTCCTGATCCACCACTGAGAACGCAACGTGGAAATCAAAGTCCTTTGATATTACGACGAAAATTAGAAATGGCAGGCTCACCCATCTTCCATAGACGGTAAGCATAATTTATGTATTTATTGTATGGGATTTCTGCTTGAAATGGCTGTTATGCTTAAAATTTGAAATTTCAAACTATTCATTTTCGTTAAGTTCATTTCAAATTCAAAAAGTACGTTAAAAAATTTGAATTTCACAAGTCCGTTAAACTATGATTGAATTTTTTAAATATCAATATTTTATTTTACAGGTACATGTCTTCATCTCCATCACCTCCACCAATAGTTCCACGATCGACGATCAGGACAAATTATAATGAGATATCAAATTCTCCTCAACACTTTCACGCTAGGATAAATTTCACACCGGAACCTCAACGACGAATGTTTCATCAATAGAAGCGCCATTAACTTATCAACATAACTGACGATAATAATAATAATATAATATAAATACCTATATATCTTGCTCAGGATTTTCAGTTTGTAGTGTGTTTGTTTTCTTTTGCGAGGCTATGAAAATGTACATGAAATCGATATTTGACAAAAATGAAAAAAAAAGTTGCCTAGCTTGATCTAGAAACAAATCTTCAATGGAATGCCTTAAATGCCATTTAGCTTTTGAATTTTACCACAATATGGAGAAGAAAAAACTATAAAAAGGACAAAAAAAGTTACAATAACAAATTCCGAAGAGTTCTATTAGATTTTCTATTTTTCACAAAAAAATAAGAGAATGGAAGTCTTGTATACATACATAAATATAATATATATGTAATTTTGACTTATTCTTTGTGTAATGTTTGACTTTACATAACTTTTCTTTCCGATTTTTCATTTTAAATGTGTTTTTTGCTGTTCAAATCTATAAATTTTGTGAGGATCAAAGTCATTAGAATGTAATATCATGATGATTATTTTTATTTATACTGAGAAAACATAAAATGTAACGAATAAAAGCTAAAATTCAAGCTCAAAATCCAAATACAATGTTTTTTATTATTTTTGAAATTTAATTTACTTGAATTCAGATGGAAAAGTCTACCTTGGAATTATTTTAGATACAAAATTAACGTACAAGAGTCATGTTGATTGGATATTGCGAAAAGCAAAGTCTGTTGCATTTTCTCAGCTGTATTGCTTGCTTAAGCGAAATTCGGGAGTCACAGTTGATTCCAAACTCAGAATTTATAAATCTATAATAAGACCAGTCGTCGCTTATGGATGTAGCATTTTCATTAATTGTGCAGCTTCACACTTAAACAAAATCCAAATTTTCCAAAATAAAGTTTTGAAATACGTTCTTGATATCAAGTGGGATAATTTCGTCTCAAATCTTGAAGTTCATAGTCGAGCAAAGATTCCATTCATGGCTGATTTCTTCAATAAACTTACAGTCAACTTCTATCATAGAATTGACAGTCATAAGAACACGTTTATCAATAATCTTGGAAAATACGACTACTCTCATCTTGAATATCGACTTAAACACAAACTTCCAAGACCTGTAACATTACTGTAAAGGTTATGGGTATCATTATTTAGTTTCCAAGTGGTTCTTCTAACTACTTTATATGTTTTTTATACTTACCTGAGTACTTATTTACTTTTTTTTTATATAAAATTTTCCTCACTATGGATTGTTTTTTCAATTTTTTAGCCCACATAAACAATTCACTCATTTAACTTATAAACTTCACATTATCTACATAAACGCTCATGCTTTAGTAATGAATTAAAACCGCAAAGGTTGGTATCATTAATGTTAACTGCAATTTTTGTAAAAAAAACAAATCTACCAAAGTTCATTACAATAAAGACAAACTTTCTTTCTTTCTTATTATTTTTGAAAATTTAACGATCGATCAACATTTAAATTTTTACAAGTTTGTTTCATTTCAGTTCAGTTTGAAGTTTTGAAACCGTTACAAATTCATAACGAGACATTTTTATGCCTCTTTTTATTCTTTATTTTTATATTGAAGAAAACCTTAATTATACTTTATTAATACTTCATTAATATAACTTTAAATGCATTTTTCATCGAAAAACATTAATTAATCTTATTATAATTCCTATATAACAACGTATATATACACTAATTAATTACCATCACATTCAATATGTCTCAATCCACAATTTCCATCAACTTTGATAGACATAAACAACAGTTCTCTCTCAAAATGAAAGACTAGGTATCGATAATCACATTTGTATTGAATTTTAGGTGGCAATGTGACTGAAGACATCTGATAAGCATAATCAGGAAGAGATATGCTCTTAAACAACGTGAAACCTTGAATGCCTCGATAAATATAAATTTTAACTTCTCTTCGACTTTCCATGAAAGCCAATAAAGTCTCATCTCGAAAGTGCAGAGGATGAATATTTGATGGATCTGTACACACAATGTATTGAAAGACTTTCTCATTTATGATGTCACTGTAAATCTGTACAGAAAAAAATTAAGTTTAAACGGTTCGAATTTTTTTAAAAATTAACTGTCGAAATATTTTTAAAGTTTTAACGAAGAAATTTTAACTTGACGAAAATATTTCAAAAATAAATCCCAGTTGTATTTTCAGTTTTAGCACTAAGTTGTAAAGATTAATACATACCTCAATAACATTATTTCCTTGAATTACAGAGGTTCGTTTTCTAGAAACAGCATAAAGTGTCTTTCTATTCTTCTTTGTTCCAACATTAAGCACAGCAATTTCACCTTGTCCATGTTCAGGAATTATATTATTTTCTGTATCTCTAACGCCTTCTCCATTGATCATAACAGCTTCGACAATTGGCTCGAAATTGAAAACATTTTCTAGTCCAATTCTCTCTGTTGTGCTAGCTCCTTGCTCATTATTTTCATCATTCATGATAATTCTTGGTGAGAAGCTATAAATAGGCTCAGTTTGATTTTCTTCCATTTTTGGACTGTCTGTAACAGCTTGTAAATTGTCACTATCTTTTATATCATTTTTGATAGCATCTTCAAGTTCCTTTAATTTTTCAACCATAAATTTTTCATTCTCAACTTTATCGTTCCTTACTAAAGTTGTTTTTGCCGCATTAATAACCATTTTCTCACGCAATGCTGTAACATTTGGAGATTTAAAGGCAAAGAGTAGCTTGTCATCAGATCCATTAACTTTTGCTATTTTAGAAGCATTCGATGAAGGCGAAAGGTAAGCAGTTTGAAGATTAAAGCTTCTACGAATCACATCACCAGCATCTTTAACTTTACTCATAAAATCAATTCTTTTTGTGGTTTTTACAGGCTTAGAAGGAATCAATGGAACTGTATAATTGGAATTTGGATATAAATGAAAATCTGGCTTTTTAAGCGTGTATGTAGGCGAGTCATTTGAATGTGCTTTAGCTCTAGAAACTGTCATTATTTGTGCATCAGAATATACTGATCTTTGTCGACGCCTTATTGATGTTGAATCTAGAGAATAAATTTTACGTCCATTATTGAGATTTAATCCACCCAAAATGTCAGCTGAAAGGAAGCTATAAGTTGAATTTTCGACAGGAAGTTTCCATTTCTCTACAATTTGGCCAGTAATATTGTAATTTGTGACATGATCGAGATTATCTAATGCATAGAAACTGTAAGAATTTAGTGGATGGACAAAAAGTTCCAAAACATTTGTATCATAGGAAATTGAGGAGATGTGAATCAAGTTGTCTTTGACCATTTTCCACGAATTAGTTCCACCATACAAGCACGGAGCATTCGCAGACATTTTAGAATTAGTTATGATGAACACGTCATGGCTATTTTCTGGTTCCAATTTATTCCAACTGTAAATTACACCAGTTTCAACTGTGCTTAATTTTACAAACTGTTCCTGACTTCGCTTCCATTTGTAGATATTTGTTGTGCAGTTTGTATTGACTAGGAGATAATTACGGTTCTTTTTCGTCGTAAATGTAAAATATGAGAAGATATTTCCGTATTCAATGATCTTAAAAGCTTCCTCAAAATATTTTAGGACATAAATTGAGCTTTTAGAAATGTCATCAGCTCTATACTGCAATTTCTCACACATACTTCTATATTCGACAGAATAATTTGTCAGTGCCATTTCAATCTCGTGGACATTCTTATTAAGATTCTTTTCAATCTCATTTATTGGCTGTCCATTAATTAATCCATTGCCAAAAACATTATTCTCTAAATAAATAGTTTGAAGCCTCCAATTGCCATAAATATGCTGAACTTCCTTGCCTTTCTTCCACAATGCATTCTCGTACCATTTTGTAAAATTAATTGATGATATTCGATCGTCACTAACCAGATTTGATGCTTCCAAATTGATGAATGTAAGTGACGAGTCAAAATTTGGTGAAGAATTAAGGACGGCAATATTTGCTATATTTTTAGAATTTACGAGTCCATTGGCAGTTACTGAATTAAGGACTAAGGCATCTTCCAGGAAAATATCGGTGTAGATTTCTTGGCTTTTATCGGAAAGCTATGTTAAAATCGTTAAAATATAGAAAATTTTAAATAACGGCAAAAAAATAAAAATATTTTACCTTAACCTATAAAATATAGACAAGCTTACCATGACAGTATTATCCCTTTCAGTTCTAAGATTTATCTGATTAACAAGACCATTAACAATCATTGGATTTGTGACGTTTACTGCCCCTTCTACCACGATATTATAATCAAATGTCTGATTTGTATGAAGCGTGAAGAAATTGTTGAATGGAACTCCATTTATAGCTTTAACCTTAAGATTTGAAGCTTGGATAAATCTCGATTCAGTAATTAAAGTGTCTAGAAAAAGTCAACAATTCATTATTTATTACTAAACTAGGCTATCCGGAGGCGCCCGTGGCGCCTCTTATCAGGGTTAAAATTTGATTACTATTATGTAAATAACTGTAAGACGCAAATAACCATAATGTTTTTAAGGTCAATCGTACCACAAACCTCACAACCCCCTCAAACTCGGATTTCCTTAATCCCACAAAAACTATATAAATAGCTTCACAAAACTTCACAGGGCTTCACAAACCCCCTCGAACTCGAACCCCCTTAATCCCACAAAAATTTTATAAATGTCTTCACAAACCCTCTCAAACTCGGACCCCCTTCATCCCACTAAAACTTTAACTCCCCCCGAAACCCACCATGTCTTTTCACAAAGCTTCGCATGACTTCACAAAATATACCTGACACCCCCCTTGCCCCAATCCCCACCTTGCCCCAATCCCCACCTGAAACCCACTTTGTCACTCCCCCCACAACTGACACCCACCTTGTCAGCACTCCTCAAATAATTGGCTTCACAAAATATACCTGACACCCTCCTTGCTCCCAATCCCCACTTTTTTCCCCCACAACTGCCACCCACCTTGTCAGCACCCTTTAAATCATTGGCTTCACACGGCTTCATAAAATATACCTGACAACCCCCTTGCCCCCAATCCCCACCTGACACCCACCCCACATCTGACAGTCAGTGAATCAGTGAGTTGGGCTTTTATATATTAGATATAAAGATTTAAAATTAAATCCGACGTTTAATCGCAGGATTAATAATAAATCTGAAAGTAACAGATGAACTTACTTTCATACTCAACATCTAGATGAATCGGCAGTGCATTATGAATCCATTCGTGTAAATTAATTCCATCGATAAAGTCAGTCGTCAAATTCCCTTTTAATCCAACAAGTTCAGCATAAAAATCATCCAGTAACTGAATATTGCTGTGGATATTAACAATTTCATTCTTCTTCATGATGACTATATTCTGCATCATATTCTTAACATTTAATTCATTGAATGTATCGATATAACAGCCCTTTTCAGCCATAACTGGACTTCTAAAGGATTTAGCTCCTTTAACGTAAATGTTTTGGTCATTATACCTTATTAAGTCACTCAGCCAATAGCTGACATTCAATTTATTCAGGAATGGTGTATTTAAGTTTCTTATGTTTGAATTCTGGACAAACTTGACATCAGAATTAATTGTATGAGTCATGCTGCCTTTTTCATAAAGATACACATTTTCTAGGTCTTGTGCTGATTTCTGATTAAATTTATCCTTGACATAAAGTTTGTTGACATTAACAGTTCCTGCTATTTTCAAATAACGCGTCTCAATCAAGTCTTCCTTCCTAAAGATATTATCATACGGAATATTGTTGATTTTATCCACATCCATATTTTCCTCAACCATCACAGAAGTTCCAGCAATTTTATCAGAATTAATTATTATTGGATCTTGAGTTTTTGAGATCCAGTTGTCGAGGAAGTCAGAAAAGTTCTTTCTATTCATAAAACTTTGGACAGTTAATCCTTCATAAACATCAGTAGAATCCAAGAAATGTAAAGCAGCCTCGACGTTGTTGGGCCTATTTAACCATATTACGTGATTTTTAATGAATTCAAAGTCTTTGTCGTTAATGTATCGAAGATTGACATTTCCATCGATTATTAAGTTATCCAATTTGTGTTTTCCGGACAGTAAGTTCTTCTTAAAGTCCTTAAGATTCATTAAATAATCCCTAAATGTCTCAAAAAGCATCCCATTAATGATTTTTGCATTAAACATGTCTCCAACAATTAATTTATTGACTTTTACTGGATATATGATATTTTGCTCTAAACTTCTACTTAAATGATTTTTCTCAAAGTCTTTTAGATCCAAACTTGTAAGCAAACCAGTTCCAACAATATCATTAATAACTTTAATGTTATTAACACTCAAATCGAGCATCCCAATCTTCATATTGGAATTAAAATGAATTTGATCATCGATGAAGTAAAAGTCACTGACCAAAACATCATTTGCTGACTCCTTTACATCAATAGAACTAGAGCTAAGATGATTGGACACAGCAAGTGGTGTTTGAACAAATTGATCTCCAAAAGTTCTTATGCTGTTCATTTCTAATTCAGTTGCATTGATTCCATCGAATAATCCAGACATTTTAAGATTCGAGAAATAAATATTGCCATAAAGTTGATTTAAAGTAACTTGCTGATTACCAGTTGTAGTCATTATGCTGTCTATTTCGACATTATCGATGTAATTTGATAATACTAAAGCCTCCTTTCGAATCTGGAGACTTTTAAATGCTTTTGGACCTGTTATGACAATTTCTTCATCACTTCCTTTCTCATACACAATATCAGCTAAAACTGCTTTAATGTCCTGACCATTCATCGAATTTTCTATTTTAATCGTCCCTTCAACAACCAATCCAGTTGTAAAAGTACAATCAGCCAAAATTTCTCTCGAATGTTCGAGTGTTGGATTTGGCAGGAATTGATCCAATTGTTGTCCAGAAACCGTTCCTTGAACTTCTAATTTCTTCATGACTTCTAAAGAACTAAATGTTGTTTCTCCTTGGATATCTTGTTGCTGATCAAGAGTTATGATGTTTGATGGTTCTATTCCGTTTAATGTTCCATCTGTGTCGACAGCTTTCGTGTCTGTGGAAGGAATAATTACAATTTAAGTCGAGGATTAATATTTGAGAAATAACAGTCAATTTTTTTTTTTTCAAATTAACGGTTAATCCATGTATAAATTTGCAAATAAATCCGATGTTCAGAAGTATAAAATTGATAAGGAAATAAATTAAAATACTTACACAACTTATTGAACGTCTTTTTTCCACTAATTAATGTTTCTGTTGGACCAGTCTTTAAGACATACTCATTTGGAAACAATAAGCCATTCAAATTGTTGGCATTAAGTACACTTAAGTAATCAATAAACACAATATTTCCGTTCACTGTAAGATTGTCCATTGTTGAAGCTTTGTTGACTAAAACAATATTCGATATTAATTCCGTCCAGTTCATTCCATTGACAGTTTTGATGTTTAAGTTGTTATTAATAAAAGCTTCTTTTGTTTTTAACACTGCCAAGTTATCAAAGCTAGTTGTAATGTTTTCAAGAGACACAATATCTACTGGAACATCATTTAACTTGTTGACATGAAGGAAGTCTGTCACAATCTTATCAAATGTTAATTCTTTCGGGAAGTTTGGAGAATCAATTGCTAGAACTTCATTACTAAAATCAATTCCGTTAATTTTTCCTCCATTCTGCATGACTATATTGTCAGCATGAACAGATTCTTGGAATACGATATTTTTATCAGGAACATTAAGCATTCCATTATCCAGGAACATAATATCTTCAAATGGAATTCCATTAATTGTCTTAACAGTTATGTCATTAGCTCTTAATTCATCAATATTTGTTTTCTCAATTGGATCAACTTGTCTCTTTTGTCGTATCGACTCATTATGAGGAACTACTCGAAGTGATTTGATGTCAAATTGACCATTTAAAGTATATGGACCAAGGTGATAAATTGGAGATTCAGGATTTTCTTGCATAATTTGTGCCTGACGATTTTTTCTGATGAAACTATTAAGATGTGCATCTATTTCCTTAACTTTCTGTTCGTCTTCAATAAGCGTTCTCTCAATTTCTTCTAAATTAGCTATAAAATCTTCACGGCTGTATGATTTATCCAGAAATTCAATTTTATCACTTTCTAGTGTCACGTTGCCATCAAAATGAATAGTTTCAGCATTAAGTTCATTAATGGAAAGTTCTTCAAAATTGAAAGTATTTCGCGTATTTAAAGACAACTTAAGCGCTTCTTCGACTTGCTGCTTAACTGTTGTTTCCAGATCCAACATTCCGTTAATTAATTCTATTGCTCTTTTGACATTCTCAATTTCTTTCATTAAAGGATCTTCAGCTTCAATTATATCATATCCTATTTTAAATAATCCACTGTCAGCGTCATTTCTTGGAACTACAACATAGAATGTATTATTCTTCTCGTCCACGACATATGTAGCTCCTAATAAGCCTTCTTCGCGCTCATAATCTAATATACAAGTAAATCCATTAGCATTCGGATCTGATCCTATTTTACAAGGCACAGAAAGTGCACTTTCGAATGCTATGCCATTCCAAATGAGAGCATCAACTACGACTAAAGAATGGGTTCTAAATTTTATTGAATGCTGTACTAATAGCACTAAATCATCTCTATAGATTTTTATTGGAACAACTAGAAACTCTTCAACATGACCAAAAGTCTGCGATAGAATAGTTTGTGGATGAAAATTGCCATTGACATAGCGTAATATTTGAGAATGGTCACCTCCAATAGCTAAATACGAATGTCCACCAATTCTAAAGCCATTAATAACGCTAACGTTTGCAGCATCAATATTTTTAAGGAATGCAAACTTTCCTTTATCAAATTTAGTATTTTGGTATCGATAAATAGCCACAAATGATTCTTGAGTAAATGCTGCAATTAAATCCTTTCCAGCGTCTAAAAATACCATGCTTTGAGGTAAATTCGGTAATTTAAATGCTTGAACGACCCAAAATTCTTGATTTTGGAAATTAAACTCGATAAATTCAACTTCAGCTCGTTTTAATTCATCAATTTGTGACAGCATTAATAAATCACTTTTATCGTGCTTAAAATATGACAATTTATCGATGGTCTTTAACAACTTCCAGCGGTAAAGCTCATTAATATCATTTTCAATTATTTCATACCAAATTAAACTGTCAGCAACTCCAACAAGAAGGATGTTCCTCACTTTATTCTGTTCGTGATCAAAGATGTTAAATGTCTCAAGACACATGCTATTTGTTCTGGCTTCCTTTATATCAAATTTCTTAACAATTTCATATGAGTTATCAGATCCAGCTGTTAATATTAATGTACTGTTGGACTTTCCAATCAACACAACACTGTTTTCAAGATTAATCGTCTTCCATTGCTCAACATCCTTGCCTATCTTAAAATTTGGTTCCTCTTTGATTGTTTGGATCTTTAGATTTTCACGATACAAGTTGTTCATGTTACTCTCTGTATGTTTCAATTTAGTCAATACTTTAATTTCTTCATAATCAGGCTGAAAGCTACTCTGAACATTTGGATTTACAATCTGCTTCAAATGATCATCCAGGACATTAATTTTTGGTTCATTTATAGCTTCTTCCAAAATAAATCCAAGCTTTGTATTTGCATTGTTCATTGGATCTCCTTCTTTCAGCCAATTTGTTAGATTAGTGCTCATTTGAAAAGGTGGTGCTGGAGATTTCAGTATATTTCCTTTAATTAAGTCTATTTCCGCCATTGTTTTCGTCGATTTCTCTCTCGTAACTCCAGTTTGACTTTGCTTGAATATCTCATTTCGGAGCGATTCTACATCTTTAGCCGATTGACGCTGTGAATAGTTCATTATTTTGTACCATAATTAAGTCAAAGAGAATTTTTACAAACCTTTTGTATTTCACCACGTGCATCACATATAAGACAGATTAAAATAATAATGAATGCAGTATTATGGAATCTTTTCATCGTATCCACTCGATCAACGAGCGTTCTATAAAATCTGATTAAAATACTTAATTCTTATAGTATAATTAACTAGCTATTGGACAATTATTAAATTCTTTAAGCACACTGGAGAACTAACGAAACTCGATCAAAATTTTAACGAAAAAATTTATTTCAAATGATTTCTATTCGTTATTTTTTCATATTTCATTTACAATTTACAACTATAATTAACTACAGCCAATTGATGCACCCTAATTTACGAGATTCGTCATTTGTATTTTTAAAGCTATGATTTCATTCCTCAGTCATGCAAGTTTATTCGTAGGTCTCTGGTGGATTCCAGTGGAAACGAACAATTTTGTCAGTTGAGAGCTATCGAAAAAAATATAAATTTTATAAATGCACAGTCACTGGATCATAAAATACTTACAATGAAGATTCCTGTAGAGACCATTGAGATTCCAGTAGCCAAAATTGCATTATATTTGCGATTTCTCTTGGCATGAAGTGTGAAATAATCACCTTCTGGAACTGGCATGTCGTTTAAAGTTGGATACTTATGTACACGACCATGTCCATAATTTCTACGTGCTGTGTTGTTTGCTGTCATTTGGGAGATTTAGGAAAATTTTAATATGAATTGCATAACAAATTTGATTAATAGCTTTTAATTCTTTAATAATGGATTATTAATGTAAATCGACTTACCAGTGCGTGCAAAAAGCCTGAATGCTCTTAGTCCTTGCATGGCTGGAAGATTAAATTAAGTGTGAAATTTCTAAAATTAAGCACTGTTCCTCGATTAAAGAAAATTCTACACTTGCCAATTTCACGGGAAGGAAGAATGTGCAAATTATGTATGCAGCATGCTGCATGTCTAGAAAATAGAAAATGCATGCGAAAAACTAGCTGCATTTTTAACGAAACTCTACATGCTCAAATAGAGGAACCGACCCTTATTATTTTGATAATAAATAAGAGTTGTAGCGAAATTATAAATTTAATTGTTTCAAGAATGCCTCAACAGCTGGATGTGATACAAAAGCTTTCAGCACATCGAGGAAAGGTCTGGTCTGTGAACTGGCATCCTTCAGGTACGAAATCATTCAATATAATAAGAATTTAAACCTAAAAACAATAAAAATTTACAGGAAAAGTCTTTGCAAGCTGTGGCGAGGATAAGACAATAAGAATCTACAATCAGGAAAAGGATGCTTGGGTAATGCAAGCTGTTTTATCTGATGGACATACCAGAACAATAAGAGATATTGCATTTTCAAATTGTGGAATGTTCTTAGCAAGTGCGAGTTTTGATGCTACTGTATCTATATGGGATAAAAAGGCAGGAACATATGAATGTAATTCGACTTTAGAAGGACATGAGAATGAGGTGAAGAGTGTTGCATGGTCAGTATCTGGACAATTCTTAGCTACATGCAGTCGTGACAAATCAGTTTGGATTTGGGACATAACAGCAAATTGTGAGGAGTTTGATTGTGCCGCTGTACTCAATTTACATACACAAGATGTAAAGAAAGTTGTTTGGCATCCACTTGAAGACATTCTGGCATCATCAAGTTATGATAATACGATAAAGATTTATAAAGAAGATCCAAGCGACAATGATTGGACATGTACAGCTACTTTAACTTCACATTCGTCGACAGTTTGGGGCATAACTTTTGACAAGACAGGGAAGAGAATTGCAAGTTGCAGCGATGATTGTACAGTAAAAATTTGGCAGCAATATGAAGTCGGGAATGCTGAAGGAATTTCAACACCTGATAATGAGCCAGTTTGGAAGTGCGTTTGTACACTTTCTGGATTTCATGATCGAAGCATTTACGATATTTCATGGTGTAAACTTACTGGATTAATTGCAACAGCTTGCGGAGATGATCATATAAGAATCTTTAAGGAAGCTGACAATTCCACTAAGAATGAGCCAATTTTCGATTTGGAAACAAAGATTTTAGCACATAAACAAGATGTTAATGCTGTAAAATGGAATCCAGTGATTCCTGGTTTATTACTTTCAACTAGTGACGATGGTGATATAAAGATTTGGAAGTTTAATAATCTGTAAAATATGAGAATTCCTAACAAATGCTTTTATAAATGCTAAATAATATGAAAATGTTATATTAAATGTACAATCTTATAATCTATGTCTTCTTATTGCTGAATAGTGCTTCCCATTGATCTGAATAAGGCGAGCACTGCTTCATATTGCTCCATATAATTTCAGCATTTTTGTCTTTGGAATTATTTTTATTCAATTGAAATACCTTAAATTTGCCTTCACCTTCTGCCATCAGTACTTTTTCATCCTTATTGATTGATATCTCAAGCAGTCTTTTTGTCAGTGCCAATTTCGTTAAAGCTTTTCGGTATCGAATTTTATCTCTTTCAGTTACATCCAAATTTATGCGACTCGTATTCAATGATTCTAGTTTCTTGATCTGTTTTCCTGTCTTTTTGCTTTGTGTCTTAGTCCTTATCTATAAAGTATGTCTTTACTATTTTTAAGAAGCGTTTTAAAAGATCCAGTAACTTACCATTTCAACATCAAGCACTTCAATAGCGTCTTTCTCATATGTCTGTTCCTCTAACTCTGCTATCCTTTCATCCAATATTCTTAGTAGTTCCAATTTCTCATCTGTTTCTTTCACAAGCTCATCTGTTTGATTACATTTTTTGATAAAATTCATGAATGAAAATCTTATTATCTGATTTTACCTATTTTTCGTGCATATATATTTTCATCTTCTAATAAATGTTGAGCTCCGAGACCTCTAAAGTGGTTAAATAAATCTTTTATACTTTGCAGCTCTTTTAAATCGCTCATTTTAATTAATATCAGTTTCACAAAAAAAAGTAAACAAAAAAAAATACGTTGAAAAATATTTCAAAAAATTCAAATTCAACGAAAGTTTAAAGAAGAAAAACAACTTAACGAAAGATTTTTGATGAAAATTCATAACACACAGAAAAAGGTAATAAATTAATTAAACTAAGTACTTTCATTAGTGAAAATGTTGAGGAACAGAATCACAAACTCGATATTTGTGCTGAGGAATCGAAATTTTTCAGTATCATCAAGCTTAAGCACTGATAAACAGAATGTACCGAGTTACAGGCAATTAAGTGAAGTTCAAAAGAGAAAATTAGATGAAGACAAGGAAAAACTGATTTGGAGAAATAAGCCATTGGACCAGCCATATGCATTTAAGAGTAAATTCAATGTTTTTGGAGGTGATGAGCTTGAACCAAGGTATTTTCATATACAATCAAAGGTTTTCAATATTGCTCAATTTTCACTGTATCTTGTAGCTCATTATCGATGTTGGTTCAACCAATTGATGCAAGTCCAAGAGGAATCAAAAAATGGTGGAAGGACTATAAAGTAAGAAAGGAGAGGTTCTCTCAACAATTTATTCCAGAAAGACACGAAATATTGGGAAGTGATTTAGCTGCTGCTCATTTTTTGCTGTTTAGAAAGGGTAAAGTCAAGTTTATAGGTCAAGACTGGCTGGAAATGAATACCGAAAAAGATTTAATGGTTCCACTTCCGAATAAATTTAATCCACACTATGAAATAGAGGCAATCAAGTGTGACAATATGGTTTTATACTATGAAGGACTAGAAAACATTAGAAGATTGAGGAAGCTTCGATATCTCTCATTTAAAAATGTCAAGACATTCGATGATTGGTGCTTAGATCGAGTATCAGGTTCAGAGTTTGAAAAATTAGAAGTACTTGATATTTCAGACACAAATGTTACAGCCAATGGACTTCAAGCTTTGTATAGAATATCTTCTCTTAAAAAATTAATAGTCACACATCCAGAAACTGAAAATCCTCAATGGACCTTAACTCTAGCTATGTTGCAAGATATTTTTCCTAGTTTAGAAATAAGTAGCAGTAATCAAATTTAATTAATGTCACAATAAAAGTACTATATAAACTATAAGCTATTGATTTATTCAGTTATTTTCCTCTTGTATTGCCTGTTCTATATGCTCGGGAAGTTTCTGGATCTCAACTTTAGTTGCTTTCATAGCTGTTCCTTCTGGTAAATTACGCTGAATGTATTCCAGAAACGTTTCTAGCGTTGACTGAGTAAGATTGTGAAAATTAAGAAAGCGATAATATGTTCGGACTTCATAAGACACAAGATGCTTAGAATGGACATGAACACTTTTCAATACTGTCCATCGATCTTTATCAGACTTTCTTGCAGCATAACAACGCCCAACTGGAATTCCAAGGTGCTCAGCTGATCTTTGAGCATACCATGCATAGCTTTTCATCACTTCTGGCTCAATCCCTTTCAATTCAATCTCCAGTCGCGAATAAAGCTTATCTTTTTGTGGAACTGCCAATTCTGTTTGAGGTTGTGAGCTTAAACATCTTATATTTGCTAATGGCAATGAGTTCCTTGAAATTAATGCTGCACTGCTTATTCTCTGGAAGTAAATAGCGATCGTCAGTGACTTTGTACTGTAATTAATGAAATTCTTAATTTACTTTTATAAAATACATTTTTCTTTTATTTATGTCCAACTTAACGAAACTTTTAAGGGTCAGTTCTCGTGTTTTTGCATACCGTAATTTCCGAATGCATTTTCTTTGCACAATAACTGCATCACATAATTTTCGGACTTTTCCCAAAACGACTGTCTCGAAAATTTTCCTAAAAATAGGTTTTCATTTAATAAGAAGCTTTGATTCGGATATTTGAATATTCAAGCATGCAGGGAATTCGAGCATTTAAATTGATTGCACGCAATGGTAAGTTAAATAACGTATTTTTTGATAGTTTTATGATTTAAAGTTTTTCCATAAAATTTGTTATGCAACTCTATTGAATTTTCCATGACAGCAAACATGATCGCACGTAGAAACTATGGGAAAGGTGGACATAAATATCCAACAATGAATGAAATGCCTGTTCCAGACGGTGACTTTTTTGCCATGCACGCTAAACGAAATCGTAAATACAATGCAATTTTGGCTGGTGGAATCGCTATTTTCTCGAGTGCTGTCTACATTGTAAGTATCATGTGTCATACAAAGAGATCCAGTGTACTATTTTAATAACTTTTTCTTATGTTTTTCTATAAATAGGTCTCAACAGACACAGTAATTCGCTTACATTGGAGTCCACCAGACACCTACGAATAAATCACGTGAAGTGATGCATTTCCTTAGTATTATTCTTTAATAATGCTGGATAATTATGAATCTCACAAATTGAGTGCTACTAATTGGCTGTTAAAATTGGCTATTTATTGATAGACATGTATTATTTTCTTATTATTTAACTAGTTAATCAAATTTGACCAAAATTTACCTGTGATGAATAAATTATGCTCTTAATTTAACAAAGATTTCCCTAGTTTTTCATGAATTCCCTACATAAAATTCCCTTGCAACGGTTTTTTGAAATTTGAATTTATCGATTTTTTGATTGAAAAAACAAGTTTCGTCAAAAAAATTTAACGAAAATTCAAAGTGATGTTTATGAAAATAAAATTTATTTAAAATAGTGTTTTTAAGTGAATTAAACATTTTAAAATCATTGATTATTAAAGGTAGGGCATCATAAAAGTTGATAACATTCATCAAATATCGCTAGCAAGCGTTTTTATACGTAAATTTATAAAAAATGAAATTTTCAATTCGGTGTTTAAAAATCCAAAGTTTTTAAAGTGAAAAAGTGGTTAAAACAGTGAAAGATCAATAAAACATTGTTATACATTTGATAGTGATATTAACGCATTGAAAACTATTCAGGAGATGCAAAAATTAGAAGATCCAGGAGTAAAATTTGAAGAAATAAAGTCAAAGAAGCATCAAAGGTATAATATTGTTAAGGAAAGTGTGTTGTGAGGATAATTAAAGCATGTAAATAGACACAATCATGAATAAACAGTTGGCTTTTGGCAGCAATCCCCCGTTTCGAGTTGTTAAAGTTTTTATTTGCATTATTTTTATTTATGTTGATCAGTCATTTTAAAATGAATTAATTAAGTTAAATAGAGACTCTAGCCAATCCAACATTGCATTTCATTTCAGAATAATTAAGAAAAATCAAATAATTTAAGTACGAATTTATTATGGCGGATACGATAAATAAGACATTAGTTGAACAAACACTTATTTTTCATGGTTTACCGTTGATTAAGACATGGAATGAAGAATATGGTGCCAATAGTTTAAGCAGTATGGGAATTCAAGCGACAAATATCATTGATACATCTTTATACCATGCACGTCTCAAAAATCTTTCGTACACAGATCGATCAAAAAGAATGAAATTGCATCATTTCATTTGTAACAAGTCGGCAAACTTATTTAAAAATTTTAGAGAAGATCCGTCAGATAAGAGAATTAAGAAGCTTGTAGCATCGGGAGGTAGCCTGACTTACTCTCACTATTAAAATTAGCGGCAATGACTATAGCATATTGCTTTTTAGGTGATGTCATTCCTCCTTTGGAATATTTCTCAAACATCAATCGAGATGAGCGAGTTAACAAGTTCTTTTCGGTACTTAAGAGTTTATTATTTTCATTTATATCATGACTGACTTTCTATGTCTTATTTTAGTCGATAAAGTTAGGAGATATTGTGTACGGGATAGTCACACAAAGCACAAAGGTTGGATTACAAGTTAAGATTCTGTGCACTGTTGGATCAATCACTTGTCTAGTCTCGGACCTGAATTTAAAAGTATCACAATTAATACAACTAATTTAACTCATTGATTATAGTTTTGCATAAAAATTGTTTAAATTTTAGGGAACAGTAAATCATGTAAATCTGATATCAGCACTAGATTCAAAAAATATTTCAAGGCAGTTCCTGATTAATGATTATGTATGTTGTGAAGTCTTAGATTTTGGAGATCAATATCCACAGCTTAATCTAGGAATGCGTTCAGAATATGAAAGATATGACAATGGTCCAGGTTTGGGCCTCGTTACTTTTCAGCAATTACCTCAATTTTACAAGTAAGTTGTTCCTCAATAGAGAACAATTTTTCTTCGCATTGAAGAAACTGATGAGAATTTTAGGTTTTAATAAAAAAAAAGTCAGCTGAAATCCAATTCAAAAAATATCGAGATTTCTTTTAATGCTATTTAAGTATTTAACTTTGTTTCAATTTTAATATTCGTTTACCAACGAAACAGCTTAATTTAATCTTTTAAACTGCTTCTTTCATTCAAGGATTGCTATAGAACAACAAAACCAAGAAAAGTCTTTTAATCAAATTTTGAAAGAATCTGAATCATTTAAGAATCCAGGAATTGTTGAAAACTTATTAATAGAATCGGGACTACATCATAATTTATATTATTCATTCATGTCGAAGAATAAATTTCCACAAGATGAGTACGCAAAAGATTTGCGTCAGCAGCAAGCTAGCAAATTGGCTTTCAGGTAAAAACCCGTTAATTCATTTGTTTTAAATTTTTTTCAAAAATAATTTTAAAAATTGTTTAACCGTAAATTGGGGTTTGGGACTTGCTTTTGCACACTGATACTTTAGCCCACTCGTATATTTGCCCACTGTATAGTAGATAAAAGTATTTATGTTCAAAAAATAATTTTTAACGCATTTTTGAAACTTGATTGGGTACATTTTTAAGATTTTGATTTTTAGGGTTTGAGGCATTCAATTTGCCTATCTTCTCTTAAATTTTGATTTAATTTCTGTTTTTGTTTAACTTGATGTTTAATTTGATTTATTTGGTGTTTCGCGATGCAAAATTACTGTTTAAGTTTGCTTTTGGCTTTCTGGCATAAACCTCTGGCTATTCTCTACAAGATAAATTGCGAAAACAAATTGTTTCAAATGAATTTTTGGTTGAAATTTTTTAATAAGCTTAATAAGGACTCAATATACTTTTGACCATTTCCAGATATCAGATAAAATAATAAAATACAGTTGCACTATATTTGGATAAACCCTCGAAGAAGAAAAAGGGAAAAACTAGATTTTGACTAATCGCGCCCTTAGTCTACAATTGAAAATGTAACTATTCAGACGTGTTCCCTTCACTTTCACACCACACATTACTTTCGATAGTGTTGCTTTTAGCAACCTTTAAAGCTCGTGAGGGAAATTAATTCTGCCTTTATATTCCAAAGTTCCTCTCTGTTGATGGTGTCATATGCTGCACGAAGCTCAACGAAGAGATGTAGAGTTTCCACGTTCATTTCAAGATTTTTTGACAAATGCTTAACAATTGGTCAGATATCTTTCGTTCCTTTTGCTTTAAATAACAAAACATTTGGATTTTTGTGACGATTGCCCTATTCCAAAAAATGTCATTCTGATTTCTCAAGCAAAAATGCATGCTTTTAAGCGGCCTTAAACTATTTATTGTTATCGTGTACATTTTACCTTCTTTTAAAATTGTAAACACCAAAAAAATAAATTAAACATCAAGTTAAACCAAAAACAGAAATTAAATCAAATTTTAAGAGAAGATAGATAAAAATGTACCGAATCAAGTTTCAAAAATGCGTTAAAAATTATTTTTTGAACATAAATACTTTTATCAACTATACAGTGGGCAAATATACGAGTGGGCTAAAGTCAGTGGGCAAATGTCGGTAACTTGTAAATTGTAATTACAGAGCTGTTGCTGAAGGAATTGCACATTTCAAAGAAGGGAGGCACACAGAAGCATTTCAATGCCTCAACAAAGCACTCTCAATTGATCCAAGAAATGTAGAAGGTTTAGTGGCAAGAGGAGCATTATTTGCTAATAGCGGATCGTTCAGCAAGGCAATCGTTGACTTTGAAGCAGCTCTAAAAATCAATCAGAATCATGTTAATGCCAAAAAATATTTAGGTGAGACACTTTTAGCTTTAGGACGAAGCTATGAAGAGGATGGAAAGTTTGAAGAAGCACAGAAGGCATATATTGATTGTCTAAACATTAATCCTCACCATCAAGAAGCTTTGGCATCTCTAAATTACATCAAGACAAAGATTAATGCCAGAAAAATTGTTGAACCAGCTGAACTTGAGTTGCCTCGTAAGTAAAATTCACTGTAGCTATGCTTGATTTTATTTAATTAATAATTTAACTTTATAGCATTGAATATTGGATCAATTCCGCCATTAAAAGAGACAAAGAGAGATTATCATGAACCGAAGAGTAAGGAAGAACGTAAAAAGTCAAAAAAGGATAAAAAGAAAAAGGGAAAGAAGCGCCATGATTCTTCGAGTGAAAGCAGCAGTGATTCGTCTGATAGCAGTGAATCAAGTAGCGAAAGTTCTGATAATACATCGACAACAACAGGTAGTTAGTAATCCATAAAATTAACAGTCACATCCAAATCTAATCCACAATAATTCATTATCTTAGATTCTGACTCAAATTCACGCTCAAAGAAGGAAAAGAAATCAAAACTCAAATCATCTTCGCCAAAACGTGAATCAATAGATTATCATTATGGACAGACCTATGAAATGGATGATCATGAAATGAAAGTTAAAAAGTTTTTAGAAATGGGCAAGGATGAAGATGATTATGAAGAAAAAGTTGGTCAATTGTTAGCTGAAGCATCAAAATATCAAAAAAGCAAGCAGGCAGAAGAGGCTAAACAGGCCAAAAAGAAGAAAAAATCAGATAAAAAACTGAAAAAAGAGTAAGTTATTGTCAGCATGTTTAAAAACACATTTAATTAATATAAATTATTGTAGTAAGAAGAAGCGCAAAAAGGACGATAAGAAAAAGACGAAAGGAAATGAGATTGAGGATCTCCGCGAAGCACTTAAGTATGTCTCGAGTTGAATTAGCTTTTAGTGACTTTATAATCATTAACATTGTCATTTAGAATGTTTGAGAATTTGCCTGAAAAGATCAAAAAGTTGTATCAAGAGAAAATGCGCGAAGAGGAAGCAACCAAACAGAAAGATTCAGGTGTAAATGATGAAGGCAAATGGAAAATGAAGTTTTCAAAGGATGAAAGGCAAGGCGATAAAAAAGGACCGACAAAAGGATTTAGTTTGTATGAATCTGACGATGATGATCAAGCACGTAATTATCAAAGTCATCCAAATATCGCAGCAGCATCTACTAGCTATGCAATAGCTAGTTCAATGAGTACGAGTGATAAGAAGCGTTCTTCTCCAGTTAAGGATATTCCAACTCCAAATCCAATTATTAACAAAGGTCCAGTAGTTTTAGATAAATTTGGGAATTTCAGATTAGCTGAACCACCGCAAGCATTGCCAAAACCAGCTGAATCGTCAAATAGGCGTTCTAGAAGCCGTAGAAGCAGAAGTCGCAGTGATTCACGGTAAATTTACAGCTTGCCTTTTTAGTGATTAATTTAACGGTCGTAATTTGAATGATTCGAGTCGTTCAGTAATCTTCATTTCATTTTCGTTCAGTTTAAATTTTTTAAATTCAAGAGAACCGTTAACTGAACAATTTAATTTTAGATCTCCACGTCGTCGTCGTTCAAACTCAAAACGAAAGTATTCAAGATCATACTCACGTTCATATTCACGCAGTCCAAATCGCAATAATCGAGGATTTGTCAATCGTTATGATAATAGGAATCGCCAACGCTATAGTCCAAATCGTATGAATCGAGGTCGTGGACGTTGGAATGATAATTTCAGAGATTACAGACGTAATGATAATAAGTTTGATAGACGAGGAAATCGTGGTGGTGGAAGGTTTAACAGGTTTGATAGACGAAGCATGTCAAGAAGTCCATTAAGATCACCAAAAGCCTCGCCAGATCGTCGAAATGATAGTACAGTCGATAGATCAAAGGATCGCTGGGCTGATGAGCCAGTAGTTGATAAATTAAACGATTCTCGTGAAAAGGATGATTTGAAGAAAACTAACAGTGGTAGTTCGTTGTGGTAAAATTGATTAACTTTAATTTTGAATTAAATTTACTGTATTAAGATTAATTTTCAGAAGTTACAAAAAAGAATCAATCAAATAAAGTATAACATTAATTTTTCTGTCATTAAGACATTTCTTTTCATTTTAATTGCACTTTATTGCATTTATTGACGACATACTGACCGGTAATAATTCAAATTTTACATTTTTTGTATTCGTATACACAGGGTGGTTAAACATAGAATCTGGCCTTTTTTAAAAATATGTTCACGTGTACAATGTGTGGCAGAATTCATATGTTGGCAGATAATATATGTCTCATATTGCATATGTGCACATATTTTATGTGTGATGTGTGCACATATTTGATGTGTGACACATTATCTTGTGTCACATATGAAAATGTGTGATGTGTGACACATATTTATGTGTGTAGATATCATGTGTGAACATGCAAAATCTATCTACTAATTTGACTATATTTGTTGGAGAAATGAAGATTAAACTAAGAATCCAAATAATTGATGAGCTTCAGTTATGATCGAATCTTTAATAGTAAAACTCGTGTCCTTAAATCATTTGTAAATCAATTTTTAGTCAAATTTTCCGAAAACATAGTCAAATTAGTTTAAAATTACAGTTTGATGAACATATTTTCGACAAAATTTCCTCTTTTATGTAATATTTGACTGTTTCAGTTATGTATCAATGATTTTTTTAAATAAATTTTACAAAAAAATATCACTTTAGTCCCGCAAATTAATAAATATGTGCAGATTTTGCATGTTCACACATGATATCTACACACATAAATATGTGTCACACATCACACATTTTCATATGTGACACAAAATAATGTGTCACACATCAAATATGTGCACATATGCAATATGTGACTATTCGACCAGCAAGGCACTTAACTGCTTTATTTACATTGCTTTATTTATTTCTCATATTCTATTTCTGATCATCTGTTTACATTATTCTCTTTTTGGACTAGCTGCATATTTAGTGAACGACTATATCTTTCGTTAAAATTGTGAAATTCAAAAGAATTTTATTTTTCTACAGATATAAGGTTGATAATTAAAGTAAAAGTATGTCAGCTTGGGCTGCTCCAGTATTGGTTGAAGAGCCAGAAAGTCTATCAGATATAATAAGAGCTGAAAAATCAGAAAAGTAAGTTCCAAAAATAGAATATAAAGAAAATAATCTAAGTTTAATTAATATACAGACAAAAAATCAAGAAGCAGATTAAGGAAGACTTCAATCTTGCCAAGCAGCTAACTGTTTTTGATGTTATTGATCCAGTTAAACCAAAAGTCGAAGATCCAGTGAAGAAAGTTGTTAATTATGGACCAATTAGTTCTTCGACAGCTGATTTTTTGGATTCCCTGACTTTACAAGACGAGACAGTCAAAAGTCCTCCTATCGAGGATGATAAGACCATTGCTGAGCTATTGCAGGCTCAATTTGATCTAGAATATGACGAGGAAATAAAGAGACTTGAAGCTAGCAGAAATAAAAGTAAGGAATTTCACAATACTGTGTCATTTCTCTCACTCATTTAATTGATAACTTTATGTCAATTTTTTTTAAATATAGATTCAAAAGTGTCTGTATCGCTTGCAAAGTACCGACTATATCCAGATGACTTACTAGCTGCTGACGATTCAGACAAGCAAGATGAAGACGAAGTAGACAGACGTAGAATGAAGAATTGGGATCGATTTGAGGAAAACGATAAGGAATTTTCAAAAATTGGTAAGGCTGGATATTTTGAAAAAGAAGACGGGAAGATTATTACGAAACATGATGGAGATTTATCAGGACGTAGAAATGCTGGAAAAGTCATGGAATTCCATTCTAATTTTGAATGTGGTGATTGTGGCAATTTTGATATGAAAATCTCCAATAAAGTTTTTAATGAGCTTAGAGCACATTCAAATCTTATGGCTAAAAAGACACATCAAGTGTCTTTGGACAGAAAAGAAAATAAATCAACGAGTGAAATGTCAATTGATCAGAAAACACGCTTAATAATCTATAAATTTATTAACACAACGATGGTGATGAACAGCATTGATGGAATTATATCAAAAGGAAAGGAAGCTGTTGTATTGCACGGTGAAGGAAATCTTGAGAATACATTATATCCAAATGTCACAAAGGAAGTGGCAGTAAAAATCTTTTCAACAACATTAAATGAATTTAAGCAACGTGATCGATACATTAAGGATGATTTTAGGTTTAAAGCAAACTGCAAACAGAACAGCCGGAATATCATCAATTTATGGTGCGAGAAGGAATTTCACAATCTCCATAGACTTGCCAAAGCGGGTATTTTATGTCCAAAACCAATTGTTTTCAAGAAACACATTTTATTAATGTCTTATATTGGAAATGGACATGAGAATCCTGCACCAAAATTAAAGGATGTCAAATTAAGCAAGGCTGAAATGATTTGTGTGTACGACGAGGTAATTGAAGCTATGACAAAAATGTATCAAGATGCGCGTTTAGTTCATGCTGATTTCTCAGAATATAATATCTTGTACTTCGATGGAAAATGCTACATTATTGATTTGGCGCAAGCTGGTAAGTTGATCATGCACCTGCTATTTATTTTAGTATTTTGGTGCTTAAATCTTAGAATTAATTTTAAATGTGATATAAATTCCTAAAAAGTTTACGAATCGCACATTTTACCTTGAATCAACCTACACAATTAAAGTAATTTAAACAAAGCAAAATCTATAAACATAATTTATAAATTTCCAGTTGAGCCTATTCACCCATCTGCATTAGATTTTTTGATGCGAGATTGTGGAAATATAACGAATTTCTTTGAAAAGAATGATGTACCTGTCAAAACCAAAGAAGAATTGTTCTTTGAAATTACAAAACTTGATCCATTAACAACGAATACAGCTATGCTTGAAAAGATTCATATGAAAGGTGATGCTGTACATGTTGTGACTAATCCACTGAATTTTGACGACTCGGAAAGAGAGAAAATGCCAGAAAAGTATCGATTAAAGGAATTTCCATTCGATTATGCCTGGAAGAAAGTTGAGGAATTGAAGCAAAAGAGCGAAACAACAGTTGAAACAATTGTGGAGTCAAAAAATGATGAAGATGAATGGGTAGAAGTGTGCAACAAAAAGAAGGCAAAGCACAGAACAGACTGCAAGGATATTTACGATGATAAAGGTGCTGATGTATTCAAAGAAATTTCAGTTACTATAAAGTGAACCAATTTATATACAAAAGTGTTCATTTATATATATAATAAAATGGTCAGATCGTAAAAGATCTTTAAAATACACAACCTTACTTCCGCACACAATCTTTTGTGGAGTAATTGTGTCAACTGAAAATAAAGCTTATCTTATTTATTATTGGTTAAGTAGCTATTTAGAGAAAGTAATGGTATGCTAGCTGAAACTTACTGAATGTGTTCCAAGATTAATAGTTTATTTGCATCACCTTTGGTTCTCTTGATGAAGAATGTGTTCCAAGATTAATAGTTTATTTGCATCACCTTTGGTTCTCTTGATGAATTTCTAAAGTAACGATGAACTTAATTTCAAAATTGGTAAGAATGTTTTGTTACAAATTTGAACTTCACCACTTAATAACCGTCTTCCTTAATACATAATACAGCACAGAAGTTGAATATTGCATCCCACAACAAACTTTCTCCTCACGTTCATGAAAATGATATTTTTCGTTTGTGCTGCTTGAAAAAGACAGTTTTTCTAAAATTAAAACTCGCGTGCTGATTGAGATATTTTTCTTAGTTTAAAAATCCTCTTCCTACAATATAAACAAGCTATGGATATTGATATTCGAAATTTTTTAAAAGTTCACAATCCTCGGGAGGATTTTCCGAACATTTCAGGTTCAATTGAAATTCAAAGGAATGTAAAGTTTGGCAGAATGATTGTTGCAACTGAAGATTTACTTCCTGGGACAGTCATATGTATTGAGGAGCCATTCTTCATGTCATTGGATAAAAAAGAAGTCCAAACAAGATGTGGATTGTGCCTAAAAAAGCTGATATCTTCAGTCACGTGTCCATCCTGTAAGTCACTTAAGTTCTGTTCAGAGAAATGCCAAATTAATTGTTATAAGTACTTCCATAAATTCGAGTGCGCAAATTTCCATGAACTTGATTCCGATGACAATTTTCTATTGATGATGAATCGAATGCTATATAAATCAATAAGCACAAGTGGAAGTTTAGAAGAGTTGAATACGATAATCGAGACAATTGACAAGTCATTGACATTATTTGATTCCACTGAATTAAAAATTGACAAAAAGTTACTGTCATGCTGCTTCAATTTAGAATGTGGAAATGTTAAAGATGACTTTACGTTTATTGACTCTTGTGTCAAAAGTCCATTTCTTAGAAATTTAATAACTTCCAAATATGAACAGGACATTCTTAAGAAAATTATTCTGAAGATTCTTGGGATACTTAATCGCAATTCCTTTACAATAAGCTTCAAAACTGATTCAGCTGGTGCACTCTACCCATTTGCATCACTAATCAACCATTCCTGCTCACCCAACTTAGATAAGATTAATTTAGGAAATAAGGCATTATTCATATCCAATAAACCAATAAACAAGCATGAACAATTATTCTTGAGCTATCGAAGACCATTCTATTTTGATTCAGTACAAAAACGACAAAAATCAATATACCGACAGTTTAATTTTACGTGCGAATGTGAAGCATGTAGGAATGACGAATTATTTACACAATATTATGAAAGTTCCAGTGACCTCAAAAATATTTCAAAAATCAATTCTTTCAAGCTTTACAGAGCAAGTTGTATCTATATTCAAAATAATATAAAAGATTATCCTAATCTGGAACTTATCCAAGCAATTTACAGCAATAAAAAATTCCTTCAGAATGTACTGGATGAATACTAAAGATTTGGAACAGTCAATTTTATTTGCATTTCTATTAAACTCCTTTCAGTCACATGATCCGTCGAGCCAACCATCTCTCCATCTTTCATTTACTTTACTACAATCGAATTCAGGCTTTCCTATTTTTATATTCACTTTGTTGTGTATCCTGCACAACCATTGACTAAGTACATGCTGATTTTGTAGCTGGATTGGTGTTTCCTTAAGTCTATAATAAAGCACTTATTATAAATTAAAGTTTTTATGGGATGAAAAGTCTACTCACTCATTCCGGAAGTCACGAGCACAATATTCACATGGATACAGCCTTGATAAAGTACCGAAAATGCTCTTGACATCCTTCTTTTGTTGGTCTGTCGGTTCCTCTGGATAATGAGCAGCTATTGTATGTAATAAACCCCAAGTGGATCTTCCAAGGCCATCTTTATCAAGTGGACAGTCATCTCTTCTTGGTGCTTCAGGCTCTGCTTCCTTTTTTACATCTTTTTTCTAGAAAAATCATTTTTGAGCATGTAAATTTCACAATTTTAATTAAATTTACCTCAGAAGTTGTCAATGATTTTCTCTGCTGTTTAGCCCATGACTTAAAGTCAACACATGTTCGACAGTTTTCAGGATTAGATTTTGTTTGGGGTGCGTCTATTAGAGGCATTTTTGTATAAAATATAAAGTTACACGAGTTTGTTGACTGTCAACAGCTGCTTTCGTTAAGTTTTTTTGGGTTTCGTTAAAATTTAAAATTTTGAAAAATATTGCACAAACTTGTTTAATTAATTTAAACAGCTAAAGACCCAAAATTGATGTAATATAAATAATTCATGAGGGAGAAATATTAATTAAGTGCACATAGATATTCAAGTTATTTAATAAATAGACGTAAAAAAGCTGTCTTTGCTTAATTTGAGTTTTATCAATAAAATCCAGCGGTATTTTAAAATGTCAAGGTTCGTGCTGAAAAACCTTGGAAATGATACTCGTCCTGACATCATTATCAACGATACGGATAGAAAGAAGGTAAACAAACAAGCTGAATATTTATTTACAATGAAATTAAAGAGTTTAAAAATAAATTTTAAATTTCTATTGTTTTTCTTTAAAATTAGATTGTTGGACGAAATAGTGAAACACAGATCATTTCGCCAGTAGTATCTAGGGAGCACTTGTAAGTATAACAACACAAATTAAAACTCTAGAAAAAATTAAATCGATGTTTTTTTTCGCTATTTTTTCGACAGAGTTATTAAGCCAAACTTCAAAGACAAACTATTGCTTATTAAATTTACTGGAAAGTCTCCTTCTGGTAAGTACTTATAGCTTGATTAAAGGTCAAAGGCGATACAATTTTCGCTTTTCACTAGTCAAAAGATTATAATTTCGCTCAAAAGGCACAGTAATACGAAAGTTAACACACTGAAATGTGCAACTGCATTGTACGCATTACTTTTGGGTGGTTCCAATAATTTTTTTCAAGGCGTATACACTCGGGATTTTTAGGATTAATCCCAGAAAACCCAAAAAATCCCAAAAAAATCCCAAGTTTCCTACAAAAAATCCAAGCAGAAATAAAAAAATGAGCAATTCCAAGGCTGAGTTGAGTTAATTAAAAAATAAGCTCAACATCTTCATTTATTATTATATTTGGGCAAGATCAAAAACTTGTTGTTCGTGACGCTGAGCTTTAATTTTCAATTTTTGGATCATTAAAGCAAGTTATATAGCAAAGACTTGTATTTTTCTTGTAGTACTCGCCAATACCAACAATTTGGTACATAACAAGTGTTTCTTGGACATTGTGCTATAATTAAACATTAATTTATAGTACTTAACGTCACGAACAATTTTAAGGAAATTCGATTTTACACCATGTTGCAAATGTAATATCTCTGCAAATACTTCATTAATAATAACGATTTTTTCACCACATAATTAAGTAATCAGTTCATTAAAAGTTTTGTCTAAAATATACAAAATTTCGGATTTGTAAGTTAGCTTAATTCAGCTTTGAAATGTTGAAGCTGAAATTTTGATATGAAGGAAATATTTTAGGAACTAGCTTTCTTTACAAGAAAGGTAACATATGTAATTTTCTTTAAGTTTGAGAGAGAAAATTTTCAATTCTACTATAATTAACCAAGTTATGATGAGTTTTACAAAACTAGTCATAAGTCATTGCTGTGTTATTCGTCTACTGATTTTTTCATTTTAAACTATAAAATTCAACAATGTTTATCATATTGCAATAGAAATATTACTTTTTGTTCAAGACAAGCAGAGAAAATTAAATTATAGTAAAAAATTTAACCAAAAAATTTGTAACGATTTTTAAAATTGCAAATTTGTGAGCAAATATGAGCAAAATTTGCTGCTCAACTAAAATTGCATTGTTTTTATAGTTAATTTACCTTACTTTTAAGCCTTTTTCGAATGTACATTAAATAGTAAAAGACTCTTTAGATACCAAGTAATTGTTCTTGACCGATTAGAGTTAATAGTTTTGATTTAAAAAAACATTTTACATTCAATTTGGTTTTCAGTTAATTTAACTAAAATAACTCCTTTTTAACAAAATCTATTTAGATCATACGATAGAAAAAAGCAAGCTCTACAACTTTTGTCAATCGTCCAAACATTTATCTTGCTTTCTTTTCAAAGAAAAATCGATTTCAAATATTAATTTGTTAATTAAACTATCTTAATAAGCCGCCACTTTGAAAAATGAATGTTAAAAAGTAACTTACCACTATTAATTGGGCAAGATCAAAAATGAATTGTTCGTGACGCTGAGCAATAATTTACAATTTTTAAATCATTAATGCAAATAATGCTGATCAGCTTATGTTTTTCTAAAAGCTCTCGCCAGGACCTGCATTTTGGTATATAACAAGTGGCATTTTGACATTGTGCTATAGTTAAAAATTAATTTAAAGTGCTAAGCGTCACGAACAATTTTAAGGAAATTCGATTTTGCACTATGTTGCAAATGCAATATCTCTGCAACTAATAATCCAATCTTAAAAATTCTTTCACTAAGGAATTAAAAATTCGTGGCAGTAAATGCTTAGAATAAAAAATTTAAAATTGCGGCTGCATAAGTTAGCTTAATTAACGTTTTAAATGTTTTGGTTGAAAATTCCATACGAAGAAAACAGTTTAGGAACTAGCTGTGTTCACAAAAAAGGTAACAAATAAGGTTTTCCTTAAGCTTATTGAAAAAATTTCAAGTTCTACTTTAATTAACAAAGTTACAATGAATTTTAGAAAACTAGATATAACTTTTTGCTGTTTTATTGTTCTAATGATTTTTCAATGTAAAACTATAGCAAAACATAAGATGCATCTTGTTGCAAAAGAAAAAAAATTAAATCTTCATGAAAAGTCTTTAAATCATAAAATGTTAAAAAGATTAACCAAGAAAATTGTAACGGTTTTAAAAAATTCAAAATTCTTATGAAATTCTGAGCGAATTTGAGCAAAACATTTTGCTCAATTAAAATTACAATGTTTTTGAGTTAATTTAACTCATTTTAATGCCTTTTACAGATACAATTTCTATAGAAAATTACTTTTTAGCTACTTATTAATTGTTTTCAGTCAATTAGAGTTAATATTTTCGGTTAAAAAGCGATTTATTCAACAAATTGAGTTTTAGTTAAATTAACTTAATCTATTCAGTTTTTTGAAGTCACAATACGGTGTTTTGATAGAAAATATCAAAATCTACAACTTTTGTGAAGATCTTGAACAACCAACTTGCTTCCTTCATATGAAAAACTCTACTTTAAATATTAATTTGTTAATTAAAGTAACTTGTAAAGTCGCCATTTTAAAAAATAAAACAAAAAGTTAAACTTTCTGAAATTAACTATCGACCTTTGAAAAAATCATTAAAATTGGATGCTGGCAAGCAGAGAAATCAGCATATAAAGTTTTTTTCCCTTTTTTTCTGATCTTGCCCAATTATCATGTAGTGAAGGAATCATATTAATTAAGTTATTAAAAGCAGAGAAATCTGAATTTGAATATTTTTTCCCTTTTTTTCTGATCTTGCCCATTTTCATAAACAACATTCTAATCAAAAAATAAGTTGTTATTTAAAGGAAAATTTGGAGTGTTCTGTATTTTCCCGAAAAGCAAAATAACGAAAAACAATTTTTACGAATTTTCAAATTTACGAATTTAACAATTTTGTGATAAGAATATCATTTAAAACTTCTTTAAATCCTTTGTTGTCAAAATAAGCAAGAAATTTTCAGTTTTTGTAGTTTTGCCTATGCTGGTTGCGGTTTTGTGTACTTTTTGATCTACTCAAATGACTCTAACTTTTTTCAGAACCAATATTTTTGCATTCTGTTTTCTTTTACTGCTAGCTTAAATCAATACCTTTATAATGATGTATAATACTTTTATAAAAGTTCATTAAAGTTGCTCCTGGAGTGGTTTGAATGTGAACGACGCAAGCTGAAATTCAATAAAATAGCCAAAATCAAGAATTTACCAATCAAAACTTCCTAAAAGTAATGTATTTTGACTTAAATATGTTCCAATATGAAATATCAATCAATAAAATTCTGAAACATAATCTAATCTTTTAGATTTTCAGGTCCAATAGAGACTACTAGGGTCGTACCTTAAAAGCTACCTGAGATAGCAAAAAGTTTATGAAATTTTGAGTTTTAATAGTCATAACTATCATAAATCATCATAAAAAACCACAAATCAATACTTAAATTTGTATCTAAGTCATATTTCTACAAATAACGTTTTTGATATTTTTCTCAGTTTGGGGTCGCTCACAAACAAGGCACATAATCATGACTAAGATCATACCCAACCATCAAGTATTTTATATCGTTGGAAAGATCTTGATTTTAGCTATAACAAACTGAAAACAAATTTTAAAATTATTTTGTTTTCTTAAAACTGGAGCGTTTTAAGTGGTGGGAAAACTATACAAGTCGTCAGATATCAAATGTACCCAATATATCGACATATTTTAAACTTTTTGAAAAAATTTCTTTGCGTGGTGTTTTTAAATGTCATTTTCTATTAGAAAACATTAAAAAGAATAATTATAATTATTGTTTTGTAATTTTTATGAGAAATTTTTGATTTTGATCAAACATTCAACGGCTTACTAAAATCAATTTATCTCGAAAGTGTACCGGTCAAATTTTAATGTTTATACAGTTTTAAAAACTAGAAATCAAGGGCTTTATGATGATATGGTTTTACCCCTTAAGTAGTCGTCATCTAAGATAGTTGCGGCGTGTTTGAAGATATTTTTCCTAGGATTTTCATACATTTACTAGCATATGAGTACAAAAATTTTATCGAAAAAAATTATGTACTTCAGCAAATATAGTTCTTATATAGAAACTGAAAACTGTTTTTTATTTTAATTAACCGTTGCAGAGAGTTTTGACTTCAAAGTTGGACTGAAAAAATCTGTTTTTTTGCTATTTTCCGACTTCAAACAGCCATAAAATTGCAGGAACAGCACCAAATGACTTGAAATTTGGCATAGAAGTCAGGTTTTATGTCCCCTACAAGAAAAAATTTACTTGAGAATGTAATTCGAAAAAGTCCCAAAATCAAAGTGAAAGTCCCTTTTTAGCGCATTTTTGAAAACTTGTTTTCGAAAAGGGAGCTCAATAATACACTTTGTTCGTTCGTTCGTCGGGCAAGCATAAAAACTTTGCAACCAGACATCGTAGAGAGCTCGGATTTGTTTTATTAGCTCCGTTACTATTGTTTATTGTCCGATCGAACAGTTAAAAGTCTTCAAGCAGTGTATTTATGCTATAATTAATGAGTTTTTGTTTTGTTTTCAGTGTAACCTGCTCAAATTTTGTTTTACCTCTATAAATTCAAATTTACCTCTATAATTTCAAATTTTTTCTAGCCGTTGTAAAATTTCAAATTTTAAAAAACCGTTAAATGATAAACTTTTTCTATATGGAAATTCATTGCAGCAAATTATTAATTATAATCAAATACTGATCGCTTCGTCAAAAATGCGCTGAAGTCCCTCGATCAATAACACGAGGACTTTTGTAATTTTTTTTCAATTTTGCCCCATAGTGCACGGTGATATATGGTTTTTAGGATAGAAGTCGGGCATTTACGATGGTAGCGGCACGTTTAAAGATATTTTTCCTTGGATTTTCATACATTTGCTAGCATAGCGATACCAAAACTATATGATACATCATAATAAAGCTCTTACTTGATACTTTTAAGAATTGAAAACCCTTTTTTTTATATCCTTATCTATTGTAGAGATTTTTCAATTTTAGTGAGACAAATTTTCGCTTGTTCAAATTCAAACAGTCACAGAATTACAAAAAAATTTAAATTTTGCCCTATAATACATTAAAGATTGCAGTTTGTTTTACGGAGGACAGACAAAGGACGTGAATTAGGCATGGAAATCGAACGTATTGATATGAGTTTACTTACTGAAGATTCAAATAGACATAATCAACATACGAGACGATATTGATTCTGAATTTCTTTTGAAAGATTATTTAGAAAATAAGAGTGATACATTCAAGACATCAAATATTGACATTGATCAAGAAATTGATATAGATGTTCATCAATTCTCAAATGACTTAATAATAACAAATATAAATTTTTGAAGGAATAATTCCACAGCAAATTCTTAATTAATAGGAACTTATCAAGGCAAACAAATATAACCAGACGATAGTATAGACGATAATATAGAAAAAAGATGTAAAAATTTGACAAGTATCAGAAAAGGAAATGATTTGGGAAGAAAAGGAAATAGGACGTAGTGATATTGTGTATATTATTATACATGAAAATGGAATATTGGGAATTGGAAGAGTTTTAAATATGAATTAATCTAACAAAAAGGCCAAAAAATCTTAAAAATCCCAGAAAAATCCCAAAAATCCCAGGTTTTTTTTACAAAAATCCCAACTTTTTTTTCGAGTGTGTACGCCTTGATTTTTTTTCATTATTTCTTCATCTTATAGCTATCAACGGATTTGTAATTAAAGAATCTGAAGCTTATGAGGCAAAGGAAAATGATATAATTAACTTGGTTATCAGTACAGAATATAATTATAAAGTATTGTTTGAAAAGGCTCCAACTGAACTAATTAAACCAGGAAAAAGAAGAAGTGAAGACGAAATGGAAGTAAGTGAGGAAAGAGTTAAGAGGCAAAAGTCTTCAGAAGAGGATAGATGGGATAATATAGATAATAACAAATGTCTAGTATTCACAAGTCGTGGAGTTGTAGCTTCCGAAAAAATTGCTGCTTACGATATGGATAAAACTTTAATAAGGACAATGAGTGGAAATACATTTCCAAAATCGATTGATGACTGGCAAATTAATTTTGCAGAAGTTCCAGACAAGTTGAAGAAATTCCATGAAAATGGATATAAAATTGCTGTTTTTACAAATCAGGCAGGTGTTGAGCATAACCGAGTAACGATACCAGATATTAAGAAGAAAATTACAATGATACAGAAACGACTTCAAGTACCTTCTCAATTCTTTGTTTCAACTGCTGCCACCAATTTTCGGAAGCCAAGAGTAGGTATGTGGGAACTACTGCAAGATCGATTTAATGATGGAGTTAAAATTGACATGACATCCTCATTCTTTGTTGGTGATGCTGCTGGACGTCCTGAAAATAAAGTTTTAAAGACGAAGAAGGATCATTCATGTGCTGATCGTTTATTTGCAAAGAATTTGGACTTGAACTTTTACACGCCTGAAGAACATTTCAAGAATGTCAAGAAGAACAATTTCTTCACTAAGCCTGAGTTTAATCCAAAGAATTTCGATATTTCCATGAAGCTTCTTGAACCAGACAGCTCCGTTTTAGTTTCTAAGGAACAAGAACTAATTATTATGATAGGATTTCCAGCTAGTGGAAAGAGTTATTTCTGTAAGAATTATTTGCAAACTGCCGACTATGAAGTCGTTAATCGTGATACGCTTAATTCCATGCAAAAATGTATGTCAGTCATTGAGGATGCCTTAAAGAGTAAGAAGAGTTGTGTAGTCGATAATACAAATCCAGATACAGCTTCACGTAAGAAATTCATCGATATAGCTAAGCAACTTAAAGTCAAAGTTCGGTGCTTCTTAATGACAACAACTTACCATCATAGTCGACACAACAACATATTTAGAGAAATTATTGATTCATCACATGCTAAAATTGGTGATATTGTTTTCAACACGTACAAAAGCAAATTCGTTCCTCCGACATTAAAGGAAGGATTCGATGAGATCGTTAAGGTCAATTGTGTACCAAAATTCGAGAATGCAGAACACGAGAAGCTGTATCGTATGTATCTTCTTGAAAAATAAGTTATAACTGTAATAAACAGACCAAAATAATAAGAATTTGAAACTTCGTTCGTAAAATTCATTAAATATATTTTTCATTTCTTATTAAAATCTCTTCCTTCTGCCATATCGTGTCACAAAAAAATTCTGTTTTTTGAAAATGATGAAAGTAAAACTACTTATAGATCTACGTGCTTATAATTTAGATAAATTTTCAGTCAGTTGGTTACAGTGGCGTTATTTTTCTTTTTTTTTTGGTTTTTATGTGAATTAATGATGCAGGGGTGCATCTAGGGTTACCCCTTATCGAATTAGATACACCCCAGTAATAAAGGATTGTTGTAATCTGTTATGAATATGTAGTTTTGTTCCTTTTTTCCACATCCCCTTCTTATGTCAAATAAAAAATATTAATTAAATTAATTTGACTCGTTTTTTTTATGGCATAAAGTTGTTAATAATCTAGTCTTAGGATATAAAATGATTTTTTTTCCTCTTTTCTATTTGGCATCGAGCTAAATTTCTAAGTCACTTAACACTATACATGTCAAAATAATATAATGATAATATTAATAATCTCAACAAACTGCATTCCAACAATCAAACAAAAAAATATTTACAATTTTAACGTGTTATGGGATCGTCCACAGATGATGAGCATTCGAGTGCAAAACATCACTGGTGAGTAATCCTAATGTTAAGGTAGTTTTTGGAGAGTTAATTGTACTAAGTTACAGTTTTTAGGGCATCTGTCATTTATTTGTTATGAATTCTGATATACTTTAGTGTGTTACACTTCCTCTTTGCATTCCTTCTTCACTGGAGTCGTTCGATTTAGTTCCGTTTCCATATTTGCTCGAACATTTTGTAAGACAGTTTGTGTTTTGGCAATCTGTTGCTTTATGTCCATTTCGATTTGAGCTTTTCGAAGGTTCTGGTTCCTTAATTTAGAGTAGGCGATTTCGAGGGATCTTTTGGATAAATGGAGGTTCCTTTTGATTTCATTCATCTCATTAGCTAGTTTCTTACAGGAATTACAATTTGAAAAAGCTTCAACATCCTTCTCATCAGTAGAACTAAATGATAGAGATCTTGGTGCAATGGCATCCTCACTGACATAGCCACTGGCATCTGATAAATGAGTTCCTATATGTAGCTTCTCACCTATTAAAAGTTTATTCTGAAGTTTAGCATTAAATACTTCGAGATCAGCAATTTTTAAGTTCAACTCTTGCTTCTCGATGTTGACTTTCTGGTAGTCTTCATTGACTTTCTTAAGTTTAGCCTCAAGACTTCTTCTTTCGTTCAGTGTCTTTGATCTTTCTACAGCATTTGATGACAACTGTAAAGTTGCTGAATCCAAACTTTTACTTATTCTCTCCAACTTTTCTTCATTCTCTGCTAGTTGGCTCTGCATTATTCTCATTTCGCCTTCGAGTGCGGCAAACTTTTGCTGATAATCCTTGAGTCTTGACTGTTTTCTGTCAAGCTCGAGTAGAAGTTGATTATATATTGTTTTTCTAATCCAATTTTGCTGTAATTCATCTTTGAAGGCTTGCTCTCGTTTCTCAGATACTGTCAGAAGTTGGTCGTATGTTGTACATTTCAACTCATATTCGACTTTCAAACTTTGTAGCTTATTTTCTAAGTCATGCATTTTATTTCTCATTTCATGATTCGAGCCAACCTGTGATTCATATTTTGATGACAAGACTTTTAATTCGACATTAAATTGGTCTTTCTCCTTCTTAACAACTTCCATTGCTTCTTCTTTTTCTTTTAAACTTTTCAGAACGTCAGAATGCTCGGTTGTAACTTGTTGATATAAATTTTTATAATGCTGAACATTGCTTTCCGTTTCCTCAAGTTTCTTTTTAATTTGAAGTATTTTCTCGGTTGTATCTTTCTCAGCATTCAACAGAGAACCTGATACTTCAAGGATTTTATCATTACGTTCTTGCAAAAGTGCCTCTAAACTTTTGACTCGCTCGTTAAGAAGTTTCCAATCTGATTTCCTTACCAATTTGTGCTCATTTCCATCCTCATTATTTTCACCTTCCTCTTCGTCGGAAGTTGTGGATGTTCTTTGATGAGTTAGTAAGACTTCATCTGCTTTACCAAGACCGACTCTTTCACGTGATATATCACGATCTGGTTCAGACCATTCTTCTGATTCTGATTGGTGTTTAAGCATCGCTGATGCTAATGATCGTCTCATATTCTTTTGTGATTTATGTCCTTTAATACTTGAGGTATTAACTGGGGTATTAGATTTAAACATCTTATTGGAATCAACTTCAGTCTTAAAGTTCTCGAGACTATCAATCATTGAATCAGCAACAGTTGATGAAGCAAAACTATCAACTAAATCAATCATGGACATGTCACTGAGGTTTGTGTTTTGACTAATTGAAAATTGATTTTTATTGCTGCCTCTAGAAAGATCCAAACTTCTATCGACAGCCTTAGTAATTGCCCTCTTAAGTTCATTTCCTAAAAGTCCTGATAGATCACTCTTATTTAATAATGATGTTAAAAAGTTGACCAATTCCTCGAGCCTCTCTAATAATATTCCACAAAATGCTACAGACTGTCTCAAAACTGCCTCACTTTCATAGACATCATTCTGTGCCTCCTTCAATTGTAATTGTAGAAATTCGTTCTCGATTTTATTTTGTGTATCATTTGAGCTGTAAAATATGATAAATTAATGACTGTCATGAATGACTGAATCGATAATTAATATTTGGATTTCAGGGTTTGGAATGGAAATGTTCTGTTGTTAAATGCTTGGTAATTACGCAAAGCTAGTCAGTCAAAAACTAATCGCATCGACAGTTTTAGATTGCATAATCGCAACATGATGACAACATGACTTTTCCCCCCATGCCTGAACTCTAACCTACCTTAATCTCTGCTTCAAAAAGTGAATTTTCTTTTGTGCACTTTTATTTCTGTCAATTACTTCGTTGAATGATATCTCGTTTATTGGGAAGTTAATCGATTGCAAAATGTTTTGAGAGGTATCGAATGTATTGAAATTGCTGTTGCTCAATGGTGCAAAAGACAATCTTGATTTCTTACGAAGTTCCTCTTTCAGTTGATTGATTTCCTCGTTCTTCTCGTTTGTTATTTGCTCAATCTGTTGCCTTAATTTCAATATAATTCCACTCGCATGACTAAATTGCTCATCATTTTTGGCACTTTCAGTTGATGATAATGAATTAGGTTGACTAGATTTTAATTGTTCTACATGGAGTTCAAGATCTTCAATATGATCGCATGCTTTCTGTATTACTTGAAGTGACTTTTCATGAGCTTGTGATTTCTCATATAATTTTCTCTCGATCTCATCAAACTGTGTTATTGCTTCGGCAAGTTTTCTTTTACTTTCATAGCATTCATCCTGCAACCTCTTCATTCCATCTCGGTCACTAAATTTCTCAACTTCTTCAAGCTTCTCTCGAAGTTCAGCATTCTCATAATTGAGTTGATTTAGTTTTCTTGTCATATCACAACGCTGAGATTCCATCTTTTCTATTTTTTGACACAATTGCTCGTTCTGCTCACTGAAGCTTCTCATGATGAGTTCAAATTCAGCTATTTTTCGCTGTGATTCAATATCTTTTGAGTCAATAGCACCAAGAAAGTCTGAGAAACCCGTGTCGTTGTTATGGTTGCTCTCAATAAGGACCTTTTCAAGTGTTTTGATTTCATGCTGATTAATTTTGTAGATTTGTTGATTTTCATGAAAAATAGAAAGATAAACAATGAGTAAGGAAAGTTTTTGTGAATAAGGCGCATTTTTAGTGAAGCTTTGATGTTGACATGACACAAAAGATAGTTCTACATCCCACATAGATGCTAAATCATAGTTTCCTTCATTAAACAGACAAATTGACTATACTTTAAATGACATCAACCTCATAAAATTCAAAAAAATGCTTGAAAATTTATATTCGTCATCGCATGACGCTATTGAAGTGTAAATACCATAAATACTTACTGTCATCGCTTCAATTTTATGATTTAAATCATCAATAATCATTTGGGCTTGATTGCTCTCTTTTTTATGTTGATTCTCCAACATTTCCATCGCTTTTGACGCTTGAATGAGAAGATCTTGCTTCTCCTTAAGTTCCTTACGCAGCGATTCATTTTCAACCTTTTTATTATAAGATATAAGGTAGGTAAGAACGATGATGACGAAGATGGAAAAATAATGGGAGAAGCATAAATGTAAACATTGTAATATAGGGCATTAAAAGATATGAACCGTGAAATCATTACCTTTAAATCAATATTCTGTTTGCTGATGCTCTCAATTGTATTCATGTTCAAGCAACTGTTGCTTAACGAACTGCTTTTTGTAAGCAGATTTGTTGCTGTTGGCTTTTCCTCTAAGAAATATATTCGCAACTTTAAATTAAAGTTTTCCTTACGCAATGCCGAAATCTGCTCTTCATGTTCACGTAACGAATGACCTTGAGATGCAGGCGACGACGGGCAATTCGTGAGCGTCTTTTGTTGCACGCCACATCCATCTATAATTTCATTAACGTTCTTATTCATAAGTCTGATTATAATAACCGTTAAAGAACTTTGACACAATGATGATTATTTGCGGAATTAAATTAAAGTATATTTTCTCTTTTTTTCTCGTATTGTGTGCGAATAAAAATTATTTAGTTCTTTCTATCTATCTACTTATTCAAATTGACTAAACGAGAGCGAAATTCGTTTGATTGAATTTAATTTAAAATGAAACTCTTACTGAAAATGCACGACTATTGTTGTTTGGCATAATTCATGTGTCACAATTTTAAAATCGAGAAAGAAGAGTAAAATTTAAGTTAAAGTATGAATGAGTTCGGTCTAGTTATAGACCTTGTGAGCGCATTTTGGATGTTGTTGATGTAGATTCTTATATTTTCAGTTACATTATAGAAATAGGCTCTAAAAAAGGTTGAATTGAGGTAAAAGATTCATGTCACTAGATCAGAGATCCATGCCACTATGCCAACCAGGTACTTATCTCACTTCGGCTATCTGTCATACACATATAACCAGTTCAACACGAGCTACATGCTCTGACCTATCTACTACAGATATGCTCTTCGAGTCATATCTACATGACTGTCCTTTGTCACTAGCTACTGATAACAAAGCTAACATCCGCATATTTTCACTCATTCTATAATTGAATAATAAATGCAAACAAGTCAAAAAATTTATTGCAGGTTCTGACCTGTCATTTCAATTTATTGACGACTTGAGGATCGCATATTGATCATTAAGTCATTCATTCAAAGTGAATCAATATTTGCATAATACATAGGAAAAGATAGCTTATTGTTTGAAAGAGAAATACGAGAGATTATCTCATTTTGCACTCTATAAAAAAATATCTAGAACGAAAATTCATAGTTTGATATTACATTTGTGCTACTCATTTAAAACCACTGAATATTTATTGTCACAAGCTACATATTGAATCACTCAGTTTTATGGAAAATTTTGCATGCATTTTTTCTTCCTTATTTACGAAAAAATTGTAATTTTTGTATTACTTTAAATATTGACAATCAATTCTAAGAAGTTTAAACTTAATGTAGATTGCATTCGAGTGATTCAGAGAAATATTCTTGAACTTGAAATTGTTTGAATTTCCAAATAGGGGCCGTTCACTTATTACGTTCGCATACAAAATAATTTATATTATGAACGTTCAGGGGGGGGGGGGGGGGGGTGGGGGGGTTGAGTTGTAACCTATTGTAACAAGGAGGGGGGGGGGGGGGGTGAAAAAAGACGTTTTTTTGGCGTAACGTAATAAGTGAACGGCCCCATAGCATGTTTAGTGAATTTGTGATTTGTTCGAGATTAAGATTCTCTTGCAAAACTAGGTTTAGTTGGTTGATACCCATCCTATTCATCAGGAACCACTCTTCAGTGATGACAGAATTCTGAAATTTCCACACGTGAATCCCATAAAATATTATTAACTCAAAATATCGATCAACATTGACGTGATTCAAACTGAAATTCTCACATCACCCTCCTCAGGAAATGATCCAATCAAACAATTTCAATCACATCAGCATAATGACACGTAACGATGTTGAGAAAATATAGTTAAAGATTTCCTTTCATTGCATTCTATTCTTCATTTTACATCCATAATAGCGATTATATTACAAAAAGACACTTACTGAATGATATATCCCCATCATGTGATCTATATAAATAAAAGGGAAGAACGAAAACAAAAGAAAAGTAAAGAAATTTAATTTAAGAATGCCTAAATGACACAGCGGATATTTAAGATTAATCATAGCACACATGTTTCGGTACGGGAGATTTCCCTCAGATATTGAATCAAGTCTGTGTGAGACAAAAACAGATATTTGTGGTATTTTGGACCGCACGCACATCAATTTATTGACGTAAAGATTAATATTCATAAAGGGCTCGTTTGCAAATGACGTCAATGATGCATATTCTTAAGTCCAGTTCCTCATTAACGTAACAAACTGTGGACGAGTTTCTAAGGTGTATCTAAGTGTGAACCTTATTTAAACTAGAGTGAATTAGATATGAACTCATTCTTGACTTAAGACATCATTTACACACGATCCCTGCTAATTAATTTATACAAATGTCGGTTCCAAATCATCAAATCAAGTCAATAATTTCGGATCGATCAAAATAAATTGATTATTCCTTCATTGAAAATCATTTGTCGAGTTAATTTATCAAGCAAAATGAAAACAAGACAGAGAAAAGATTTCTTGCAAGGGGCGGAACTCACGAAAACTTGCAAGTTTCATACAAATCACAAGATTCCGTGTAAATCTTGTGGATTCACAAGTTTGCTTTTAAAAACTTGGAAAACCGCAAGTTTGCATGCAGAAACTTGTTGGACCACAAGTTTTCAAGAGTTCCGATCCCTTGATTTTGGTGCTGTTCACTTATGACGTCGGACATTAACGGTCATTTTCCAAAAAAGAACTATGGAATTCCAAGAATTTCTTTTGTTCTTTTCTTACTGACCCCCCCCCCCCCCCCCCCCCCTGGACGTCATAAGTGAACGGCCCCTTTCATGTTAAAATAGAATTTGCTCCATTTCATTCTCTTCGATTGCGTTTAATTAATTGCTGACGACGAGTCGAAAGTGAAAATACACAAAAAATAAAATAAATCGAGGCCTTTGAAATAAATTTTCTTTTTCGCAGAACAGAACAAGTAAGTGCTATTCATTCATTGATTATCACGATAATGATGTTGGGATGATCAGCCAAGAACGAAGAAAATTAATTCAACATGATGAGTAAGTATTTTTTTTTCTTGTGTCTCACAAGAGATTTTATGGCGCCCTTATGAGAATTTTTTTTCGCTACACAGCATCTATTTTATTTTATTTAATTTTGCCTCGATTTCTTCACATTTCTATCAGCAGCTTTAAAATGAGTTTTTTTTTTATTTTATTCTTTATCACTTTTCTGTGTGGTGATTTCATCAACATCATGAAGCATGTTTGTTTTGTGATAAAAGCAAGCATTTAATTGGCTTGAAAATGAAGTTTTATGTTCGTATTTTTGCGGCCTGACTAGAGTGATTCTGAGAAAATGAGCGAGTTTTTCGTGGGAGAAAAGTAATGACGATTTATTTACACATTTGATAGCACCTTGGGTAATAAAAAAAATCTAATCTGACAACTAGCGTGTTGGCTCAAATGTTGATAATTAAAAAAGAGTTTGTAAATAGATGTTAATGATTCAGTTACATCATAATAAAATAAAAAGATTTGCTAATTAAAGGACTGTAAAAAGTTGTGGTCAATCTGGAATTGGAAACATTTGAAACCCTGAAGGCAACACTTCCAATTCTTAATATGTGTCAAAATAATGGTTTCATTGGGTAAGTTGCATATTTGAGAATCTTTTGGATTATAATGGATGCTCCAAGATCATTAAGTGAGTGGTTCTGGACAAACTCTGAACGAAAAATTGCTTTTAAAATTCAAGGACAGCCTGAATTTTGGAGAAATAATGAACATTGTCTTGCTATTGGAAGAGATAATTACAAAAACTATAAATTTAATGACATTTCTTGTACTGACCAAAAACCATCCATTTTCATGTCAGAAACTTGAGTAATTAAGAAGACTTTATTATTTAGAAGAATTGATTCCACAATATCCATACTCTTTCAATTAGCTACTATGTCTGAGAATGGATAATGAGGTGTGTAGAAATAAATTACACAAATAACTTCCAAAGTGATGAAAAATCATTTCAAAATTTTCAATACTTTTTCTGCCAAGCAGTTTCCGACTAAATATTGTGGCACCATGTGTGAAATGGAAAATTACAACATTGAAGCTATAAGTTGAAAAACCTTTTAGTTGTAAATATCATCTTGTAACCAAAAAAAATCTTTCTAATTTAGTGACTTTTTATCGCTTTTTGTTATGTGAATAACCTAATTTTTTTGAAGAAATATGAAATGGATAGGATTTTGAAGAGTCACAACGTTCTCACATTTTTACAACCGCTTTTAACTTAATTGAAAAATTATGGTCACTATATGTTGAAGATGCACATGAGACTTGTACATAACCCGTCCGAATGTTTATAATAAAGTTGCATTTAGATTGTATACATCCAGTATGCATGCAAGTTCAATAATCACAAAATCATGTGCTACATATTGCGATCTACAGCTCTAAATAAACATTTTAAAATAATCTATTGCCGGATTGGGTGCATTTACTGAACTTTAGCTTAATTTGATCAGTTTGTCTTGGGGGCTGTTCACTTATTACGTAACGCGAAAAAATGACTTCTTAGACCCCCCCCCCCTCGTAACAAAATTTGTATGAAAAAAAAATTTCCTTGTTTGAACCGTAACAAAATCTTAGACCCCCCCCCTCCCCCTAAAAGCGTTACGTAATAAGTGAATGGCCCCTTGTCGTATTATGTAATATTCTAAGGGCTGGTAACTAGAAGCTAGTAGCTAATTGCTTAATATAGAATAGAAATGCGCTGTAACACCCCAAAAGATCCCAACCATGCGAACATTTTGCATAAGCTTCAATTTTTTCAAGAACTTTCTCATGCTCCGAGAATTTATTCTAGATACATATAACGAACATTTTCTCCCCATCTCGCTTATCCTACATCTCTTATCAGCATATAGCCATAATAAAATTTATTTAAATAATGAAGCGAAGGAAGTAGCGGAAGCGAAGAAGAGTTGATCATAATAAAAATTGTATTATCACTGAAAGTGCTACTTTATGCAGTCATGGATAGCATCCAAGGGAAGGATGAATCTACTTTTCTGTAATTTCATTAATAAATTACAGTAAGGATGAAGAAGTGTAAACAGTAACGAATGTGCTATGATGATGATTATGACAATAATAATGAAGTATAATTCTCTTACCCCATGAATAATCCAACACGGTTCGGTACTCTAGTTGGTGTTGAAAGTGATGCCGGTCCTGAGAACGATGGCTTTGCTGGAAGATTATTTTTATCACCACCGCTGTTGGTGTTGTTGAACTTAAAAATTCCAGCCATTCTTTTGATTCAGCCAAAAATACACAAATATTTTTAAAGTTTATCGTTTATGTAACAAAATCCAATATCAATGCACTATCGTTCCATAAATAGTCCTTCACTTTTTTCTCACTTTCTAATTTGAATTTTTTTTTTCTTCACATTTTCACAAATTTTTTCTCTCTTTTTATTTTCTTTTTGTTATTTTTGGAAAATTCTTTTTCCCCCGTGCATTTTCATTTCAATTTTCACTCGCTGCAGTTAGCATAAAGTTTAATGTTCTCTCAATCTTCTGAAATGGAAAAATGTTTATATTATATAAAAACTTTGAAATTTGATGAGAAGCATTTCGTAATTTAATTAAATCAAACCGAGCATCACATTTCATGTGTGGATGAAAATTATATGGAAAGAAAGAAAGAGTCAGGGATGTAGTTGGAAACTTTAGATAGGAGGGGAGGGGGGGGCTTTAACTGTAATAAATATTATTGAGAGTACCGCAGCACGTAGGTTGACTACCACTGCAATAACTTGTATCCCTAGTCAAACAATGCACTTAATAGTGACGTAGCACACAGGTTGATCACCACTGCTCTAGCTAATCGCACCTAATTTACCCCTGGAGACAATCATCGTCGGATACGGACCGAAATGCAATAAAAATCCTCAGATTTTCCACATTCTGACTTTGAGCACATTTAAAAGTGTAGAAAAATTAAAATTCTAAATATTTCCCTACAGTCAGGCAGGCATAACTATTAAAAGATTCATTTCCATGAAGCATTTCCGGATATTTTTAAAGTATTCCGTTGTGAACATTTCTTTTCATCGCCACATTATCCGACATTGTGCGAATAGAATAAAAAGAAAATAAATACAAATTAAGCAGATGAACATCACATCACATTTTATATGTCCATATATTTGTTTTAAAATCTCCACTGACCATGAATACATACGTCAAAAATAAAAAAAATTGTCTGGCATTGCCGAATATTTTTCCTCACAAATGACTTTTTTTTGCTGTGAAAAATCTCTTTTGCTGTGAAAAACTGTAAACACTATACTGATGCTCATGTCATGCCATCGGATGGCTTGAAGCTTTATACATCCACAATTTTGCAAATATAATGAGAAAATAGAATAAACAAGCAAGACTAACGCACACGAGACAAGTCTTGGCAACAAGTCATGAGAAAAAAAAATTGAAATAAATATTTCCGAGACTTCTTCTTCTACCTGCCTTGCTTAATTTTTCGCGGTGTCCACTAGCGACAACAACTGAGTAGACATGCTCGAGAAAGTAGAAGAATTTTATTACATTTTCTCGAGCGCACGGTAGATTGAAAAATTGGTGAATGAACCTACGCATCTTAATGATGTCAATAGAGAGTCTCTTGATGCATCTTCATCATCATTAACTTTATCATCGTCCCACAATACACACAACAGAAAAAATATAGTTCAAAATGAGTAACAGAAAAACTTTGAGCCGTAAACAGAGAGCATTTCTCTAATGACTTAATTAATTCGACAAAAGTTTTTACTTCCTTCTACTTATACTCAATATGAATGTAATTATAAGTTAGCTGTCTATCACAAGTTTGACATTGTATCTACTTTGTTCTTTTTGTTAATCCTTTTTCATGTAATTTAGAGAAGTCTCTTGTTAGAGACTAGAATGTCACGCAGGAGAAATAACGAGTTGCGAAATTTAATACTTTTTGCTCCATTTTTTAGTGGGTTGCTGCCACTATCTATGATCTATATTCTTTTACATTCTACATGCTTTTGCCAAATAAATCTCATTAAGTGCTACAACTTTTCTTAATTATCGAGATGGTAGGAAAGGGATCAACAAGCTCTCTTTTCATGTTTTTGTTGTTTTGGGGACTTTAAAGGCGTTTCTAGGTTATAGAACTTAAATTTAAGACGTTTGTAGGCGTTAATGCTGGTGAAAGAAATGTTTTCAAGCGCCACGTGAGTAGCGAATCAAAATTTTTTAAAATTAGATAAGCTGTTGATCTGCATGCCGTAGAGACCAATAACACAATAATTTACGATGTCAATGTCTCTAGGGATTTTAAGATTATACTTATCTGAGGAACAACAAAAAAAGATTTGATTTTTAATTATTATTTAACGCTTTTAAGTTTTGAACATTCATATGTAGCTCTAAAGCTTAATACATATTTGGATTAAGGTATCAAATTGAAGATTCTTGTCTTCTTGATTTATTTTATAACAGTGACGTAGCTGTGTCTGATTTTTGGACTCCCTCTTGAAGTTCTAAATGTTCCTGGTTTTAACGACAAACCTGGAATATAAGGATCGAAACTCATAATAGGACACTTTTTAGATTTCGAACTTATGCACAAAATTTGTGCAAAATCAAATTTCCTTTCTCAACACAATGTGTGCATAGTATAATGCAGCACATGCTTAACTGCAGAAAGGTAAACAGTCATTAGAGGAATTCAGATTCAAACAATAAACCAAATGTCCATAAAAGCCATACTTTATTGCCTTGTCACGAAACAAGCATTGACATAAAGACAGTAAATGAACCTAGTTCGCTCGGTTCCCTAATTATAAGCTAATAAAAATCTTTAAGAATTTCAAACGTTAGTAAAATGCGGCGACTGAGTCATATTTCATCATGTCAACATAACGAGAGCATAAATTAGTAGAAATTACGTTGAGGTACAACTATCTGAGGAATTTTGCGACTCCTCACTAATGCGGTAGTGTGTGATGATCGACATAAATGAGAAGAATTATTACAAAGAGTATAAAGGCATAAGAGAGCTTCTTTGAAATTCGAGGATGAATTATTTTCTCATTTTCATAATTTTGCTCCAATTCAATCATATTCTTTAATATGGAAAGTGATTTATTATGGCATATCCACCTACACAAGTTTCTTAAATTATTATAAATTACACTGCGTTCTGTGCTGTTTATAAAAAATGATCATGTATGCAGATCGGAAAGATTAAAATTGGAAGTTGGGAAAGAAAAAAAGAGTTTTTTTTTGTCATGGCTAAATGATATTGAATAAGTTTTAAAAAAGTTGTGCATGATTTGGGTAGACCCGGGTAGACTTAATCCTAAATGGATTGAAAATAAATGAAGGTCAGGAAGTAACTTCCTAAATTTATTACAATAATATCATTATTTAATGATATTGATCCGAACTGATATCAATCTGGTACCCAAATCAATTGCTAGGCACGACAGGTGATGGGAATATAAAACTTAAAGAATTCATTGTTTATGGACGTCGCAACATTCTGACTGATTCATAAAATACATGCGAAATCTACAGATAAGTCAGAATGTATACTGACTCACAATCATCAACTGCCGAATAATTTTCTTCTTCCCAAGGTTCCAAAGTCTGTGTCTGTGATTAATTTAATCAAAAAATTTACTTTCATTCCCAGCATGTGTCTGAAAATGTTTAAATTGTAAACTGATCCTTATCGATAACTATAGTATGAGTAAATATTGACAACATCTTGATGGCAGTGCTTCATATACCAGCATTTTCCATTCATAAAGATTTTTTTTATTCCTCAAAATTTATGTAGCGTAAATATTATTGTAATCGATTCTACTATAGCTGAATAAATTTACTGCATTTCAATTTTCAATATTTACTCTAAATAGCGCCATTCAAACTTCATGAAACCGTTGGTGATGGAATATGGGAGCTTGGTATTAGCATTTTTGAGGGTCATTCACTTATGATGTATGAGTTTTAGGAGGCTGGGGGTCTGAAGTTTTGCAACTTTCATGGCCAAAAATGTTTTTGTGTTATGAATATTTGGTAATATAGCTATGAAGTGATCCTTACATTACACTGACTATTGACGTCATTTAGAGACGATACCATTTACTCAATAGGATCAAAAATTAAAATTTTAAATCCAATAATTCATATGAAAATCTAATCAATTTTTCTTATTCTTCTAGATCTTCATGAATTCTAGACCTAACAAGTGAATGACTCCAAAAATCGCAAAAAAAATATTTATGCGTATATTTTTAAGTTTGTTTTCGAAAAAAAAATATTCTTTATTAATTCTTATCTCTGGTTAATTTTAATCATGTGTACACACTTGAATATTTAATTTATTCATAAATGTCAGACATAAGAGCACGCAGAGAGAGATATAGAGAAATGAGAGTGACTGTTTGCATGTACATGACTGCGATATCGCAATTCAAAAATAAAATAAAATAAATTGAAATAAATTAACAAACGATGAATTCAGCGAGCAGCCAACAAACTTCCTTCTAGGGAATGTGTTGAGTCAAATGAAACTTGAAACAGATTCTTTTTGCCTATTGTGACAAATTTGTGTATTGCATGTGTCCATGTTATTTTAAATGAATAGATCTTTTAGGGTGGAATCTAATTAAATCATTTGATTTAATTGATTTATAAATAAAAAGATATTTTGCACTTGTTCTCGTCGTTCATAAGGCAAAAATTCAGCATTGAAAATGATTTTGTGTACGGAGATTAAATATGATTGAAATTTGGAAAAGCTCCAAGCCTTTTTGATTTTGAGGTGTATATATTCAAACATTTTAATAATAATTAAACAATATTTTTGGAAATGTTTCTCCCCTATCGCCCATCAGTCACTTACTCGTGCTGTTTAAATGAAATTGAAATAAAATAGAATTTAATTCATTTGTCCCATTCCAATGTGACTTTTCTCTCTCTCTCACTCACTCGGAACCAGCACTCAGTACATCTCCAATTGTAATCAAGCGAAACGATTCTGATTCGTAAAAACAACGAAATAATCCAGAGAATGTAATATTTTGTGAGTTTAATTAATTCGACATTAAGTGAATTTACATATTTGTTATGAGGCAATTCACGTGAGGGAGTTTAATTGTAATAATACATAAATGATTGAAGAGTCTTTACATGCACTCTACGGAAAGAATATCAGAGATTTAATGCATGAAATTTTGAGATCCATGATGCTTTACAAATGGAAATTGTATTTGCGTTGTCGAAGATGATGCTTGAATGTACAATGCAGTTTAATTTAGATATAAATTTAAAGCGCAATAACTGTTGAATGAGAATTGTTTTGGTGCAGTGACTTTGATGCTTTATTTTGAACATCTGAATTTGTTATTGAAGATTGATCAATTTGGTTTTTTGATGAATTTTAGAAATTCATAGTAGCTGCCCTTATAAACGACTATATGTATTACTTATGCTGAAGTTTGATAGGAATTCAAATGTATTACTTATGAAAAAGCATGATTCTTTTTGTAAATAGTGATCTACAACCATAAAGAACCTCAAAATCAAAATTCAATTTCAAATCATTAAAATCTCTCGATTCCAATTAAACAAACTCAAAAATAACAATACAGACATGATAAAATCTGTCATTGATGCTTATTAACGTTAATTAAGCAACCAGAAGGAAAAGAAAAGTCAAATTAACGAGAGAAATTCTCTCAATTGAAAAAATGAACAGAATGAAGTATTTCCTGAATTCAAGAATAAATTTTTGGCCTCAAAATGATCAGATATGTTTTAATTACTCCATAGGTCAAGATTATAGATATTATACTTAAGTTAAACAGTAATGACATGCATTCAGTAATTGAAATAATTGAGAATTTTGCTTTTTAATGTTTGAATTATGAAACAAGACTAAGAATCAAAATATTATAAGAGGGGCTTGCTACTAATTGAAGTTTAGAAAATACAAGAACTTTTTGTTCGTTAAAAATTTATCTTTTGTTTAAAGAAGTACAAAGCTGCTTCAAAGAATTGAAGATCAATCAAAATTTTCCATAAATCTATAAATATTTTGATTATTGACCTTAATAACCATTAAATGAATCCATTAGTGCAATCAAAAGGAACAAATCGAATGGATAATCGTATTTACTTTACAAAAATAAGCTAAGAAAGTCTAAGATTAAACGAATAAATGAAAAATACGAGTGAGAGACGATAGAAGAGTTTCATTAACGTTAATCACACATAAATATTTATATCCATGCGCTAAATCATCAAAGGAATCCCTTCTGCCAAACAACAACATTTACTTTGAGCTGATTCAGACTCATGATTAAAGGTTCAAAGTGAGATCTAATGGCGTATGTCGTGAAAGCAAAACATAAGTCACTAGAAAAGATTTACCGTGGATACTTTTTTTTTCTCTTCATCGTCACAACTTTCGAGACTTTGTTTCTATTTTTACAATTCTAGAGCTGCCTTTTCCTGTTTCAATGAATATCGTACAATTACTCGATACTCTGTGTTTTGTACGTGCAATATGGGAACATAAAAATTTACTTTTTTACACAATAAACGCGCGATAATGTTTTAATGGAAATGTGATGCATGCTTGTCATTAAGTGCTCCACAATTCTATCAATTACTCACAACTTACAATTCTAAGTATCAAAGAAGAACATTTCTCTGCGCCATATTCTTTTTTTTTCTTCACAACATTTCACTTTCCTTGAATATTTTCACGATATTAATTTTTTTTTGCACTAATAATGTCTCATGAATTTTTTTAATTAATTTCAAAATTGTCTTCTTGTTCATCCAATTTTCACGGTTGGCACAAATTCAAAATATTTCAATTTTCTTTATTTGATAAACTCAAAAATTTTAAATGAAATACGAATAAAAAAAATTAAGAAAGAAAAAAATTTCTGTTTGCATTGAGGAACTGTATGAGAATGAACGAAGAAAAATCTCAAATATTGATGTACAAGCAGCTGCGTCTCTTTATAAACTACGCATGTGCTATGAATGCTGAGCATTCAATGACAGTTTTGCCGCTCAGAGATTTTTCTCTTCCCTCGTTCCTTAAACATCGCATCATTATTCTCTCATTTCGATGTTTTTCTTTCGACTCTCTCTGAGCTGTTGCTTTCTCTCTGTGTGGATGAATCAGTATGTTAGAACAAGTCTCATGCAAGGATGAAATGAGATTGCGAGTTATCTGTTAAGTAATTTTTTTAAATCCCATATGCAAATTTACACTTCAGTTAAATAGACAAAAATTGAAAGAATGCATGCATAGACTGGCATAAACGACAAATATATACATAATGCAAATTTATCATTCCTTATCAATATTTATTATGGGTTGGGTATTAATTTTATGACTGAATAATATGATTTCATTCTTTTATAGCTCTGTTTATCAAATCTTTACGTGATTCATGCAAAGTTGTATGCTTTTCAATAATATGGAGACAGGAGTTCTCAAACTGTGTATTTAGATACACTAGTATTAGCCACAAGAGTTATTAAATAATTACTAGGCTTGTTTTAGCTCTGTAGAAACTAAAGTTGAGGCAAGACTTTATTAAGTGACCTAGTGTAAGTAAAGGATGACTAGAATGTAGGTTAAGAAACACGAGTGGTCCTTAAAACCGGCCTTCTTATACCCTTTTTAATGCCAATTAGTGTCTTGAAGCAATAAAAGTTTGTAAACCACTGCTATAAATCATTATCAGCTCTGGATTCTCTCAAAAATGAAAATTTACTCTGTAAACGGAATTTCAAGGTTAAAAGGAAATATAAGGATAATCGAAAATAGTGACTCGCAAATGGAAAGAAAGAATAAGGAGAAGACGAACAGAAAACACATGTCTCGTTGTAAAATGAAATGAGTACAAAGTGCTCTCAAACTCATCAGAATCGTAAAGTATAGAAAGATGTAAAATAAAATAGCAATTTCAAATCTCTCAAAGGAAATAATCGGTAAAAGGAAGCATAAAGCAGCATGGCATGTGGTATCATCTTACACACATGTTATAGTAAAAAGGAAAGAAGAAGAAGACGTAACATCCATTCTCATCTATTTTTATTACACTTCATTTTTATTTCTAAAAAGTATACTTAGCTAAAGTTTTTACATTTTAAAGTGTAGGGGATGTGTGGGAATCCTTTGATTCTTCAATAAGCACGTAAACATTAGCTATTGAAGGAAGTAATGTTCATTTGACATAAAAATAAAATGAGTTAAGTAAATAATGTTAAATTTTTCTATGTTTGCACTAGTTTCTTTGTTTAAATAATATTATGGGTTTCAAGAGCATGTTTGCTTTTAGAGCGTGCTGCCTTGAGTGATCTAGGAAAAGCATTTCTTTGCATAAAATCGATAGATTGAAGTTTTGTTTGTTGTTTATTATTCACATACTCAGAAACCTTTAAAAATATTCTTAAACTTCAATTTAAGATCACTTTAAATGAGAAATTATAGATGCAGGTTATCCAACTCCAACTGAAACCAAATAATCTATTTAAGGATCACGTCTGACAAACCCGTTTGTTAAACTTTCAGACGAAGCTCATAGCACAGAGGAATATGAAAGCTGGAAAATGAAAATCTTTTTAAAATTTATGAGAATTATGGGACATGTGTTTTACCATACATATGACTGCATAAATGGATGGGGTTGTTGGCAAAAAAATTATCATAATTGTGTCTGTAATGTAAATTAAGTTGATTATAAGGAAAAGAAAGAAAAAAATTCATGTTTTTTTAAATTCAATTTAACTCAGTTTTTATTAAATTTCTTCATTTATGGTACTTTTGGGGATCATCTTTATATCAACACAAACAATCCTTTAACTTTTCTTCTCATGCCTTCATTCACGTGACATTTTCACACGAACAATAAATTTATTTAAATTATCATTTCTTCTACATAACTTGCCTCTAGGCTCTAACAATAGAATATTATAATTTTAAATAAGGTTAAGAAACTCATTCAATTAATTTAATTAGTCATTAGCACTTTACTTCATTATGTTCCATTTAAAATAATAATAATAATAGAAAATTAACTAAATTGCTCGTTCAGGATGTTGACATGGAAATTATTTAATAACAAAAAATCAATTTAAATTAACTTTTCATCTTTTTCTCTTCCATGCTTCCGAAATTTTTTATTGTTCCTCTTGAATGACTTTTCTTTTTTGGCAAGAAAATTGAAATGAATTGCTATTGCCGGATGTCACTTAATCTCTCTTCTTTTCTTTGAATCTACGCTTCGATTCTATTTACTTTAATTAAACAAAGACATTTTTTCAAATTAGGGGTAGAGGGCTATAGAGTTGATGTGAACTTTTGCTAATTACATGGAAAAACTCATTGACTGCTAGCAAAACCCACGCAAACCCCTTAATGAACAGAAATTACCCAAGCATGTCTAATAAAATCCATATATAGCTGACTGTAAATTAATAAGGAGATACATCAAGTGAGACACTCTCTATAAATAAGCTTCATGTCTTCTTTTCCATCACTTAATGATTCAAGTTTCCTTTTTGTTTTTATTGGAAAGCTTTTTTTTTGCTTTTTTTTCTCAGAGCACTTGAAGACACTTTATGTTTATGCTTACTTCTGTCATCAAAAAAGATTCATGTTAAATCACATTTGATGTAATTAGAGCAGATGTGGGATGCAAAAGAAATTGTTATTATTTAATTAGATCAATTAAGAGACTTTTTATGATGAATTAGGATGTCAAATATTGAAATAAGTGTCTCTAGGAGGTATTGGTACTTGGAATGTTTTAATTGGTGGTTCAGACAAGTTGGTAAGAGATATTTTTTTGGGGGTGCCTTGTCTTGATGAGAAAAATGCTTTAAACGATATTTGAAGCTTGTTTGGATTCGACTAGAGTTTTTCATACAACACAATCAACTTTGTCATGCAGGATCTAGTTTTTTTGAAAGATGCCATTGAATGCCCTCTGAGGATAAATCCTAAGAAGCAAGTAGCAAAAAATCCATAACCTCAAAAATAAATTAAAAACTGAAAAATAATAAAAATTTGCTGCTCGGGATTGTCAACAAAATAAGGACACAAAAAAATAAAAACCAATTATTAATTATTCTCAACTTTTTTCTTTCTAATAACTTCCTTTCATTTTCCTGTTTTTTTTTCTTCTTTTATTTATTTTGTCTTCTCATTAAACTTGGGTCTCAGTGATTTCTAAACAACAACTAGGTATTAATTAATTAATATAAGAGTTAGAATTTTACATCGATAATTCATTTTTTTAGTCAATTTCACATTAGTAATAATTTATTTTCATTTTTCGTCTCATTTGAAAAAAATTCTTGAATTTATCACCAATTTTTTTTTCTTGTATATCAATATATATATGCTTTAAGGATTCCTTTCATTTTTAATATGATTAATTAACTGTCAACATTATGTATTTACCATATTTTATTCAACTTTTTTTTTGTCTCTATATAGCACAACGCCCAATGTAATGTAATTATAATTATATCAATTAGGAATTAATCTCATGAGTTCTTCATTTACTCTTATTGTTTTCATCTTGTGAACGTGGATATGAAGGAATTTAGTAACGGATGAAGAAGTTCATTTTATTATTTATGTACGACAGACTATGAGATTATTAAAGGATTTAGAAAATATCTCCAGTGGACATATTATTTCATCGGAACTGGTTGAGTTGTGGAATGGGTGATTATTTTTGGTACTTATTGTGAGATGATCAATGGGGATCTCTTGAGAGGCGCCTATAATTGTACTCAAGGGATGTTCTTAATTTATTGGAATTGGCTTTAAGTTTGCTCTTTGTTATAAAACGATAATACCTTGATGATACCCAAAAGGAGTTTATAATCATTCTAAAATGATGGCTGGAGCCGATTTTGAGTACTACTCGGGGCACTTTCCCCCAGTCTTAGAGGAGTTTTATTTATATCCCATATTGAAGTTCATCGAAAATTAATTTCTGAGTTTCAACAGGAATTTTTGTTTAAAACTTTTAAATTCAGGGGAACTAGTTCATTCCTAGCAGACTTGCCAGTTTAGTCTTGAGCAATTCATACTCATAACTACGTTAAGCTCTTCTAGGGATCTGTAGTGACACAGCAATGATTTTTATCGTCCTCTTGCTACGTCACTAATGTCTAGGACTTAAACCAACGGTCTCACAAAACAAAGAGTTGAAGATTTTTCATTTTACAAGAGAGGCCATCTCATCAGATTTGCAGATTGTTCTACATATGCTTCTATTCCCCCAGATTCTATTCAACTACCTCAACAAAAGTAGAACATAATGAAAATTTGCCTGATAATAAGCAACAAAGCATCCCCAAGGAGCATCTTCCAAAGCATTACCCAATCCATCACTTCTCATAGCTCAACCAGAATAATATGCCATCATCATTATGTTTATGTCTCTTGTTCCTAACACTATATGCACAAATTTAAATGTTCAAAGAGTTTCTTTTTTCATTATTGCTTAAATCTTTTAGAAATTTATTTTTTATGCCAATATTACAAATTTAGGTTCACTCAGTGAATTTTTTCAACATGTTCTTTTTTCTAAAAAATTAATATTAAATTCTTAATCTGATGAAAATCTTTAGTTATGCCATTTAAACAACATTTTTTCATTGTGTAAACATTTAACAAGGAAGAAAACATTTTTTTGCTTTATTTCCAACGTCCCTAATGTGAAAATACCCTGATTTAGGATGAGAAAAATTTTGATAGATAAAGATAAGGATAGATTAAGAACAAGGCAGAAGAGATACAGTGTAGGTTGGCTGTGTGCTTTAAAAAAAGTTTTTTTTTTCATATAAAATGTTCCTTCATACCGTAGTTAAATAAATTAAATTGTAATTATCTTTTAATGGACATCGAGCATCTGCTAACTGCTTCATCATCATCAAAAATTTTTTTTCTGTGTCTTCTATTTTTATGGCTTAAATTTCTATTGGTCGTACGAATTTTTTCAATTTTTTTTAGGTATTCATTTTTTTTGTTGCGTCTAAGTGCCTAAACATATATTTTATTATATTCATATCATCTAATATATCAAGACTCTTTTTTTTTGTTCCTCATCTACTATGATCCATCAAATGCTCGCACATATGCTTCCTTCTTTTTCATCGCAATCATTTGACGTATGACAGTAGACATGACATAAATTCAATTGTGTGACAATAATAATGTTCCTCTTTACTCCACGAATACGTGCAATCTCATGCTATACTTTCTCATCCTTCATATTTTTTTTTCCATCATTTTTAAAAAGTTGTGCGTTGAAAGTGAAAAAGTGGGGTTTTTGTGGCTGTTATTGAATGAATATTGATTGAGAAACATGGAGAGAGGCTGATTGATATGAAAATGGATTTTCATTCCTTCGTAATTTTCAAGAAAAATTGACAAACGTTATACATAGTGAGCGATGATTAGGCCTAATGTTATAAAAATGTTCCATCTTCATCCTTCTCCTCTCAGGACGCAATGCCAATATTGGCTTCTTTAAACTTTGATCGCGGATAATTGATTGGTGAACTTTGCGATGATGAGTTGCTATCGGAATGAGTCACAATTGACGGTACGGTTGATGTGGCTACTAAAGGATGATGAGTTGGACTTTGAGATGGTGTGCTATTTGTGCTCTTTGACTTTCTAAACCAATTCCCAAGTCGTCGTCGATTTGCATTTGATGATGTGGCTGATGGATTATAATCAATGATTATTTGTGATGGAGCTTCTTTTGATAATTTTCGACTCTTTTTTGGCAGTGAGTCACTGAACTTTTGCTGTTTTAATGGTGATTCAAGATTACTATTGGCTGGGACATTTCCAATTAGTGATTGAAGTTGTGGTCCATCGATAACATCAATTGCACGTTCATCGTACTCTTGACTAAGTGCATTTGCATCATCTGATAAATTGTCATCATCTAGTCCCGATGCTATCTCTGATACAAATAAATTTGTTCCACAAAATTGTCGTTCTGCTGACAGTGTATTAAGGAATCGTGTCTTGCTTGAACTCGAACGGAAACAAAAATCGAACCATTTTCCGCGAGTTTCACAAAATATTCTTAAAGCATTCTTTAAATTAACACCAAACATTCGTCCGTCCGGAAGATTTAGTATTCGACAATTATCGAGAAATATTCTTCCTTTATAAATGTAACTCGTTCGTTTCAGTAAGTCTTTCTTACAATAAATTAACTGTCTATCAAATAGGAATAATGTGTAAGTATTATTCCATAGATTTGGTGAAACACGTATCGCGTCAGTTTGTAGGAAAAGTCTTGTGCTATGAAGGTTAATTGGAGGTCCTTGGAAGTTCTCAATACGTGCTTGGATTCTTGATAAATATTCACTATGTCTTTTGCCTTCATTAACCATTTCGGTCACTCGTTTCATGGCGCTCAGTGCAACATCAAACACTTCCTTGCAATCAATTGTTTCTAGGTCATTCTTTCCAAGTTGATGAACATCCATTTTCAAAAGTATCTCCTTACGGGTCTTTGAGTGTTTGACTAATTCACTAAGATGTAATGGATATCTACAGATTCTTTGTATTGGTGCTAAAAGATGTGCTGATAATGGCAATTCAGGCAGGTTTTGAGATGTACGGCAACTGTTGATAGAAATGAAAAGATTCAATTATACAAATCCGATTAACTTCTTTATGTTTTATGTTTTGCATACCTTTCAAGTAAGCTTGCAGCCTCTTTATTATTCGAAAAACTCTCAAGTTCCATTAAAGCTCGAGGGTATGAATTGCAATACTGCGAATAAACCATAAATGCTGATTGAAAATCTAAAAAAACTTCAGCTATTCTTCCATTCGGTATCGCTATCCTTAGTGCTTCTAAGAAATTCTGTTGGAATCTGTAGATCTGCTCGATGTTTGAGAACATTAGGAAAATATTTTCAAGTGAAAAGACATCTGGGTGCTCCTTCATTTCTTTAATGTATCTAAAAATAAAATGTCAAAGTGAATTAAACTTTAGCCTTGAATCTGTTGCGAGAATTAAAGGTCATGAGGATCTTTGTTGATATTGGATGAATTTTGGCACATTTTTTTGTGTGAAGTAGTCATTAAAAATTGAAATAGAACGTTCGAAAGTTCAATGTTGAGCCTCTGACATTCAAGAATGTTTTCTTCGTTCAAATGTCAACTCTGACGAGTCAAAAATAAGCTTTTTGGATTTAAATTTTAGAATCAAAAGCTTTAACTTTAGCTTAATTCATTAAAAGACTTAAACAGCAAATTTCAGTTAAAGACTAAACCTTATTAAATGATCCAGCAAAGCAAACATCCAAATCTAGATCAACAGTTCCTCAAATCCAGATAAATGCCATCCACATCCGAACAGCAATTAAACTTACCCATTAACAAGTGAATTAAGCAGTTTAACATAATTAATTTCCGTCTCAAGTAGCTCCTTGATAACATTATCTCGCATAATTTCACTGTTTGATTGACTAGAGGAAATGGTTGGTGCAGCAGATGATGGCGGCAATGTGGCGTTTATTGTATCACAGTCATTTGATGATTGTTGGATAATTTTACGATTATGATTATTACCATAAGTTGGTATAATTTTGACGAAATCTTTGGGAAACCAGCCTTGATTTAGTTCAATCTCATTATCATTAACAACTGCATCGTACTTTACTCGTCCGTACCACCACGAACCAACTTCACGCTTTATTACTTGCACTAATATTCCTTTCTCGAGTGAAAGCTCTTGTGGACCGCCTGCTTGAAATGGAAATAGTACTTCAGCAAACACAAATCGCTGATGCTGACCATCATCGTCAATATCATCAACATGATTTGAACTTAAACTATCAGTATCTGATGCATCATCATCGATGTGCTTTATATTTTCTAAATTATTCATCATTTTATTCTCGCATACAATCACGTCAAGATCCGATGGTTGACTTAAGGAACGTTTTGCATTCACTGATTTTGTCAAGTTCTTTGAACCGTTTCTTGATGTTTTTATTGATGTTGTTGATACTTTTGCTGAATTGGCACGTCTTACTTTGGCATTGATATTGAACTGTGGTGATATGTCCTAAAAATATTCAAATTTACAGTTTATTAAACTCTCATTTTAGTGATTTGTGGATTCATTTACCATTTGATGCGATGGAATATTTTCGGATAAGTTTTCATCATTCTCTAATTCAACTTGAATGCCTGAGTCACCAGAATTACATTTATCACGTCGATGAGTCTTCGTTTTTCTTCTTTCCTTACTCGTTCGCCAAACTAATGGTCCAAATCTGCAAGTGAATCAACAAATTAATTAATAAAAAGAGTTCATTAATATAGCTTTTAAATTACATACCGATGATGTTTTGCATCGCTTTGATCATCTCCAACTGGAATCGTCGTCTTTCCATTTTTAAAATTCGAAAATGTTTTTTTGAATTTTTGTAAAACACCTGAGGACGCTGGAAGTACAGTTATCATTAATATCATTATTCTTTATAGCTTTTATATTAAAGAAGGTTTTGCAAGTAGATTCAGCCATTATCTCTAGTTCCTTGACATTTGAACTTTAAAAACAGCTAATCTTCATAACTTAATGTCTAATTGCATAGCCTGAACTTCAACCTTTCCCAAAAATAAAACTTACCTGTTTGATTCTGTCCACGTTCATTTAGTTCATGTTGTATTTGGCAATTTGGTTCAGGTTTAGATGAGAACTTTGGTGATATGATTCTAGAGGGTGGAACGTCTAAGGGGCTTTCTGTTAAAGATGGACTTGAGACTGCTCTCATCTGAAGAGGCTATAAAAATACACAAAAAAAAAATGGAATGTATTACTTTAAAGCTGTTACATAAATAAATGAAATTTAAATGTGAACTGATACAATTTACGGACATAATCTTATAAATGTTTATCGTGTGAGAATTGAGCGAAAGTTTTGAGAGTGGATAATCTTATCAGTCTCTCAAAAATCACGATTTTTAGCCATACGCAACAGAGAATCTTTGGTCGAAACGAAGAAAATGATAAAATTTGGGATTAAAGATAATCTAGGAATTAAATTTATCTATTTTCTTATAAAAGAATGTAAATAAATTGTCTGAGGCGATTAAGCTTGCCTTAATCTACAAATATTTGCCGGCATGTCAATGATTTTCATATTTCATGCTGCTTTATTGACAAATACAGGAAAAGCTAGACTATTTCTAATTTTAATTTTCAGAAAAAATTTATGAATGCAGCATGTAGCCTCAAAATCTTGAAACTGATGACCGAATTATGAGGAACAACAAAAATATATTTGATAAAAAAGAGCTTATACTTGATAGCATTACAAGCAATATCAAGTTCGTAGTAATTTTTTTAATTGTTTTTCGAGTTGTTTTTAATTAATCAGATTTGTATCGTATGTAAAAATTAGCACTTGAGGGTGCTACTTAATTATAGACAGGATTTAAATCTTGTACAGTTGAAGTGTGTTTGTGAATATGAAGGAGTTCATAGAATTTTTTAATTGACATTATAATTGAGAAGGCTTTGAAATTCTGAGAATTTTTCTACAATTAAAATTTTCACTTCAATCAATGGTTTTGATCATTTCAAATTTAATTGATTAATATTCTTAGTTTTAGACCTGCCAATTTAAAGCATCAAAAAACTGAACTTTAAGGATATTATGGATCAAAAAACCCAATCAGGTATCAGTTTTTGTCAATCAACTCAAATATCTTCATAAATTCAACAAATTTCAGAATAAACAATTTGAAACTCAAGTCTTCAAACAGAAATGATCCGAACCGTTCCAAACATTGCAAAATTGAGTTATTAACCAAACAAAAAATTGCTCAGATAACACTTTTTCTCAAATTCTTTTCAGTTGAAGTGTAAACAAATTAAAATTTCATAATATTGAGACAGAGAAGTATTTCAATAACCAATGAATGATCTACATAATGGAAATTAGATCATGTCTGAGCACGCAATGAATATTCACTTTCACTTTCAGATTTAATGAAATAGATTTCCTCAATGTCACTATTATGGATTCCCTCACGCTTCGAATGTTTATTGGAAGAGATTCATTATTGTAAGAAATTGGAAAATATATATCAGATGTCAAATAACAAACACACAAATCGTATATCCGGTAATTGAAGATTTGAATCTGAGGTTCATTAGAGAAATTTATATTTTTATTTACAGAAGAGTTTCCTTTTCAAAATATCAAGTAAGGATTACAAAATTATTGAAGATTTATATCTGGAAGTATTCTTCCGTGTACTTAATAATGTGGAACAAACAATCACGTCGAGTGCTTTTCCTGAGTTTTTGTTGATTCCCATGGAAATGAAACAAAATATTTGCATTTAATCAAGATTGTTAAAGATCATAAGCTTCTTGATATATGACGTCATTCTTTGTTGTTGCTTCTTATTCGGAATTATCGTAAATGAGAATCTCGCATACTTGAGATTACATTGGAATTTTTTTTGTACTTGTATCTTTTTCGATAACGAGATATTTTTAGGATATCCATCAATCCTTTTACTTTGATGAAGTATGCTTCAAGAATTTTATGCAAAATATATAAAATTATAATTGGATGAAAGATTTTTTTGATGTTCATGGCTAATTATTGAATTTTCTTCATGCTGACGGGATTCTGTGGACTAGAAATTCTCATTAAACAAAAATTTGAACCTCTTGAACCTTCAAATTGATCGATCATCAAAGAATAATCAGCAATTTCATCAAAAATCCAAAAGGTTTGAGGCTAATAAATTTCTTTTTGATGATTTTATTTTTCCAGAACTTTACACATCAAAAATTCAATATTCAGTCAATCAGCATTGTAAATGAGATTTATGAGATATACCTCACACATCAAAATCAACACTCACTGTCGGTATCGGATTCAATTTAATCTGTAATGTGCAGCAGGTAAAAAATTATTTCACATGCCAAAACCGAAATTCAAATGAACTTCATTAACTGTCTGAGTGTGATTTACCACAATTTTAAAATCGAATAGATTTGAGAAGCATAAGCGTCGGTGTAATATCGTGATGGATAAAATGTCAATCAGCTTTCAGAAAGTTGAGCATTATTTTGTGGATTATTCTGCTTCGCATAAGAGCTTTTTCGGAGTGTTTATGTGTGTATATTTACCAGGAAGAGCGTTGGCGAAGCAATGCATATTTCATTGTACATCTTCTTAGTTTTGCATTAATATTTAATTTCAAATTCACATTAGCTTGCTTTATTCTACTCCTGAAAAGTTTCCTAATTCACTAGAAACCAGAAACTCGATTTTCTAACTTAACGAATTAATTTGTTATTATTTTTGTTTTATTTCCAAAACTTTTTTTTATTATTTATTCTCGTTGTGTCAGGAACAACTGTTTTATGAGCGAAAGCTGATAAGAAACTGAACGGTCGGCAATCGTTTTGCACGATTGTTACGAAAAAAATGAGAATTTTATAGAGATAATAGGAACACATTTCTAGTAGGAATTTCAGTTCCGATAAGACTCGCCGACTTATCTTATCAGATATTCGATGTCATCTGAATGATTCCGACTTACAACGTTTCATATCCATCCCCATAAATGAGTTATTGACATTTAATATTTATGAATGAGGTCTTGTTGTTTTGCTTCATATCGTACTTGATAGTAATAACTAGTTTATCATTTTCTTGACGTAATATTGTTTTTCTTAATGGATTGTATTCAGTTTATTTACATTTCGTCTGCAGTTTAAGATGAATGTTGACTATCTTATAAGATCTGTTTATTAGAATTTGGTTGTTGCCAATAAGAATTTATGTGCTGTAGCAGTATTCGTTAAACAAGATTAAAATATTTTCATAGTTTTTATCTTAAAGATTCAACAGATTACAATTAATTTGAAGGAATTTAACAAAAATCCCTTGAAATCTTCTTAAAACTTATAAACCTAGTTTTTGTTATGGCTTACTAATCTACAATATCTTCCATGTTATGCAATACTAATCCAATAACTATTAAAATAGTGAAAATTAAATTTCTACAAATATTGGCATTTCCAAAAACAGATTTACTCCCTAAATCTTCAAACAATGGAACGATGATTTTCATAAACTCATTTTTGCTAACCATAAAAAAGAAATTCGTAATCTTAAATCAGCTTTATAAGCTGATAAGATTTGTCTGTTTAGCTTCAGCTTGTATAACAATTTTATATTAGATCGTAATCGAGCTAGTGTTTACAAATTTTTCAGTAAATGTGACAATCATAGCGTGATAATCTCATTGAAAATTCTCTTTTCATTCTCATTCTGAGTTTGTCTTCTTTCCAAAGACAATATACAATGCATTGAACTATTAGCGTCATGTTCTTGACCTCTGAATGACTATTTTCCTCTTGTTCATTATGTGAATGAATGATTTAAAGTACTAATTTGAAAAAGATTATTTCCACAGCTAAGTGTTAATTATCATAAAGTTTGAAATGAGCATAATATGTGTTATGTGATGTTAATGGCACCATTAAACTGTATTCTTTTTAATGACATTTCGGTTAATTGTTATCTTTGCTCATTTACAACAAAATAAACAAAATAACATAAAATTGATTTTCCACCCTTTTGTGAATAGATTTTAATTCCATAAATACATGGATTTAATTAGTTCCATTGAAAACTATCCACGTAACACCAGAATTGATTAATGATATCAATCAATTATCAATTAGAAATTGTTATCACTAAATGTGATAATAAATAAATAAGTTTAGGCCACAAATTCTGTGAAATTCAATAACAGCTATTGGTTATCGCTATCGATAAAGCTGCGAGTAATTTACTTTGGCCTTTAAAGGTTTTTTTCTATTTTTGAAGGCGATTGTTACTCATTTTCATGGAATTTTTATTTCGTCTCGAAAATGCTGACTAAGAAAAATTGATTGCTTGATTGTTCCTGTGGTTAAGGTGCGGAATTTGATAATGTGGTTGATTGAGAAGCTGAATTGCAAAAAAGTAAGCAAAAAACGAAAAAAAAAGAAATAACTCTTCCGAAAGTATTCTAATTATGAACTTATTAATTTCTGAGATTTGAACCCTTAACTTTTGAAGATTCCTAGAATTTTATTTTTCTAGTTTTTTTGGTGGATTTTTGACTATTTTAACATTAAAATCACCATGACAAAATGTTCTACATATATATAGTTCAAAATCATCAGAAGTAAATTAGTTCAAACTTCTTAACTCTTCAATAATAGTAATAATCGAAGTTATTTTAAACGGCTTCATTTCTATCCTTGAAAAGTTCATTTCCTTAAATTTCAGTCACTTTAAAAAAAACCCACAATAAAAATCGTGAATTCAATCAATATCAGTTTATCGACCATGTAAAGCATGACTACATGAAATGAAATTATTACAAAATTTATTGAACATTAACTTTTTTTTGTTATCACGAATTTTTCGTGGCAGGCATCTAATATCATTTTGGAACTGAATTCATTAGACTAAGAAATTTGTCAATTGCTGTGGTTAAAGCGAACCTTAACCTTTCTTGAGGCCAAATCACTTAATTCTCAAAAAACCACAAATTATTTCCGTCATTAACAATTATAAGGTTTTATTGCTGTAGCTGTTCATCTAAGAAAAAAATTCCATATCGGAACTGAGCGCACCTAAACAGATACAAACATCAGGTCGTTGTATTTAGAGTAGAAATTATTTATGAAAGCATTGAAATGCACAACATAATTGAAATTACCGGTATCGATAAGAATGCACTGTGCAAA